AAAATTATTCTTACTATTAAATTACCTTCTTACTATCCGTTGGAAGTTTCAATTTGTTGTTCAGTTTCAATAAAATGTTTATATATTCACATCTGTACTGTTCTATATACAAGAAAATATAAATGACAGCTAATAAACCAAATAAGCTCATCTTACAAGCCATCTTCGTACGATGAAAAATTAGGTTTGATTTTACCAAGTTTTTTTCTCAATTCACACAACTCACTTGATCTAGCTTACAGTTCAGGACGAGTAGCTGAACCTTGCTTATATTTATCAGTTCAGGCATAGCACACCAGGACGCATCACAACAAGAAAATCGCAACGATTCGCGAATCAATAAGATTGGTCGGTTTTAATGACTTTTTTCATAGTTACCTTATTTACATGTTTACATAAGGTAATAAATTTTTAGAAATACTACTGCATCAAGAATTACGATATTTTTTGTGGTAAACAATAAAACGAGTTGTAAAAAATACATAAGTTTTTAAGGAGGTCTTAAAGTTTTTGTAGATAAAAACTCGAAAATATTTCTCCTTCATTTGTCCTCTAGTACTTTCCGTGCAAAGGCAAATTTATAATTATATAATACTATTTCAGATACATATAAGTTTGCAAATTTCCATGCAAAGATTCACCCACCGATCCTAACCAAACCTAATCTATTTTAACCTAATTAATACATGATTGGAAAATATACATTTTAAACAAATAATTAAGAGTTACGGTAGTGCCTCGCGCCAAGTTTAACGCAACGAAGTATGCCCGACCGGCGTAATGGCAATATTGTCCTTGTTGCTGTCTCGTTATCAAACTATGAATTGGGGCAGGAGGTGGTTACCGCTGCAGAAAAATAAGTTTCATGGGCAATACTTGCAACTGCTTGTAGCAATGGACTGCTTTATCCTTTAACACAATTTAAAATATTTACCGTCTTACACGTTAGATACATATATGATTCCTCTCCTAGTATTAATGAATTTAGGTCCATAGTATTAATGGATTAATGGATCTAGGTCCGATTTATCCAAGTTCATCGATAATTTCAGGGTAATGTTATCCCGTAACAAAAAATTGAATAATATGTCAACCCGTCTCAGTATTTCTCGAATTTCATCCAATTATCGACTGCAGTCATCAGATTGACGTTCGCGTAGCTACGCTTTAAAGTTACTGAACGAAAAAAAGTTAGGACAATCATTCGACGGTGATATTATTTTTGATAAATGGTGTTTGCTTGTTATGTAAGATATACTTTATTGTTATTAATAACAATAAAGTATACCCAATATGTAGAGTAAGAAAGAATGTTAAATAAATTATGATATGCGCGAAATGTTAATGTAAAATAAACATAAAATTAACATAAAAATAACTCGAATTATATTTTTGTAGCAATCTTGTAAAAATGGAATAAAATAATTGATGCTGAATGTGATATAATATATAATAATAATACATAATAATATATAAAAATTATACTTTATTAATGATAATAATTTATACTTAATAATAATTTATATATAATGTTGCATAAGATGAAAAAACATACAGAACATATATATATATTCACAAGCGCGCATACGCATGTCAACATGTGTGTACATGTACATACAATGTTAAATTAAATATTTATTATAACTTACGCATAGGATATTACATCTGATATTGTTAACTATTAACTAACTGTTAATCGTCAACTAATAATACTTAAACTCACGATTATTTGCTTGATTTTTCTTATTTGACTTAAAATTTTTTTGTATATACTAAAAATTTCGTATATATTAAAAATTAACGTCAAAAATTTAAAAAACATGTCAAGAATTAAGAAAATGTTCCCAATGCGTTATTATTGTACTGCACTATAGTGCACTATAATAATTTTCTGAAAATGCTAAATTACACGTTAATTTTCTCTTCTATTGAATTTTTTAATGATCAAAATACAAATAGTAATATCTGAAGTCATGATGCAAACAACAACTTAAAGATATTTTCACTCAATGTTTCTTATACTAAATAACGTTTCAACAAAAATTTGCATCAGTGTTCTTGTATAAAATAACGTTTTTACAAAATTTGCGCTTGATGTTTCTTATATCAAGTAATGTTTCAAACAAATATGTTCCTTACGCAAATAATCAAAATAAATAAAACAACTTTTAAACAATGCTATTTGTTAATAACTGCGTTCAGCAACAAAAGCTATTTTATAACCGTGTAAAATTTGTGAATCTGATTGGTATACATTGTTAATTTCAGCTGAATCTAAAAGCATATACCAATTCATAGATAAATAGATTCATAAATTTTATAGCGGTCACAGTGCAATTTTTTCTGCTAAACACATTTTAATATACAGGAGCGAGTCTATGCGCTAACTCCGTGCCATCATAGCGATTTTACTTCCTACAAATAAAGCTTTGATCTAATTCTTTGGTTTTTGGAAACTAGAGCATATACATTTTATCAAAATTAATACATTCTTTGCCAGCAGCCAGTAATGTAAATCGTCTCATTCTCTTTGTTGCAGTAGTTGGCATTGCTGTTTACATTGTCGACGGTCGGTATAGACTTAGGATAGTGTGATGTGCAGGAGTGTGTATCCTTACCAGCAGCAGTCTAGAAGCAGTCGTCATTTCTTGTGTCGCTTATTTTTCCTCTCTCCTCGCTCTCTATTCTCCTATGTTCCTTCTTTCTTCTTTCTGTTTATTTAACATAGCTTTTCATTGTTTTTTTTTGCTTGGTATGGTGCATATTTCTGTTTCTTTTTTTCGAAGTTGTATATCTGAAATAAATACTCAAAATTTTAAAATTTTGAATTTGAAATTAGTGTTTGAAAAATTTATAGTACTGATAAATAGTACTATTAGTAAATAGACATTAATGAATAAACAAATAATTTTTACGTCGATGAATTTCGCAATATATCTAATAGTGGAAAATATATTTTCTGATAATTATTAAAAAAGAATTCTCTTATTACATATTAGGTCATAAAACCCATCGAAATAAAGAAAATAAAAGCGTTGCATCTGTTTGTTCACTAACCATATAAAGACATTAGAATCATATATTGGAATTAAGATTTGGAGAAATGATTATAATTATATAGGAGACATATGATTATATAAAAGTAAAAATGTGATTTAGAAAAAGATATAGAAAAATGCAAACACACACACATTTAGGTCTACAACGAGATCCTCCTACATATCTGCCACTTTTCCTTTATTCGAGTTTTATGATATAATATACTTCACGTGATAATGTAAACAAGAAAACGTCTTTTTTTTGTACAAACGCGTTATATAAAAATCACATTTAGTCAAGCATGTTTCCGGAAGGCTTACACTATGAAACTCCTCCGAAGCATTAACGACGTCATCATTGTTAGAGTTAAGAGAAAAGAGGAAAAAGTACGCGCGGAGTTAAATGGACGAACAGATTGAAAAAGATGAATTCGATAAGACATCGATTATTGACCTTTATCGCTGTAGTCTCTGTTGTCTTGTCATCAATTTTATGTAAAAATATCGTCATAGTATGTTTTCCTTGACCTTTATCGCTGTAGTCTCTGTCGTCTTGTCATCAATTTTATGTAAAAATATCGTCATAGTATGTTTTCGCAGCCACTAAGATCGTATAACAAAATGTGTTTCAAAATCAATCACCTTATTTTAAATATTTGTATTTTTTTTTTCGTTTCAACAATTTTTGTACTGAATATAAAAGAATAAATGAATATAAAAAATAAATAGATAAACACTCCAAGACTTTTTGAGGGATATGATTCTTGATTGCTTAATTTTAGACGACGAAATTAAAACGACGATTTTAATTGATCGCCGCGCCCTTCAAATTTATCTGTTCTAGACTTGACTGCATGGAGTGTTTTGCAAGATCGAGTTTACTTCGAAAAGTCAATATTACAAATATTTTTAAAATACTATATATTCAATAAATCACTGCAATATCGAGTGAAACTCTAGATGGAGATAATTGAAACATTTCAAATTAAGATAATTAGTAGCATTTAAAAATTTGTATTAATAATTAATTGATAATACTAATGAAGCAATTAATTTTAGGACACCCTGTATTTTATGCAACATCTACAGTCACTTTAAATCCAATTGATATCTTATGCTCGAAAGTGGTTGAGCAGGCCGCTGCAAAAAAGTGCATTCACATGTCCGCCTATATTATGTTAAAGTACTTTCAGTTGGAGTCACTTTTATATTTCGTTCGTACGTAATTCGTCGTTTCTCTATCTTTCTCTCTTATTTACTTATTTTTGAAAGTTAGAAATATATACGATTTCGACCATGGAAATATTAGGACTTGACATTTCGACCAGCTTCTGTTTCCATTTTCCCGAGCTATCGTAAATCTTGCATTCTATATATTTAAAATGTATTATCATGATAAAACAAAGGTCTGCAATTTTTTGTTTAATCGTGTTATCGACATTGATTTTTCCTTTCTGGCAAAATATTGGTGGTACATTCTGGCGACTTCAAATGTTATCCAAATATTTTCCATAAGAAAAAATTTCAATTTCAATCATTGAATTATCTTTACATAGATTCAATCAATTACATAGATTCAGGAAGCTTCTAGGGAAATCTCTCTCTCTCTCTCTCTCTCTCTCTCTCTCTCTCTCTCTCTCTCTCTCTCTCTCAAATATTTCGTTATTTCTCATATTATATATATGTAACATTACTTCTCCTGTTATATGTATGCATACAAGGCTGCATAATAATTTTAACACATATAGTTATCATTCTAGCATATCATTCTAGAACGTAATGAATTTCTTATGGAATGATCTTTAGGTCGGTATAATTTTTCATGTGTTAAGGATATTATGTCGACATCTGTATGTGTGACATCTTTTACTAAAATTCTTGACTTTGGTTAATTTGATGAACTATAAAGCTTTTCAGTTTGTAATACCTAATTTTTTTCGATGATGATTAAATGATAAATTTATCAAATGATAGCCGAATAATATTTTTTGATTGGTCCAATACATCAATAAATTGCAAAAAATCTAATTCGATCTTTGGTATTTGAAATACCTGCAAGTAACCTCGTTACTAGATTCTTTCTAATCTAGATTCTTTCCATCTCATGGAAGGTAAATTGATTGAATAGTGTATTTGCTGAATTTTATCGTAATTGAAACGTAAGCAGCTATTGTTTTTGGCTCATGCGATGCAATTCAAGAAAGACTGTTATAATTACTAGAATTTAACTTTCTGACAAACTGTAAACTTGTTATCTATCGTTAATGCATTAAACGATATTTTTCTAAATTGTAACGCAGAGTAAGACACAAAATAGAAATGTTTATTATATATTTCATGCAATTCTCATCCCGACAATAATAAATATAGCTGCGTGTTTCAGTTACGATAGAATTCATGCGATGTATGCAAGAACACGGCGATCGAAAGCCGATGACTAATCAATTGAAATATTTCAGTAATTTTCTGTTGATTATCTTTACTTCCATCGCATCCGTTTTTACTGTGTTATCATTTTTGTTCCATGTTCGCTAAAACCACTCTTCTTGTTTCTCACACTGATTACATCGTTAAACCTTACACGATTTCAAATATAAATTCCATCAAGACATTAAAGAAATTAAATTTAAAAGTAGAGTAAAATTAAATAATAAATATATTTATTTTTCATATTTTCTATTAAGTTATCTACTAGTTCGTCACGTTCGCTACTTCATTTGGAAAATCTTCTTTACAGTCCAGTTTATGTATTTTTTATGCAATTGTGTAAAATAAATTTATATTTCATTTATGTAGACATTGAAAGAAAAATGATCGCTTTCTTTTGTGACGCTTATCTCTTATGAGAATATGCGCAAGTAACGAACGTGTTACACATATCGCATAATGAGAAAATACGAATCGATCTACCTTATAATCTTACGAAGAAAAATATCTTACAAAGTTTTCCTCATCACAGGTATAAACATCTTTCGGAGGTATGAAATTCATCTTCACGTCAACAATTGTTGAAGCAGTTGTTGCATAAAGTAAACGGACGGAATTAGCGAACAACATGTCGATCCATAAATAAAAAATATCGACAGAACATAAGTCTATAAGTTAGGAAAGAATATATTTCGTGAAAAAATTATGATCGACAAACTCGATTCGCAAAGTCAAGATACCAGCGCTTGGACAATATTATCTGTAATAATTGTAATTCAGCCTGGCAACGAAAATAGCCTTCAGTGTGATCAAAGAGAGAAACGATGACATGATTAGAGTGGACGCAGGATTTTGTTTCGATTTCACTCGACATCTGTGACGCCACAGTTTGTGTAATAACAACAAAGCGAATGTGATACAATGTATAACCTTCGTAGACTGTACCTCGCGTGGCCATGTCTCTGGCACAGAATGTATCGGAACAATCTCAATGACACTTTTCTCGACTGTACATTGTTTGTCTTAAAGTTTACCTTCGCTTTGAATGTACCAATTTCGGTGGCCACAGGTGGCGGTGAATTGGATGAGTCCACAGTGCACAACCAATTTTCAATTGAACCATTCGATTCCGAGAGTTCACAGCGCACCACTTTCTTCGAGTGTAGTTGCTTCCGTCGTCTTGTTCGTTCTTGCGTCTCGGTTTCATAGTTTTGACCATGTAGACGTTGAATTGGAGCGGTGTGTGTCATATAGGTACCGATTGGCTCTTGCAACCCTGAATCCTGCGATTCTTCATTTTGCGTATTATCTGGCAAAATCCCCGTGTTGTGCAGCATTCGTTGAATCTCCCTTATCAATTGATATTGCCTCCATGATATTTGAAGGTACTCAAGTAAGCTGTCAAACATATCAATAATGTTCTTAGCATATCTGTTATTGCAATTGTTATATGGTTTAAAATCCCTATCGTTCCTAAAACTGCAGACGCAACGCGCGCCGAAATCATGATCGCGTTCCCTCGCGGTTACCATTGTTTCGGATAACGCAGTCATTGTCATCGTCGTTGTTGTCGTCGTCATGATTGACGTCACCGTCACCGTTGATATCGCTAGCGCAACGATATAACCACTTCTCCTCCTCCGTGGGATATGCCATAGCGGTTGCAGGGGACTTTACCATTTCGTGGCTGCAACCACCGCGACTACATAAGCGACTCCACCACTGTTCCATAAGTTATGTTCGCGTCATTTTTCTACTAACGTATGAGCGTAGTATGACATGAGGGAAAGGTTGTGTAACTATATAAGGACCACATCCAGCAACAACAACGCGTAAACAACTGACGTCGCACGCGCAGTCTATTACACCGAAAACAAACAAAGCGTGCATATGGTGGTAACATGATCGATGCCTCCAAAAGACTCAATCGGGAGATTTAAATTTTGTCAATGGAAAAAAAATGATCAAAAAATGACGCGAGAACGTAACATAAAACACAGGAAGAAGAGGAGTGGATAATGACACATAAAGTGATGAACATAAAATTTGCAAAAGCACGTGGCTTGATATCGCGCGACACTCATCGTGCACAATTAATGGTAACTGAGAGAAACAGAAGAAAAAATAATTACGCAATAAAATACAGCAGTTAATTGAATGAAATTATCATCACGTGCAGCAGCAGTAAATGCCATAAGGCTTACCTGAGATAAATATTTGTCGCTTGTACCTCGGCGCTGGAGCAAGGTTGCGCTATTGGTTGGGCTAGAGCTGGAAAAACGGGCGGCTCAGGTGGCGTACAGTCTCCAACAACAGAACTATAAATTTAATAATGTTAAGCAATGCGTCAAGTAATCAAGTAAATTATCAAGTTATCAAATTATTCGTCAGCTAGCAGAAATAAAGGGACATCGGTCTCCTGCGAGGAAGTTTTCGCAAACGTTTCCATTCGTATGCAAAATTGTAAGTATGAAAAATTTATCGAACGAAATCTAATGCTGCCCTGTTATGAATTTTCCAAAAGATGTAATAATGTGATATAATATGATGGACGTATAAACATCTTACTGCCTGAATAATTACGTCAAGTTGTAGACTACCGATGAAGTAACAAAAATTAGCATCACGTGGCACTAGAACTACCGATTATTCCTATAGACAAATTTCACGTGACGCCTTTGATTACACAACTTCGTGTAACTAATTAAACGCGACTGAAGCCGATAACCATTGATTTATCAAATTGATTGTAGCGTATCGTAAATACAGATAACAATGTATTATACATTACGTGCTGTTGACTGAATAACTTGCTAATAAAGCCTCCAAATTACGATTCAACAGAGAAAAACTACAACATTGCTCGTTACGCATTGCTCTCTATCGTATAATTATAATTCGACAAATCCGTAGGTAACCATTAAATATTTCGCGCCATGCATGATATTATTCTCTCATTGGCTGCATTCAGCAGACTCAACAGTTGGACATTACTAGATTTTCCACTGAATCTCGCTCCTGATTGGTAAATACTTCTGGATCTATGAAGAATCTAAAAGAATGCTCCAATCACAGACAATAATCACTAAGCGTTCTCTGATCACTTTGTTCTACTGAACGCGGCCATTGTTGACCAAACATGAATATTACCATATCGCACTTGATGTCGAATGCACTCTGATTTTAACCTTTACGTTTAATCTTTACATAGATCGGTAATATCGTACGAGGGCAGTCTGAAAAGTTCTCGGCCTGACACATAGATGGCATTAGAAACTGTCAAACTATAATTGTATTGGAAAGTGGCATCCCTGATATAAACCCATGTAAAATTTTATTTCGATCTGTCAAGTCATTCGAGTAATAGCATCAGTTTAATATTGACGTGTCATTGTCTTTTTTAAAATGGAAAAAATTGAATATCGTGCAGTGATTAAATTCTTTGTTTTGGATAGTTTAACACCAACAGAAATTCATCCGAAATTGTTAAAAGTATATAAGGATGCATCACCTTCACTTTCCACTATGAAAAAATGGGCTGCCCTTTTTAAATCTGGTCGTATAAGCCTCGAAGATGATCCACGCGAAGGTTGTCCAAAAACTGCTACAACACCACAAAACATTCAACAAGTCCATGATATGGTGTTAAATGATCGGCGAGTGAAAATGCGTGAAATAGCTGAGGCCATAGGCATCTCAAAAGAACGAATTGGAAATATTTTGCATGAAGAATTACATATGAAAAAGCTTTGTGCAAGATAGGTGCCGCATTTCCTAACAATTGACCAAAAACGCATTCGAATGCGTATTTCTCAAGCGTGTTTGGATCGTTTTAAGCAAAATAAAATGGATTTCAAGCATCGTTTCATAACTGTTGATGAAACTTGGATCCACCACTATACACCAGAGCGAAAAGAACAGTCGAAACAATGGATTGAAGCCGGTAGACGTGCACCAAAGAAGGCAAAGACGGTTCCAGCAGGAAAGGTTATGGCAACAGTTTTTTGGGATTACAAAGGTATTTTGTTGATCGATTATCTTCAGAAAGATAAAATGATTAACTCTGAATATTATTGTAACCTTTTGGATCTATTGGATGCAAAAATTCGTGAGAAAAGACCTGCTTTAAAGAAGAAAAGAATCGTTTTCCATCAAGACAATGCATGTGTTCACACAAGTGCTTTGATAATGGCAAAATTCAACGAATTAAAGTACGAATTGCTTGAACATCCAACGTATTCATCAGATTTGGCTCCCTCTGACTATTATCTATTTCTAAACCTGAAAAAATTCCTGGCTGGAAAGCGTTTTACATCACATGACGAAGCTATTGCAGCCGTGGATGGATATTTTGCAGACCTTCCGGAACCACACTTTAATAATGGTATTGAATTATTGGAAAAACGTTGGAATAAATGTATTGAAGTTTCAGGAGATTATATTAAAAAAATATATATTTCACGGCAAAAAAATTTTCTTTCATTATTAGGCCGAGAACTTTTCAGACTGCTTACGTATAATGAGAAATTCTAATATTGATAACTACAAAAGCTATCAACTCACTGCTGCAAAGGTTGTATCGCAGCTGGACTTGTCGATAGTGCCGCCTGAGAGGTCGATGTTAATGTACCAGTCACACCATGTGTTTGTAGTTGGTGCATTCTCAGTTATATTATAATACGTGTTAGTCATTATAATTATAGACATTTCGTAAATTAGCGGAATAAAATAAGTAGAACAAATTGTATCTAATATTTTTACTCGTTAATATTTTTTTAATAACTTTACTCATTTGTTATTAATAAGTTGGCAAAAAAGAATTTATTTATTTGTTTATTTGTTACTAACATATTCTTTTTTTGTCACCTCTATTTATTTTTTAATTCCACTAAAGACAAATTATAAGATAATAGAATAAAAGGGCAACAAATTTTTTTTCTTGGCAATTTAGCGACAAATGAGCAACAAATAAAAACATTAATCAGAATTTGTCCTACTTAGTATGTTCCATTAACGTATGAGACATTAATTATATAGTCATTATAATATTATACAATTATAATATTATAACAGAGATTGAATTTGTGCCAAATGTTTCATTTCTATCACATTATTTTACAATAGTAAATTGTTTGGGTTATTTAAAGACGATTTAAAAATGATTTTCTTTAGAGAGAATGTCGAAGAGTAATCGTTTGTTTGTTTTCCTTTCCAATTGTCCTATTGTTAATGTTGGTACATCAACATCACCGACCTTTCAAACGATTTCAAACGATTAATTTCCTAAGCGATGTTGTCAGTCGCTCAAGTTTAGTCAGTCAAAAGGTAGTGTATAACAGCAATCTTTAAAATATTATTCCAGAGGTTTAACTTTCAGCTTTATGTCAATGATTTAATGGCAAAAATATTTTTCTGCAGGAAATGTGATAGAAAAAGTAAAAATCATTTTTCACGAAATAACTATGTATATAAGAACTAGAAAAAGATCGGCAAACTTCAGCAAGATTTCCGCAAAGATTACGGACATGTCTGGGTCAACATGGTAAGCATTTTGAATATTTACTGTAATAATAAAAAGATCGATTCTAAATTTTCTTATTTATATTTTTGTCGATATAACGGTGAAATTTTCAACAGATATCTTAATACAAAAGTTATTAAGTTTATTGAGTACTATCTACGGAACGATTGAAATGTATTCCTTTTCATTAAAGAAAAAAAAATTCTTTTTCGATGTCCGAAAAACTGATACTCAAAGTCATTAACTTATGTATCTACTTATTCTACAATTTTAATAATAGATGTCTTCTTTTATCTTTAACCGTTCGTAAGAAAAACGTGGTAAACTTTTTATCACATTTATCCTGCATATCTTTGAGATTTAAGGAGTTACTCAAAGAATGCATTTCACGTTCTCGACGTAAAGCTTCATTTTTCTTTTTTTTCTTTTTCTTTTTATTTTTCGCTAGGTATACCTGCTCAGAGTAAACTTGATGCAAAATTTGGAGTGAAAGAAAATTTAACGAAAATAGTCATGGTATCCATATGCTATCCATGAGATTGTTGCATCATAGCCGCATATTATAGCCGAAAAAGCAGCGTATATCATAGCCGAAAATTAAACGCACGATCATAAACGTACATAAAAGTCATTATATCAACCTCGTTATCCATGTAAGAATACAATCTCGCCCATATTCGTCCATATTTATGATTTCGACATAGTTGCGAGTTTGATTTAATAAGTTTTTTGTAAAAAACTAAGCTGACTGATTACATACGACATTTCCATCAAAAATATTTTTGTTTTTGTGAATATTTTTACAAAGGACATTCTCTTGTCAGAAATTTGTTGGAATCAAATCTTACACGTTAGAGATAATTTGCTCGAAACGATCATGAGGATTAGTTCAAAGCAAATAAACACTGAAATAGTCGGATATTTATAACTCAGGACCAATAATAACTTTCCATCACGATGTACGTTACTTCGAATACGGAAACAATGTGAAAAAAATTATTGCGATACATACCTTCGTTCGGTCTTTGAATTATTTTTCGTGTGACTGTCATTGTGACCTCCACTGTACTGCCCCCTTCTGGTGCTACCTGGTTCGAACAACGAAATCCCGCTAGCAATATTTTGCATAGTGGGCGCTTGATACATTTCGTTTCTCGTTCCCGGAGTTGGTTGTAAATGATATGCCCTGGTGTCAGTGAAAGGCTGATAATCAACGCTTTGTCGCTGCTGTGGGTCGTTTAAGCTATTGCTAGGCCCCAGTGCCTCAATCTGATTATGTGTGGCCGGCTCCAGAAGTCTTCTTATTCTTGTGGGATCGTAAGTGCTCCCACGGTGCATGCGAGCAACATGCTTCTTCACGTGGTCAGCACGACTGAAGAACTTCTCACATTCATGGCACCAGAAGGGTTTGTCCTCCCGATGTATCATTTCATGGCGCATCAATAAATCACGCCTATTGGTGCCGTATGAACAATATTGGCAATTATAGCGCGTGGATATTGAAGTGGAAGGCGGAATGGTCTGCGACATTTTCTTATTTTTCATTGTTCACTCGTATTATTACTTATATTATCGATTTGTAATAAATGAATTAATAATGAGACGTATAAATATATATCACGCGCGATTAAGCGTCACACGTAATTAAGTATCACACGCGATTTACGAAAATGGCGAACTACAGGCGTTCACGGTCTTCACGCTTTTCGATCTTTACACGTGCTAGTCTCAGTTACGACTGAAGAGATCTTGAGATCTACTGCGAACCTACCTGATGCAAGTGCTATGATTGTAGAGTAGAGGGCAATCCTTGCAGCAGAAAAGTAGGGATCATGGGCAATATAGTCGCAGACAGTGTTTCTTGTGTCCTACGAATGGGAGGAGCTGCCCAATCAGCCCTTTCTCTCAATCTTTCCAAGTATGTTACTACATTGTCAATCTTTAACTCTGCGAAATAATCTTTGATGAGTGGTGCCTATGCCGACTATCGTCAGCAAGGATTCGTGACGAATGTAGTTCCATAAAGTGCTCTGCAGCTTCTCGTGAGCCAACTCCCACACATTACCTGTGTCAAGAAACTCGATGGTCAGTTTCACTTTCCCACGTGCGTGTGAAGCATTTGTTATAGCAATTGTTAACTCAAACAGTAATTATGCTACAGCATTATCGAATTATAAATGTTTTATCTCTCATGGTATTAGATCTCTCATAACAATACGACCGTAATTAACGGCGGGATTTTCCTCGCTCTCTACCTTTATTAATCAACTTATTTTTATCCTGCACAATTGCAACTTTTTTATATCTTCCGATAGAAAATCGCTTGCCTATAATAACGCTTCATCGATATGCGCAATGAGAGTAAGAAGATTATTAATTCTCAGGAAAAGTTAAATATTGAATCGAAAGAGACGAGAGAGAAACTAGTAAAATAAAAAATTTTGTCATAATACTATTATGTGGAAAAAATTTTCCTGTTTTTTACTTTTCTACTTGGATCTCATAACATGTGTGGTTGGCACAAGAATGAAAAAACTGCCGATCTACATATTAGCCTTATGCAAAAGTTTTAATGGATTTTGTGACAGAAAAGTGTATGTAGATTAACCGTTTGAGTGCTAAGCGGCGCGATCGCGCTTCTTCTGTCCTGTCCTCAAAGCGCCAAAGCTCTAGGCTGCGAAGCCTATAATCACAGCAGGCTCGGTTTCTATCGATGCGCGACTTTACGGTTACCTTTCAGTCTTAGATAAATAAAAGATAAAATTGGAGTAAGCAGAAAACAACGCAATCGCGCTCTTTGGCATTTTTGGACGCGGAATATAACAAGCGCTATCGCGCCGCTCGGCATTTTTGGACGCGGAATATGACAAGCGCTATCGCGCCGCTTGGCAATTTTCGATTGGGAAACAAGAAAGGCCCGTGGCACTCAAACGGTTAAGTAATTCTATTAAAAATGATTTATTTATTTTACCAAGTAATCTCGCCATTGTTTCTTATTACCTTTTATATATTATACATTTACATATTTGTAAATGCTGCCATAAAATTGGATCAGTTATGACACCGTTAAAAAGCTACTGAAACCTTTGCATCAAATATTCTATCAATTTAATTATTTAAAGTTAAGAATTGCGAACAAACCGTTGAGATAAAGTTATCAAAACTTGCTCGAATGTAAAAATTAAAAACTGTTAAAAAACATGTTATATATGTATATATAATTAATAACTGTTATTAATAAAAATTTGTGACTCCAAACTGAAACTCATCGCACTGCCATCAGTTCCGTTTCCGGTATCTTTGTCATTTTTATACAAAACTGATGTCTCGAACTCGTTTTGCACGCTTGATGTTACATCGATAAAATTGCGATAAATTATATTGAATTTACAATATATAATAGCGAAAGAGACATCGCATTTATTTATACGACATTTATATATAAAAATAATAATGATTAACAGTAGTAACGAAAATGAATTCAAACGTTCGAAACGTTTAATCGAGTTACTACTTATATATGAAATTTCGTTGATTACCAATCATAGTTAACGTTAAGCAATTAAATAATTTGGATAAGTTCATTTTCAGTCGCAATAATAACTTTGTTTAAATAATGAATTGCATTGAAATGTGCGCATACACGAGACATCATTGTGTCTATATTTTAACAGAGTATTACATGTATACATTGTAAAAGAAAAAATCTTTTTCCCAAATGTACAACTCTATAGGAAGATGCAATATTGGAAAAAAAATTTCTTATCGATGGCCTTCTACGGTAAGTTGAAGAAACAGATATCTCAAACTCGTTATTGTTGTTTCACACGTCAGGTAAACTTCCACGTACTTCTATGGTCGAGGTCCTCCTTGTAAAATTTCCTTGTAATTCCTTTGAACATATCCTCATAGCAATTCAGCCTGTTAGTTCCATCCTCCATTTTTTAAAGCTATGACGGTAACCAACTATTCTTGGAAAGTTTTTCTTTTGTCGTCAGGCGATCCTTCTACCTGCCTAACCGTTGTCATGTATTCACGCTGGAAAGAAAATTTTGCCCTATGTATAATAGTATATATATTGTATGTATTTTACCTTTTAGGAAAGTTCTTCATTTTAGCATATGCTCACGTATATTCTTTTCTCGTTTAAAATTTTGCAAATCATCTACATCAAAAATGAAAATCTTGGTTTTTGTGAATAAATATATTATTTAATTTACTTAAGATGTATGAATTATATATTTATGTTTTTGAATAATATCGATTTATTTTTGTTATTTTTAAGTTTAAGTATTATAACGTACATTTGTACGTTATATTATAGCAAACAAAAAAGACTAAAACAGATTTATATAAAGAATTGCATTGAAACGTGCACGTACACGAGACACCAGTTTGAATATTATAATGTACACAATATTTGATATTATGGCAAACAAAGAAGACTAGAACAGATTTGTATAAAGAAGCAATTCAAACGCGTTTTTTTTTTATCAAAATGAATTTTATTAAAACGAATTATTATTTGATAACATATTTCTCAAAGACAGCAAGATCAGTTCTATTTAATAATAAAAATGTTCAAACATCAAGATTTTGAAAAGTTTACGGATCTGCTCCGGTCAGGATAATTTTAGTTAGAATATAATAGATAATTTTAATTAGAAATTACCCTAAATTGTGGTAATTACGATAAACAGCAATTACGTATTAATTTCCGCAAAAGGTATAATACAAATAAGAAGAAATTAACACCGTATAATGTAGTATTTATTTATTTATTTATTCATTTATTAATAATATACGGGTCTAGGGATGGACAATTTTCATCGATTAATCGAAAAACCCGATAGTTTTTTTTTTCAATTAATCGATGTTTTCCGATGATTTTATTTTTACTCAATTAATCGATCTTTGATGATTTTTTCTCAATATCGGCAACCGATTTTTATTTTTTTTAAATAGAGGATTTTTATAATCGTTTTTTAGATACGGTAAATTAAATTTATAAACGTTAAGACCGGATCTACAATAGATATAGTAAGTTTTAAGTCTTAAGAAATTGGCCAACCACAGTCAATTATTCTTGTAAAAGTAGGTTGAGATTGGGTAATTTCTTAAAATTTAAAGTTTACTATATATCTATTGTACAGTCATGGATAATAGGGTTGCCCGATTTTTATTTATAAGTTTCGGAACGTTACCGAATAACCCAATAAGAATATTTATCTTCCCAAAATTAATTCTCTTATCACGTGGAAAATACATCAAATGAGATGCCGAGTTAAAGACCTCGCACATTGACGCGATTAGCGACGAACAATAAGCGAAATTTAATGAGTTTTGGGTAATTATGCAGTATAGAACATGCACCTTCAATGATTTTGACCTTGAGATATGTTGTCAAGGTCATCACTCTGAGTATTGTCCAAAAGATTTTAGATGGTGCTCGTTGTTTGTTATAAAGTTATTAACAAAAGAATGTTTCATTCATTAATCGAGTATAATTTTTCAACACTATGTACATTTAGGTACAGTAAACTTTACACATACAGGGTGTTTGATAGCTGATCATGCAGACGAAAGTTGGAGATAGATTGGGTGTAGCCGAGAAGAAAAGTCATGTACCATAATGTCAAATTGCCAATAGTTATCGAGTTATTAATTAAAACATGTGGGCTAACGAGCGCGTAGAGAGCGGAGGGCGACCGCAGTAAGCACATAGACATTTGATACAGGCGGAGTCAGCGAGTGACGGTAGGCGAGTGCGCGCGGCGAGGGGCAACGTAAACAACAAGAGGCGAACGCGCGCGACGAGGAGCGAGCGAACTATAAGGAAAAAGCTATAAAGAAAAAGCTCGCTCGCTCCTCGTCGCGCGCGATCGCCTCTTGTCGCTTACGTTGCCCCTCGCCGCGCGCGCTTGCCTATCGTCACTCGCTGACTCCGCCTGTATCAAATTTCTACGTGCTTACTGCGGCCGCCCTCCGCTCTCTACGCGCTCGTTGGCTCACATGTTTTAATTAATAACTCGGTAATTATTGGCAATTTGACATTATGGTACATGACTTTTCTTCTCGGCTACACCCAATCTATCTCTAACTTTCGTCTGCATGATTAGCTATCAAACACCCTGTATAACATTCCATGACACTAGCGACTGTCGCCATCTTAAGGCCCATTTACAATATCTGCAAGAATAAGGTTCTAAGCGTAAGCAGTAAGGCCCCTTGTACAATGCCAGACCAAGCAATAAGAATAAAAATAGACCAATCACAATCGACTATTACAAGAATAATCTATTGTGATTGGTCTATTTTTATTCTTATTGCCTGTTGCCTGGCATTGTGCAAGGGGCTTAAAGCGTGGTCTACAATGGCAGTAAGCAGTAAGAAGTAAGCGTAAGCGGTAAGAAATAAATCAATCACAGTCGATTATGACAAAAATAATCAACTGTGGTTGGTCCATTTCTTACTGTTTACGCTTTCTTCTTACTGCTTACGGCCATTGTAGACCACACGTAAAGGTCATTCTACAATGAGGTTGCAGTAATATGTAGTAGGCAAATTGACCAATCATAGTCGATTATTTTTCGATCGTAAAGAGAACAATTGATCGTGATTGGTCAATTTGCCTGCTGCATACTACTACAACCTCATTGTAGAATGACCTTAAGAAATAGACCAACCACAATCGATTATTATAAGAATAATTGATTATGGTTGGTCCATTTCTTACTGCTTTCGCTCACAACCTTATTCTTGCAGTCATTGGTTGCGTTCAGAAAACAAAGCGCTCACTGAGTGCTTAGTAACTATTGGCCCTTACTGTTAGATCCTTACATTCAGACCAATAACGTTGACGAATTACTCAACCGTTGTGTAACCGTTGTGTTTTCTGAATGCAGCCATTGTAGATGGGCCTTTAGTCTCTCATATCCGTTACAATAGACCATAGACATAGTATATCTAGACTGCGTGTTCGAGGAGTGGGAATATAATTCACGTAGAAAAGGATATACTCTGTTTTTACTGTTCGTTTTCTCTCGCATAGTCCCGTTGGAAGGGGTATAGGGAAGGCAGTTGCTGTACAGTGCTGTACAGTAACCACCGCCCCTATTCCACTTCCATCGGGACTGTGCGAGAGAAAACGAACAGTAAAAACAGAGTGCTTCCTTTTCTACGAGAGTTATATCCCCACTCTTGAAATTTGGGAAAACGCGCTGTCTAGATATACTATGTCTATGCAATAGACATTTCTTTCCCCTCACCCTTCATGGACCACTCCCGCAGCTCTATGCTCTGTCCATATATTCTTACATCCATGAGTTCAACAGTGCAGCTATAAAGAACAAAACCTATATTGAACCTTAAGTGGACATCACACTGTTCAATGCCGTTGGGGACTTGCCTTAACAGGCGTCTGCAGGCAGTATTGAGAGAGAGAGAGAGAGAGAGAGAAAGAGAGAAAGAAAGAGAAAGAGAAAGAGAGAAAGAGAAAGAGAGGGAGAAAGAGATCTTTATTAAAAAGTATTTTGATATTTTATATTGATATCACGTCTTGACGCAGTTAAAGACACAACTAAGTACATCATATATACACGTATATAAGCACGAATATCCTCGATATCATAATTCTGCGCGTACTATACAACAAAAGGGAAATGCCTGGAACTCCGATTGAACAGGACAACAATATGTTAGGGAAATTGCAGAACGAGCGGTCGCCGGATGAGCCAAAGTGCGAGACTGTTGTGAGAGAGATAACGCAGACAGATCGCTTGAATAAGAAGTTACTCGTGTCGGTTTTAGAGCGAATGAAGAAATCAGACGGGCAATTCGATAAATTCATGGAGGACGACAAAGGAAATTGCGAATCACACGATAACGAATTCTAAAACGACCGTCATCTACAAGTGAGTTTAACCTGTTTTTTATAAATCCTTGCGTAGCTTCAATTTAAGAATATAAAACTAATTAGTGAGATATTTATTATTGCTGAATATCCAAAGCTACTTGTAAAATCTCATTAATTTCATGTGTATACATTTAAAATATATATGAAAAAAGAACAAATTTATAATTTTCATAAATTTTGCTACATATTTGTTAGATATGATGATAAACTGATAATGTTTATAATTGTCTATAATATTTCTCTAGGACCCTATATATGTGACTATATTCATATTTAATCAAAAAGTATATACTATTATGGCCAATACTTTTGATTACGAAGGAGACGAAAATATTATTGCTCATTATGAAGACCAAGAATCTGATGGTGAACAAGGTAGCCTGAATGAAGCAGAAGCAACTTCTGACAATGATAAAGATAACGAAACGGGAACTAAGCGAAAGATTGATCCATCAACATCTAAAGCACATGTAATAAGAAATCCAGTACCTAAACTTAATACAGAAAGATTGAAAGGTCCCAATGGTATCCAGACTATTGAAAAATATTTTGAAGGTTTCAAATTTTATGGTAAAGGATATGAAAAAGTAGACCTTAATAGAATTATGAAAAGATTAGAACATTGGTCGCATCGGTTATTTCCAAAATATCACTTTGATGATTTTCTTGCAAGAGCTGAACAACTTGGATCAAAGAAAGATCTTCAGGTGTACATGAAAAAATATCGACTGGATATGATTATTTCAGATGATGGTTTGATCATCAATAATAATGAAGATAATGAAGAAGATCAACAAGAAAGTGTACCTCTTGATGATTTTGATTTATTAATAACAGAACAGATTCAGAAACAAAAGCAAGCTAAAACACAAGTTTCCACATTAGCTGCAACTTCAGCTTCAGAAGATGCATTTGATGAGCTTTTAATGCAGCCCAATAACATATCAAACTCACAAGTACAAACCATGAGCACTACTGGGAATGAATTAAGTGATGACATAAAAGAAAAAATCGAACGGAATAAACAGTTGGCTATTCAAAGAAGACTTCAAAGACAAAATGAACAAGAGGAAATTAAGAGAAAAAAATTGGCTACAAACGAATTTGAAAGTATGAATTTAGAAAATCCAAGTGAAAATAGCAATCTTATAGTTAACGATGAAGTAGATACATCTCAGCTAGATAATATATCGTCTCAAACCAATGAAAATATAAATAAAATAACTTGTACTGACAAGTCAGAAATGAATATCAAATGAAAATTCTCAGCAACAGACTATTCAATTAAAATAAAATATATAGTAATATAAAATTTTTATTGTCAATAAGATATTGCTAACAAGCATTCATTAATATGAATATATTATAAGAAACTGCTGATGTGAATTTATTATAAGAATAAGCTAAGATATAGTTAGAAATATATGTTGCGATTGATTTTAAATGCTTATTAAATACAAATTTAACGTTTATTTGAATTATTTATTAATGTCATGATTAATTTCTACGTTTTTGTGTACTAATGTATAAAACATTGTTTCCACGAATGAAAGCATCACCATATTTATCCTTTAATTGTCCATTAACATATTCTTCTGTTTGTTCAAGTGCTATGTTCATATAACCATCAAGACAAGCTAATACACCTGCAAAAGAAACGTTTTAAAATATATATAAGATGATTTTCCATCAAATTGCAGAAAATACTTTAAGTTTGTTAGATGCAAATAAGAATATAGGAGACTTCTTTAGAATTTTAATTAATAATATATATATATTTAATATATTATGATAAGTAAATACCTCTGTAGTCAACACCACTGTTCAATTTAACGACGACAGGTCGCCCGTGAATTTGTTGTATGAATTGAGATAATGCTTCTTTCCGACTCATCTATTAATATACAAATATATTTTTATCTTAATTATTATTATTTAATATTATTAATTATTTAATATGATACAGAACATTTATCGTGCAAGACATCTTATCTAAGAAATAAGAAGTTGTATCTAAGTCGTGCATATTGAGATTATATTTGCTAATATTCAATAGTAACAAAAAAAATATTACCACTGTATTGTATATTTTCGTAAGTAATGAAAACAGTCAGCACTCCAACAGATATTTCAATCGTAAACGCCTTCAACTGAGACAACTCTCTTGCGATCTCTTAAGCCAGCAGCACACGGTGCTTGTTTTTGTGCTAGATTGCTCGCTGGATGAAAATACTGCGTTCTGATTGGTGCATTTCCATTCATCTTCGGAAATGTACCAATCAGAACGCAGTATTTTCATCTTGAAAACAAGCTCCGTATGCCGCTGGCTTTAAAGCCCGTATCAGACTACGGATTGGGATTGAGTATTGAATTGAAATTTAACCAATCAGAAGTAAGTTTACTATATTTGAAATTATTTTCTCTTTTTCAATTGGTCAAATTTCAATCTAATCTCAATCTCAATCCATAGTCTGATACGGGCTTTAAAGCCTCGTTTATATAGTTCGCAGGATATGTGGGACACAGAAATTGACCAATTACAGTCGAATGTGAGGAAAATAATCGACTATGATTGGTCATTTCTTTCTTATTGTCACTGAAGTCCAATTATATACTAGAAATACTAGTTCTAATTGGTACATTTCTAATATGTTATCAAATTTCTCTAGATCTAGCACGGAAATAAACATATGACAGTGGTTTTATTTATTATGACAAATTTTTGTTCTTTATACCTATACTGAGTTACACTATCTGTACAAAGTGCTTTAGACATTGTGACCATAAGGGCCCTCAAGTGGGAAGCACATATTTTTGCAGAACGCATAATGCAGAATGCATAAGCAAATGAACCAATCAGAGCCTTTAATTTCCACCCCCACTCTTCGCTCCGATCAGGCAGAGTTCAGAAAACATAATACAGAAAGTATCGAAAAGTTCATGAGGACGAATTTTTATGGTTAAATTAGTTATAAGAGAGAAGTGTCGCGCACGCATTATTCTCTTTATTGTACTCCTAATTAGAATTTCTCAGATTGACGATAATATTACGGTGCTTATTTTCTCATACAAAATGTCTTTTTCATATTCTAGTTTTAATTCATCAGAAACACATGGGCAGAATACACAACGCTCTTAATAAACTTAATAAACTCTTGCATAAAGGTATAATATACAATGCGCAAAGAAATCAACCAATTAGAATCTTTATTTTTATTGCCATGTTGGAAATTAAAGACTCTGATTGGTTTATTTTCTTATGTGTTGTGTATTATGCCTTTATGCAAAAGTGTGTGCTTCTCGCTTTAAAGGCCCATCTACAATAGCTGTAAGAATAAGGTTCTAAGCGCAAGTAGTAAGAAATAGACCAACCACAATCGATTATTATAAGAATAATCGATTATGGTTGGTCCATTTCTTACTGCTTATGCTTATAACCTTATTCTTGCAGCCATTGTAGATGGGCCTTAAGAGCTCCACACATGGAATGACAATGCATTCCGATATTCACTGCCAGTACTGAAAATATATACTTTATGTCACATATATTATAAATTTTCAGTACCGGCAGTGAATATCGGAACGCAGCCATAGACACATATGCATAATAGAGGAGCCAATGAGCATCGAGCATTTAGTCGCCATATTGATTTACGCAATAGCATTTAGATGCTATCTAGATGCTCATTGGCCCATAAGCTCTTATGTGATGCATATGCATCATATACATGTCATTTCATGTGTGAAAGCCCTTAGTCATTCTATGTGTGGAGCCCTTAAAACATGAACGTAAACATCTACTATCACATATAACATATATAAAAATCTGATTTTATATATTTCATTTGTGTATTTTAAAGAATTTAGACGGTATTGATAAAAGACAAAATGCCTTTGCCAGCTGCGTTAGCTGCTCGTCTTGCAAAAAGAGGATTAATATCTGGCTCTGAGAAACATGGTATATTTAACCCTAAAAATATATTTAAACAATTATTACTTTTGAAGAATTTATTACATTTTGAGACAATTTACAACCATTTCTAAAAAAAGAATATATTACAACATTATTGTATATATTTTTATATTAAACCATCAATTTTATAGAATCTGGAAAGAAGGAGGCAAAGAAAAAAGTACATGAAGAAGTAATAGCTGAGGATTATGATAATACTAAGGAAGAAATTAATCAAATTGATTTATCTCAAAAATTCATGGTAAGCATAATTATTAAAGCTCAAGTAAGAATACTTTAGATAATAGGATGTATAGAAAAGTAAGAATACTTTAGATAATTGGATATATAGAAAATATTTTATATTTATATTCTCATGTGTATGTTATAATATATGTAGTGTTTTATTCAGGGTTATAGTGGATGTCCCAATAAATATAATATTTATCACGAGTGTACAAAGAAATGTAAGGAATTATGGGGACTAGGACATGTACAACCTTCAGACAAATATTTAAAACGACAAATGAAGTTAATCCAGAAACATCCTTTACCAGAAACATGGAAAGCTGTTTATGATCCTGGATCGTAAGTATTTAATCAGAAATTTGTTATTATCAACATATCTACTTTGTGACAATTTCTAGGGTTATAATAACAGAAAAATTAATATATGATCTGTTTATAGAGGACAACATTATTATTGGGATTGGTCATCTGACTTAGTATCTTGGTTACCACCAGGTCATCCTAAGTGCCAAATATCACAACCTGCATCTCAATTACGAGAAGAACTGCATTTGAAAGCAGGAGATCAAGATGACAACATGTCAAGTGATGATAGTGGCAGTGATCAAGAAGCAATGGAAGTTAGTAATTCTTATATAATATTGTAGACTTACAGTTTTTATATGTTATATAAGCATTATAAATGAAACTAAACAGATTCAACATTCACAAATTCATTATGATTCTTCAGGTAGATGAAATTGATATTAAGAAAGATAGAAAAGTTGAAAATCGTACAAGGTACAAAGGACCAGATAATAAAAGATCTCAGAGGTCTGATAGAACAGATAGTAAAGACAAAAAAGATCGAACATTAGATCCTATGGATCCAGCATCATACAGTGATATCCCAAGGTATGTAATTTTATTACAAAACCATTAAAAAGTTGCGTAATCCATAAGTCTATACAGGGTGGGCCATTTTAATTTATCCACACTGATAACTTTGAAAATTATGGAAATACCGAAAAATGTCGAAAAGAAAAGTTATAGGGTTCGTAGGGGGTCAATTGATAGTGACCTTGACTTTGACCTTGAAGGACATTTTCAGTCATTTGAAGGTCTACTTTGTTTTTCTTAATAGAAACCCCTATTTTTGACCGTGGATTTGAAAAGAGCGGGAAATTTTACATTCAAATATGTTATCATGTTAAGGGTCAATGTAACCCTTAGGGGTTATCTGAAGGTCAAAAAATGACCCAAATAGGAGTTTTAAGGTTCATAGAACTTGACCGAGCTCAGAAAGAGCAAGTAATTTCGTATTCAGATTGGGTTAGGTTGATCTCCAGAGATTATTTGAAGGTCAAATAGCTCATGATCGATCATGAGACTAGTTTCATATTTTATTCAAGTTTTTGACCTAATCGAACCTGAGAATAATAGTTACTATCAAGTCTTAGCCTTTATTATTCGATGAATCTTTACGTGTGCTCTGAGCTGGAATAACAGTGATAAATTATTGTTTAGAGAAATTCATCTTTTTTGCTTTGATTTTGTTCCTATATTGGAATTTATTCAGTTTCACCAGATACGAACTTGTATCATTTTGTTGCTAATTTCCTGATATGTGGTGTTAGATGGTTGCAAAATTATTCGAAATTATTCATTTTTACTTACGAGAGAGTACTCAAGCAGTTATTTTTTTTCCGAAAAGAAAATTTATTTTTTACAAATTCTTATTCTTGAAGAAGTATCTTCCTCAAATTCCATATCAAATATGGCTGGTTATCCGTCAGCGGAAAGGTTCCGTGGCGGAACTGTTGCATGGCCAGCAAGATCTCCAGATTTGACTTCGTCCGATTTCTGTTTATGGGGTTATCTGAAAAATGTGTACGAACGGGCACCAACCAATAGAGAAGATGTGATTGATATAATCCGTACCGCCCGCCAAAATATTCGAAGGGCAGTATTATTAAGAACAGTTCGGTATTTTCAACGAAGAATTTGTTTGTATATCTAGCAAACTGTAGATGTTTTCGAGCAATTGCTTTAATTCTTTGTGAGGTAAGGAGACTCACGTTAATCCAGCACCCCAAAAGAGTTTTAAGTCGCATTGTTACCTCCACGTGGTAAACTCTGGTAACTACAATTTTGTAGGCTAATCACAGACGTAATTTGTTATTTTTTTTTATTCTAACTTTTGATTTGTGCTTAACAATCCTAAAAACCTATAAGATGACCCCTAGGAGTTACATTGACCCTTAATATGATAACATATTTGAACGTAAAATTTCCCGCTCTTTCCAAATCCGTGGTCAAAAATAAGGGTTTCTATTAAGAAAAACAAAGTTGACCTTCAAATGACCTTGAAAATTCCCTTCAAGGTCAAAGTCAAGGTCACTATTAGTTGATCCCCTACGAACCTTATAACTTTTCTTTTGGACATTTCTCGATATTTCCATAATCTTCGAAGTTATCAGTGTAGATAAATTAAAATGGTCCACTCTGTATATATATATATATAATGTATAATAATGTATAATTATAATATTGTAGAGGAAAATGGTCAGATGGATTGGCTAGACATAATGAAGCAAAGACTGGTGCAGATACAACTGCTTCAGGACCTCTTTATCAAATGAGACCATATCCTAGTCCGGGCGCAGTACTTCGCTCAAACAGAGCTAATAAAACGGAATCAGAATCATCAAGTAAACCAAAAGTTGCATTTCCAGAGAAACCAGAATAAATATGTTAATAATAATTATTATTATTATTAAAATTAAATTCCTGTGTATTTTTTCCACATTGGAATTACATTGCTCAAAAGAATTATGGCGTAGATAATTTATTGCCGAAAATTGGCTAACTTTGACTGGCGAATACTTCGCGAAATATTATTGTAGACTAATGATTTTTTTTCAAAATGAAGCTTGAAGTCTCTACTTTAAGAATGTATCTCTATTTTTTGCATGCGATGCACTCCTACTCCTATAATCCCTGACATCTGAGGGCATGTTTGGTATACTGAAAATTGCAAAGTTTGACGGAATGCACGGACGTGGACAATTTTTTTTCGGGGATGCCATTTGCATCGTCATAAAGTTCAAATCTTCCCCTTCAATTTGAAAAAAAATGGAGCGCTACAATTTTTTGTCGCAAAATTACAGCCCTTCAAAAATATCGTACGGAACCGTGGAGAAAACGAAGAGAGTTTGTTTGCCGATGCTAGGAATGTTGGCTGTGGTCAAAACACGAGCCAGGAGCTGAAAAACTTGCGTGCGTATGTCAACAAACATTTTTGCCGTTGCTCCACTATGATTTCCAGTCATTTAATTCACCGGCCAGTACTTGGTCCGAAGGCCAAAAACAATGATATTTTTTAAGGGCTGTGACTTTGCGACAAAAAATTGTAGCGACTCCATTTTTTTTCAAATTGAAGGAGAAGATTTGAACTTTATGACGACGCAAACGGCGTCTCGAAAAAAATTGTCCACGTCCGTGCATTCCGTCAAACTTTGCAATTTTCAGTATACCAAACATGCCCTCAGATGTCAGGAGTTACAGGAGTAGGGGTGCATCGCATGCAAAAAATGGAGATACATTCTTAAAATAAAGACTTCAAGCTTCATTTTGAAAAAAAAATCATTAGTCTACAATAATTTTTTGCGAAGTAATCGCCAGTCAAAGTTAGTCAATTTTCGGCAATAAATTATCTATGCCATAATTCTTTTGAACAATGTATTTGTTATGAATTAACACATTTGTGGACACAGACTTAATTAATACGAAAATGGTTGAAGTTTATCATTAAGTATGTGCGTTATGGATTGATCTATAGATATCACAAAATGTAATGATATTGAGTGATCTTAGTAAATCTCAAAATAAATTGATTTCCAAACAATGCATATGTTAAAAATATCTTACTTAAAATGTTTAAGGTATAATATAATATTGTTTTGAATAGATAAATGGCTTTTTTGGTGCAGTTTCTTAAAATATTATATTATATATAAAATATTATATATAAATAATAATGTAATATATATATATATAATATATTATATATAAATATTATATTATCAATATTGAAATACGTATTGATAGGTGCGTACGGCGACCGATAATCGGTACATCAATGCGTGAACTTTCACACATGTTTTGGCTATGTCCCGATATTTATTGCACTAAAAAGCACTAAAAATCTATAGTTTATGTAATATAAACTATGTATTTTCAGTACTGGCAGTGAATATCGGAATACGGTCTTTATCTAGTTTTGTACCACTTAACTGTCGAAGAAGATAAAACTCTGCGACAGGTCGGTAGGAAGGAGTGAGGCCTAATCGAAGGAATTTATCATAAATGCCGTTACCGCGACTCAAGCAGCAGTTTACCGTATTTCGTCAGAGTGGTTGCGTCGCTAATATCTGACAAATCGCGCGGCGGCAGTGGTAATATTTTTACGATTTCGCGCCAGCTTTACGAAAATGATTATCAATATTCCGACAATACTCATCATTTTTATTTCGCTTGTACCTGCCTATGATAACGCGAATCTAGGATCTACAGAATTCCTCATTGGTGAGTTAGAGGTTACCGACCCAATTTACCGCAATAACCGTAAAATATTTATTATGCATTAATTTCGTAAAATTTGGAAAATCATTTGTTACTCTTCTAAAGGATATCTCTCAGACACGTGTATCATCTCTGTGAATCTGACATAATTTCTATAGATATTTTACACAATATAAAATATAAAAATAAAAGAAAGAGAGAGAGAGAGAGAGAGAGAGAGAGAATGTGTATGTGTAAAAAAAAGCACATTCAATAAACGGCAAGTAACAGTAACATCGCATCGGTATCAATCATCATCAATGTATTAATTGCATCAAAATCAATATTATTATTTCTCTCTCGATAACGTAATTGACGTGTACAGTAATATTATATATTATTATATATAATAATATTATATATTGCATTTATACCGTTGAATGAGAAATTATAATAATGTGTGATAATTTTCAAGTTAAATCAAAGTGTGATTTTACATAAATCTTAACAACGATAAAGGAAAAGAAAAGAGTAAAATATAGAAATGGATTTTTATAGTTTCGTCGTGCATAACAATGAGAAAATTATTATGCGAGAATCAAAGTATTGAAGACACTCAACAAATTTCAGTCATGCAATTTCCGTAATTCGTAAATCATGTCGCATTTTAGAATAATTTCTATGAGTGCATTCTGTCGCTTTGTCGTAATTTCAGAACGCGTTGCGCATCGTACACCGTCAATAATAAAGTTTATTAAAAGTTAAATAAAAGTTTTTAACACTTGGTATATTATTCCTGAACAAAAGTGTGTTTCCGAATAAAATGACATCACAAATGGGAAACAGATAAAGTTTTCCGCAAAGAGCTTACATGTATGCTAACAAGAATTATTTAGCCATCGGTTTTATCGGAACTATAATTATTAATCATTAATGTTATTGCAAATGTTATTCGAACTACATTATCGCGGTATTATTGTTAAATTTACACGGACAATTTCGTGGACAATACCCAGGCTGAGCAGAAAATCCTGATGACGTCAAAGTGACGTCAAAGTGATGAGGAAAACTTATTCTTTCATCACGATTCGGTATTTTCTCGTCACTTTGACGAGATCATCGTAATTTCATATTCTACTCAGGTAATTGCTCCGCGGAAATATACTCTAACGCGCACGTGTTTCATCCGCGGAATGTAGTCGTGAGGAACGTCAGACGGAATTCACACCCGGAACATTCAGGGTTTTCTCAAGATTTGTTACAAGATTTCGACGAATCCTTCGACATCTGTTCTATCCTTTGCTCGACCTACTCCGACCTAATCCGGACCTACTCACCTTCTAACATAGAAACACCTTGTTCGCTTAGACAGGAATCAGCATGAGATCCCGACGGAGAAGGACTCGTGTTGTGCCAAAGAGTTCACGAAGATCACGAAGATCTCAGAGTTGGACGACAAAGACAAGCCGAAGGAAAACTGCACGCCGCACTCGCTCGAGGAGTTCCCGGAAGATCTGTTCACAGCGGAGCAACGACGCCAGGGCGCAGTGGCGTTGCACACCTTCTTCGGCCTGTACTGCTTCTTAATGACCGCGTTGGTCTGCAATGATTACCTGCTGCCGTCGCTGGACTGCATCTGCACGCGTATGAAGATCAGCAGCGACGTGGCCGGCGCGACCTTCCTCGCCGCTGCGAGCAGCTTCCCCGAGCTCTTCGTCAACATAATCGGCACCTTCCTGACCGAGTCCGATCTCGGGGTCGGCACTGTCATGGGCAGCGCGGTCTTCGATACCTTCGCCACCCCGGCGTGCGGTGCGTTATCGGCGTTTCACGTAAGTACCTCTCGAAAATGTCGAAATCGCGCATAAAATCATGCCCGAGAGGATATCGAATATCGATTTGATGATATTTCGATTTGAAAATCTTCGCTCATTTATTTCCACCTCTGTTGAATGGTTCTTATGTAAGCCAGCCAGCCACGCGTTCTTTCCTCGACTTGCGCTACTTTACGCATATTCATACGTACGTGTACGTCCGGGAGTTTGGGACTAGACGAGGAGAAGGAAAACAAGAGACGATTGCATGAAGAATTCGGCGTATCAATATTTCCTTGTGTAAACGATCGGTGGAATCTCCAGTGTTTGGTTTATATGATAACTCACGTCATGAACATGACACAACCATGCGTGCGCGTACGTCCCTGCGTACAGCGATCTATACACGCTAATCACCTCAACATCCTGATCCCGGTTCCGATTATTCCCCTCAAATAATGTGGTATCTGTGATACGATGCATATCTGTCTTTCCTGTGTTTGCGTGCCTGTGCGACAACAAGATGTCGTGCCAATTTCATTCGGAATATCGTCGATAAGCCATCTTATCGAGACAACACGCGGTCTATCAATTTCTCGACCAAAACATTTTGTAGGTCACAGACATGAAAATCGAACTTTTTAATTAAGGGCTTTTTTTCTGCGTTTACATATGTAATAGTTTCGGCGATGTATACTTTTATTAGAGCTGCTGCGTTTTTTCTCGTATAAAATCTCGATTTTTACTTTCTCTCGCGAATATCTCCCGTTATCTTCATCATTCAGTACTTATATTTAGATTTTTGATTGTCATTTCGAGTTTTATCGGTATTTGACATCAAAGGGAGAAATAACAGAGATTTCGTAACATTTAGATTAACAGCGTCCGTAAGAAACATTTTTTTTTTAACTGAAATACTTCACAGCACATAAAATTATTTTCCCTTATCTCTCGTGCGTCTCATGTTCAACGGTTGACAGTTGAATTATTCATTGACTTTTGAATCATGCAATTATCTCATCTGATTATTTAATCACGATTATCTGGATATATCTGAGACGATTTTTGATCATTTCGGAGCGTGAGAAGTCTCAATATCGTCCCCGCATTTGTAAGAACGACATTCGCCGTTTTTCAACAATTGCAATTTTGTATGCGGCAAACGCGGCAGGAAATCTTATTATGTAATACACTCAGTTGTAAGATACGGCAAGAGTTAAAATAAAAAAGAAACTGCAATGCTAGAAGATTATATATGAATACTGCAGCTTGAAGATTTCTGCGTAGTAGTGTACATTGTTTTTCGTATTTATCTAATTTTATTCGTTACTCTTATTTAATCGTGCTCATTACGTAACGAGGACACCGACCGCTCGCGTTATTGTTTGAGAATCTCGGATGCGAAGAGTCAAAAAATTGTCACAAGAATCCCCGATGTTACGAACAATGTCGTACGCTGATACGACGATGATGTGTTTCCTTTATCGTACTTGGCTCGATTTGTCAGAACAAACACGTCTAGATTGACGGATTTTATCGCGATACGAAAGCTTGAGATCCGGACTGTCAGAATCCACCTGTCAATTTCACAGAATTAAAATCCATTTTTACACTCCAACGTAGTCTCGCACTCATGTATATTATATACTCACCTAACGTTAATTAAAATCTGATAAGATATACTGGTCCGGGTCCGTTCTGGTACGATAAGTTTGATCAGTACTTAAATCGATATAATTTTGCGCTACTTGTATACAAATTACCATCTGTATCGCGGGACAAATAACCCGAGAAAATCTTTTCTAACATTATCCGACATCACATTCCCATATTATCAGCTAACAGCTCAGTTTTGCGGACAGCCTGCGCGTTTGCTATCGACGTTCTCTACTACGTACTATCTAGCACGATATTTTGGTATACAGAACGGTCGCATGAATTTCAACATTTAATGGCTGCGATATTCAAACACATGCATTGCAAAAATATGCAAAAATGCCGCATTCGTCTGCAAAATTATGGAAACGGATAGAAATCGTAATAACTCTAATAATAATGCGATTGTTGCGGCTTGCGTGTCGTACGGTGGCGTTGAAAGAAACGCAACGGGTTGAACGGGTTCCTCCGATCGATTTCTCATTCGTCCATTGATACACGTCGTCCAAGATAACGAACTTTCGCTGATTGCGCCGTACAATTCTTGCAAATGATAATGCTACAACAACAATAACAGTCATTGTCCGTATTCTTTTCTTGACCATTCTTTTCTATATGGATGTGCAACGATAGTATATCGTTCCATTTCGCGTCGACAGTTTATTGTTCCATAAAGATTACGTGTTTAAGGCTTAATTCCGTTTTTTATTGGTGTCTCGTAAGAGCTCCATATAAGAGAAGGACGTTCGAAATGAAGGAAACTGCTTTCTTAGAGATTGCAGAGACTGCATAATCAATTCTGAGCTAAACACTATTTGTTTTTTTTTTCTTTTTTTTTTTTATAGCTCGCGTCACCCGCAATACCGTCGGAGTAAATAAAACTGTTTCCATTTTTATGTTCTCCAACAGGTAATACAATTAGAGTGGCGGATATTAACTCGGGATTGTATATTTAACGTGATATCAGTTGGAACTTTGGTGGTCATAATGTGGGACGGCGTGATCGAGTTGTACGAAGCAGCCATCCTCATAGCACTGTTGATCGCTTATTTGATAATATTATTTTGCGGCAAATACTTTATTCGTTGGTACAAGAAGTTGGCACGTCTCTTCACTAGCAAAACCGGCAGTACCGCCTTTTCCGGAGACGAATGTAAGTACTATCATTAAATTCTTGGGATATCTATCAAATAATATCTCTATTCTGCGATATGAGTTACAAGCAAAACAAAGTAACGATACGAATAACAATGATATCAATATTATTTGAACTTTAAACCTTAACGTTTCAGACAATTCGCAGGTAATATTCATTAGCGTGATTTTATGGTAGAATTAATCATAATTTGTACAACAAAATTCTACAAAAGATGATACACATATACGCATACATATATATCGTATATATAATAATTAATAATGCATTTATTGATTCAACATGCAAATATGCGTAGAGTAAAAAGGAGAGTGATGTAAAATAATTGTTCATGACATGTCCTCTAAATAAAGTGAACGAGTATCAAAGTTCTCGCGATGCTCTCGAATTCAAGCAAGTCGCTCAAGTATAAATTGGTCTAATCAGAAATTCGCACATCTCCGTAGTATTTTTTTTTTTTACGTTGATATGTAATACTCGTCGACAGGTAATGGCGCAATTTACTATAACCGCGTATGCGTTCATCTAAGAATCTAAGAATCTAGAGAAACCCATGGACCCCGTCCTATGTATGAACTTTGCACTTTGTTATTCGACAGCTCCCGAGAACAAGGAAGAACCCATGACCGACGGTCTCTACAGGCCGTATTTTCATGGCGAGCTCGTGGCGGAATATAGAAAGAAAAGTCTTACTAGCAACGCAGTTCATAAGACCTCGACTGATTGCGCTGTGGAGGCGCAGAATCACGTGAAGATGACGGAGGAATATATAGAGCCAAGTACGTACACACCGTGCGCGCGCGCGCGCGCGAACGCCTTGTGTGCGAACGCCACGAGTGCAAGCGCTTAATCCGAATATAGCGAAGGCAAACTGCTGGCGTAACAAATGGAATACCTATTTACTGCGATAAGATAATCCCAATATTAACAGAATAGTAAATTGCTGCATTCTTTTGCGGACGCTCTCGTTTTTAGATACACCCTTTATATGGCCGAGCGGCGATAGACTAGCCAAAATCTGGTTCTGGTTTATTTGGCCTTTAAGACTAATCTTATTCGTTACCGTACCGGACAGCAGGTACAAACGATGGAAGAACTGGTACCCGGTAACGTTCGTCATGTGTGTCACGTGGATTGCGATCACCTCATACCTGGTGTCGTGGATGATGACCGTTCTTGGCGACACCATGGGAATTTCGGATTCCATAATGGGTCTGACGTTTCTGGCCGCCGGCGGCAATATGCCGGAGCTCATCTCGATCGTGATACTCGCTAGGCAAGGTGAGTAGCCGGGTGAAAAGCCGGGCGTAACCGTGGGTAACCGTGAGAACATCTCTCGATTCTCGAGACCACAATGCGTCCTCTTCTCAGATACCGCATTAAAAATCGATCTCGATGAAATTTAAGTTTAAAAAAGGGTCCCTTGGCCCGTTAGCAAGGTCAGAAAATCTACCTTGTCTGACCTTGCAGATCCCGATAGAAACTCGAATTATATAACACCTAATTATATGACACCTTTCGCGCGCAATCGTTGCTATTTGGGATTCATTTTGTTTTCAACATTGTACGCAGGTAACGGCAACATGGGTATGAGCAATACGTTAGGCGCGAACACGCTTGACATTCTAATGTGTCTCGGCTTACCATGGCTCATCAAGACCAGCATGACAGGCAAGAGCGTTCACATCGTCTCCGGTGCGTTGTCATACAGCGTGCTCTCCATCATCGTATGCGTAATTATTTTCTACACGGTGGTCGCAATGTGCAGATATCAACTGAACAAAACAGTGGGCGTGATTTGTCTGATATTATACGCGATATTCCTCGTTTTCGCCATATTGGTCGAACTCAACGTCTTCTTCCACGCAAATTTACCCATGTGCTAATCTTCCCGAGCGTACTCAACTTGTCTCATCGCTTTCTGTCTTCTGTTTTCAACTGATTTTCGCGAGGCGAAGGAATCAACTGATTGAATCGGGATCGCCCTCGACAGCTTTCCAGGCGTACTTATGCCCAATTTCTTCACCTCTAGATAAGTTGTCGACAACTTTATCCATGAGATATCTCCCAGAATCGGTTTTCTTCATCTTTAAGTAAAGTTTGTATCCGGCAGATAAACTCAGATATCCGGTACCTGAAGTAACGGATATCTGACAGATATTGATTTCAGTGCCCTGACATAATCTAAAAATCACAAGAATACGTAATTGTTGTTTTTATGAAAATACAAACATAATAATTTATTTGTTGCTCTTTGGATATTAATATTTGTGAATCTGATGATGATGATGATGGTGATGAATTTGTAAAAAGAAGACAAGGAGAATTTCCCGAAACAACATTACATTCGTCGTAAATTTTTCCCCAAGCTTCATTTTTATCTTTCCCTGTTGTTCCATCGTTCTTTTATTTTCGACACAATATGTGTATATTTGAATCCATTAAGGCCCAAGCGGACATAAACGGACATTTGAGCACCCTGCCTAGCCAAAACTAAATTTTGCCAGGATAACTTGCTCCCTAGGGGCAAAAATCTCCACTCCTTCGATTCCCGTCGTTATTTTTCACCCACAACCCCCGGAAACCTTAAAACCTTAAAAAGAGTGTAAAGAGGGTAAATTTGGGAAAATGTGTCTGTGGCAGTTTAATTAATGAATAAACGACGAGAAAAAAATGCTTCAAAATTAAAAGTACGTTACCTTAGTATTTTCTTAGGACACTAGTGTGTATTCGGTGGTATTTTTAAATTCCAACCCTTTGTAAAGGTAGCAGATGGAGGAATGAAATTGAACTGCTTAGATTTTTGAAAATCGGGTTTTGGAACATCAAAACTTTTTCTTGAGCAGTCCTCCCAATGTTTTCCATGTGTTTAATAATAATTCATCACATGCAACCCTCAGCAAGGGTTGCAGAAGGTTGCAATAATATCGTTAGAGAGGGTGAGATACCGATATTCCTGTCAAGTATGTATCTTACGTACATTATTTTTCTTTGGAAATTTGAGGAATATTTTTTTCTCTTTCGTGCCATTTTTCGTGAAAAATTATCGTAATTACCATAAAACACATGAAAGACATTGTGAGGACTGCTCAAGAAAAAGTTTTGATGCTTCAAAACTCGATTTTCAGAAATTTGAGCAGTTCAATCCCATTCCTCTATCTACTACCCTTACAAGGGATTGGAATTTAAAAATACTATCGAATACACCACTAGTGTCCTAAGAGAATACCAAGGTACTTTTAATTTTGAAACATTTTTTTCTCGTCGTTTATTCGTTTATTAAAGTACCACGGACTTTAAAAATACTTTTTCCCGAATTTATCTTCTTTATACTCTTTTTAAGGGGGTTTCCAGAACGGATGAAAAATAATCTGAGCTGGAATCGAAAGAGTGGAGATTTTTACCCCTAGGGAGCAAGTTTCCCTGGCAAAATTTAGTTTTGGCTAGGCAGGTTACTCAAATGTCCGTTTACGTCCGCTTGCGCCTTATTGGGTTGATATAATGTCGATTAACAAATTAATTTCAGTTCTTGTAAAATTTGCTCCTCTTTTTTCCTTCTTCATTGAGCCGGATAATTGTCTTTTCGACACTTTTCAAAATAGTTAACCGAAAATAGGCGCAAAAATATTTATTTTCGCAAAATATAATCTCACTTGAGAGGAATATGTTGAGAGGAATATGAGAGGAATCGCTGGCAGAATATGATAATTTATAATAAATTTCTGGTACATTTTGTGTCGAAAGTTAGTAATATGAAAAATAGCTATCTGTTGGATACGTAAACAGAGATTTAAGGACCGGTTGTTCCAATTTCTTGGTAAGTTAACTAATAGTTAAATCATACGTTTGTCTTTGTTTTTCCTTCTACTTACACAAAGACAGACATATGATTTAACTATCAGTTAACTTATCAAGAAGTTGGAACAATCGGCCCTCAGTGAAGAAAACGAATTTTTAGTTATCTGATGGATCTTTGTCTGAGAAATAGCTATTGGGAAGTGTGAATAAATTAGGCATTAGGAGAGCGAGTCGACACTAACACAGTACGACAGAGAACATGTACAAAAAAGAAATTCGTCGAGTGTGACGAAGTTGACACGAAACTGTTGTTACAAGCGTCTTGATCATCTCTCTTGTTCATATTTTTATCCCATAAACTTTCGATCACGTATACACACACGCGTACATACATTGTTTCATTTTAAAAAACGCACCTCGATAATTCTTTAACGAAGCATTTTCAGCAAAAATGTTTCGGACAGAAGTTATAAGAATCACTGGGGGCCATCGACCGGCGACCTTGAAGTCAATTTTTAAGATCAGGTCAAGGTCAACTTAATTTTTTTAAACGGAAACTGCTATTTTTTATTATATCATCTTTTTCTACCAATTAATTTGAACAACTTTTCGTCTGAAACATTTTTTTATTTACCTAATATGTTTTGAGATATTTCAGGGAAACTTGATGACTTTTTCAATATTTAACTTACGATATCTCGCTAACTATTTGTCGGAAGAAAAAATAGTACTAGACTTTTTTACTCTATTTGGTCTCAAGAACATATTGTTACAATAGTTCCCTAACTTTTGTTAATTTATTGACTTTTGGAAATTTCAAAATCATCAAATTAGCCAAAGTCAGGGTGCTATTGTAACAATATATTCTTGAGACTAAGTAAAGTAGAAAAGTCTAATAGCATTTTTTCTTCCGACAATAGTTGGCGAGATATCGTAAGTTAAATATTGCAAAATAGTTTCGAGTTTTCCTACAACTTTTGTCCGAAACATTTTTGCTGAAAATCCTTTGTTGAAAAATTATCAAGGTGCGTTTTTTAAAAATGGGACACCCTGTACATATAGACAAATACGCGAGTGCCAATCGAGTACGCTTTTGTACTGTAGAATAAATGTGGAATTTCCATTAAAGACTATTTATTATTTTAGAAAAAAAGAACATTCTTGTTGTATATTGTTGTATACTCCGTCTTGCACGTTATGATATCTGATTCTGTACAAAAAATTTATGCTTACAAATCGAAGAACCGTAATGACTATAACAACTATAATAAACTAAGAACTTTGTATCCTTGACGAAGTATCCCTCTGTCTTTCGGTTTCAGGATTAATCTTTCTGTTGAAAGAACTAATACTCCAGGTGCGAATTTATAGATTTTATTATAAAAATTATTATATAATTTATACACTAGAGAGAGAGATGTTATAATGCCGTAAATTGTGAAGACGCAAAAATGTTCTTGAAGTGTCTATTGTTGGGATGGGCGAACCAATCGCGACCTACTGATCACCCGCGCTTTCCTTCGTATAATGTTCGATCGCATTCGTCGAGAAAAGCGTATTTTATATATATATACACATACATACACATACACACATTTATATATACACTTACACGCGCGCGCGCGCACACACACACACACACACACACACGCACACATACATATGTATGTATATATTTACTTATATAATTTAATCCGCGTATATAGTACTATTTAAAGAAACGCGTGACTCTTTTGTGGCAAAGTACATAGTTTCGGAGGGGAGAGGCATGCCGCTTCTCAAAAACACAGCAAACGAAACATAGATCCCGATATATCGTATAAAGATTGCCCATCCCAAAACTCTTAATGTACTATTAGTATAAATCGGCTTCGACCGGCCACTTTTATATATATTTACAAGCGGACGGCATGACATTTCTCATCTGATGTCGATTCCTCCCGCGTTTTGCGAGCACGAAGCGATCGGTTTACGGGGGATTCCGCGCGCGAACCAGTTTACTCTCGTTTTTTTTTCTTTTTTTCATTTTTTCCTAGATATTCATGAGAGAGTTCGTCGCGTAAAGGTTCAGTTACGTTGTGAAATATTCGTTTTATACGTGTTACGTTACGCGCTTGTGTTTTCTCCGTTTTCCTTTTACATACGCGCGTTACGCTTTGCGGTAACCGTTATGCGCGCGTCAACTTTTTCGTTTCGCTCGTTCCGATACTCTTGCAGAGAGAAAGAGATCGAACAAGAGAGATCACCTTGTGGTCGCAAGTATGCTAAATCGCAAGTATAACGATATATAATCGCCGCGACAATGGTCATCCACATGGTCATTGAGGATATGCCACAGCGATGATAATGAGATGTCCATCGCAACATTGGTCCCCTTAGTCATTCAGGATGTCGCCAGTGACCGTGTACGAATATTCCCAATGACCATCGGGATATCGCTCCTCAGCGTCGAGGACGCTTTTGTATTCGGCGGATAGATGCTTGTCCATCCCCATCGTCTGCATACGAATCGATTGGCTCGTGCTCTTAAAACGCGGAAACGACCGGGCAATAGAATATCATGACGACTTCGTATTAGTTTTACTCGGTACAATTAGAAGGACTCTGCGCGTCGGAAATATTTTTTTCGTTTTTCTTTTATTCTCGTCGGGACTCGGATATTGCTTTTCTATGGCGCCATTACGTTGCCGTACTTCCTTCCTATCACATTAAAGATATGATAGACTTGCCTATGCGGCGCGGTCAGCGAAATCTATGTATTTACGAGAGTAAACAGGCGATAAGTAAGCAAGTAAGTAAGTAAGTAAGTAAGTAAGTAAGTAAGTAAGCAAGTAAGCAAGTAAGCAAGTAAGTAAGCAAGTAAGCAAGTAAGTGAGCAAGTAAGTAAATAAGTAAGTAGGCGGTGGAGGGTGGGCGATAGGCCGCGGTGACATGTTGCGTACGTTTTTCCTTTGGACGTTTCTTTTCCTAAATCAATTACATCACAAAAGGTTAAAAATAAACGTCAACGTGCCCCGAAGAGGTAACGTCGCTTTTGTTACTCGTCAAAATGTGCTTTCATCTCTCTTATGTCGTTCAACAAGATGATGATGAACTGCTGACGTTTGTGTTTTTGTGAGTATAAAATGCATAACACACTCTGAAGAACAATCGAAAGTAGACTGAGCTGATTAAACAGGAACCATTCGTTCTAGCTAAACAGAAGCGAAATGATGGGAAGTAGAGCGGATTTAAAGTCCATCTCGGAGAGCGAATAATCGAAATCGGTCTTGGCAGGATCGTCTTAATTTCAATGGGTTCGATGGGTTCGTAACCCGTGTCCTATCTGGATTCGGTATCCCATTGTGGCACAGATGTGCCACGGTTGAAGTACACGCAAACGAGCGTAACGTGTGAAGAATAATAACGTACAGAAACTGCGGGAACGTGTTGTCGAGTTCGACTTTAAACTTTAGACGTGAGATTGTTCTCCGATCATGTCGTATAGCGAGCGCGATGCCGATCTTACAATTGACAAATTAACGACACGTTGAATCTGTACTCACGATCAAAAGACCATCGAGGGATCGAGATTTGGATCAATGCCCGCGCAATTTTACGTCGGTCTCTTCTGAATTTATCTTCCCCTCCACTGTGAGGCTACACACACGAGCTGAATTTCAGGCAGGCGCTTACACACACATAGACACGCTTCAAGTACCGATGCCTTAATTCTCGTTTACTTCTAATAAAACTCACCAGCGACGACTCGATCGATTGTAGGCAACGGACGACGCGGTCGTCGACAACAAGAGCAATTCCTATGTTCGTCACCGTACTTAGCGACTTACTTATTGCAACTCGCGTAAATACTCGAAAATGTAAAAAACAATGGGTGATGTGGAACCCGCATTGGTGATTATCGCTCGACGTACTCCCGGAGATCGCTATGTGTGTCGATTCGTAAGCATTAATGCCGCGCGAATTCTACGTTCGCGCCATTTTATTTTCATTTACTGTGCGCGATTATTGGTTTTATACGCGTAGCGACTGACTCTCCTATATCACTCCCAAATATTTACAGTGGACCTACATCGCTGTACCTATATGTATATGTATATATGTATACGTATATGTATATTTATATATCATTTCGACGGACACGTCGAGATCTGTCTCGAAGAAAACCGTATGCGCGATAAAAGCGTTCTGGCAGCTTCCATTATCCACTGTTTTCTTTTTTTTCGTTTCTGAGTCACGCGGCGTCGCGTATTTCCGAGAAACTCGCGTTTATCTTCGATAATCGGCTTGATCGAGACTGGAGAATGCGATGATATTTATACAGAGAGATAGAGAGAGAGAGAGAAAAGAGAGGGAAAGAGAGGGGGGAGAGAGAGAGAGAGAGAGAGAGAGAGAGAGAGAGAAAGAGAGAGATAGCACGACGGAGATCTCCGCACGCACGTAAAAACGAGCGTAACCTGTAAAGTTACGCACAGGATGTCATGTGTAAAGCAACGCGCACGTCCGGCAAAAATATCGAGGATAGAATATAGTTGTGGCAAATGGCGCTTCTCGGTGCCCACGAGACTGCACATTTTTTCTTACACGCTACTCTTGACGCATAGATCTCACTCAGCTCCGTCCTTAACACTAACCAGAAAGAAAAGTTGCCTGTAAACTATGTAGCCAAGAAAAAAGTGCGCTATCATTTCTTTCTTCAAAATATTCATTGTACATATCATATACATGTGAGTCCGCCATCTTTACATGCGCGAGAGATCCTCTCGCGGGCTACCGTACTTGAGCAATGTTTCGAATGATCGGTAAAGCGGCGCTTTAGTACGTAAGTGAAAAGGCGCGATGGTGACTTTCCATCTTTCATCCCTTTTCTTCTTCTTTAGCCTAGGATAATTTAGCCGCAAGATAAATCGAGTACGCGCCCGGAAGAATACGTCCGGGAGCGTCGACAGTTCGCGCGAGGACGTAATCGCGAGTTATCGCTACGAACTTGGCGTCTCTCACCCCCTCGAATGATCTCTCTTCGGGACGTTATTTCACCGACCGAGTGCGATAAGGCGGACAAAGCCATAAGCTGTCGTGGGCGATGGACAAATAAACGGTCGTTCGGAGAATACCGGTCATCCATTGAAACGAAGATCCTTTGCGTTGGACACACAATGTCCGGCTGTTTCGAGATTCTCCTCCTGCCTCGCGTTCAATTCTATCGCGCGTATTCGTGTTTATAAGAACTTACATCTGAGTTGGACTGAGCTTACTTGAACGGAGAGATACCTGACGCACAATCACGCATGTATCTCGGGGAACGTTCATGTGTGAAAATGTCACGAATGTAACGCGGAATCGCTAAGAAGAGCGCGTAAATAACGTCTAAACATATTCAACACGACGGATGAATGAGACAAGAGGGTGAATCGGATTTTGAATTAACAAAGCCTCGCCCGCGCACCGATTCACCTTCCCCTCTAGTTCGCACATTCCTCTTGGTCTCCTCTTTTCGAGCGATTTTCGATCCTCGCGCAATTTATTCTTCCCGGAAAAATACGGAATGCGCTCCTTTCCGTCGTGTCCAAAAGCGAGAAATTGCCGACGCACGACGTCTCTCCATTAAAAATCTATGAAAAACTTGTACACTTGCATGTCGCGCGTCCTCCTAATACGCAATGCGGTCCTCTTCTTGGTCTTCGAACAAACTAAAAATCTATCAGAGTAACGAACCGAATAACAACGAGACATAGAAATACCTAGAAGTGGGGACAGCGAGCGGTCAGAGGTCGAAACGCGAGAGCGTAGCTCAACCCAAGCGGCAGCTGCGGCGAAAGAAGTATGCGTCCGAAAATCCGGCTGCCGGAGTTAACGAAGTGGCGCATTGCGTCAGGGCGTGAGAACACCGGGTGGAGTACTCAAAATGCAACGCTGCTGATAAATATCATCATCCTCGATAATCCTACGACCTATGACGTAACTTTTTAGGTAATAATAATAATCGACGTGCTATAACCGTTCGAATTATCCGATTATCCGCAAGTCATCTCTTTATTCGACCAAAGTGGCAGAACGAGTGTATCTTTTGGTATTTTCGGTGGACACTCTAGATACTCCGAATTCCTTTCACTACAAAATGTATATGTGTGTGTTGTGTGTGGTCTGTTTATTTGTGTGTATATATAGCAAACAGGATTATTAACTTTAAGAATAATGAACACCTTAGAATCGCGAATGGAAACCTCGACGACGAATGTGCCTGCAATCGAGAGATTTTACGGAAGGTTTGCTTTTGAAGCAGTCACGTGTTACTGTGTACGTGTAATATGTGTGTGTATGTATACGCGTATACGTGTTATGTGCTTTCAATAAAGCGCAAATGCGATTCCGTTTAACGAAAGACAGACAGGGACAGACAGACAGACAGAGAGAGAGAGAGAGAGAGAGAGAGAGAGAGAGAGAGAGAGAGAGAGAGAGAGAGAGGGAGAGGGAAAGAGAGAGATAGATTCATGCGAAATCGCCTTTGACTTCCCTCATCTACGAAAATCCTACGAGTGTCCATAAATAATGTAACGTAACGCGACGTAACGTGCGAAAGAGATTTAGAAAGAGAGAAAGAGAGTTAGAAAGAGAGAGAGAGAGAGAGAGAGAGAGAGAGAGAGAGAGAGAGAGAGAGAGAGAAGGAGTTATCAAATCACGCGCGCGCGCGAAAAATCACCCGCGGCTATGCCTCGCCATCGGACACGTCGCGAACAGGTTGTCCGATGTACTCGTAATTAATAAGTATTGTCATCGACTCGGATGTGTAATATGTACACTCGACGTGCGCCGCGACCAAACGGGAGCGAGGACGTGGACGAGGAGTCCGCGCGTCGGTCCTCGGGCTTGACAATACCGGGGCGAGAACGATGGACCGTCGTCGCGCTCTTCACTGTATCTCGCAGAACGGCAACTTATTGTTCACTTCCTTGGTCTGCTCCTGATCCTGGCTGTTGCCGCCTTCGCTTTTCGGACTGCCAGCCTCCTCCAGGGAGCCCCCACCGCTGCCGTGGGGGCACATCGATTGTCATCTAAGCGCCAGGGTGGACACCATCGGCGGTCGGGACGGTTTGTTATCAAGGATCCTCTCGATCTCGCTCATTATGCTCGCGTTCAATTTTGGGATAAGCTGAAAGCACACGACGATGTTTCTCGTTTTGCTGATTTCTTCTTGCTCCCCACACGGTATTTGATCCTCTCGATCAATACCGTTGCTCGGGACCCACGATCGGGGTCCTACCGATTCCGAATGCAGCGTTGAGAGAACGCGCCGAGTAACTTTATCCACGCTACGTGTCAAATTCGCTGCATGATTTAATTTAAGCGAACGGAGCTGGATTTACCTGCAAACTTTGGAGACTCTCGTACAGTTGATCTATATTGGACGCACCGAGCAGAAGGCACTGAACACTTTCATTCTTTAAAGACCACGCGATGGCCAATTGTCCGAAAGAACAGCCCAGTCTTTCGGCCAGAGCACACACGTCCCGCAATTTATCCGAGTACTTCCGTGTCTCTTCGTCGGCGGACTTGTCCTTCCACGCGTACTCCTGCCGTGAAAACGGATCATTACTTCAGAGAGAGAGAGAGAGAGAGAGAGAGAGAGAGAGAGATAGAGAGGAAGAGTAGCGCACAGAATCGAGTTTTGTGTGTTAGAGACATATTGAAATTATAATTAATAACATAAAATTAATGACATTAATTAGTCACAATAAATTAATTAACTGCATTAAATTAATAATTAATTTAACGTAATAACATGAGAGGAAAGTATAACGGTGTGCACTTTACGCTCGCGAAAATGACTGATTGGTCTCCGCGAACGTAGATTTAAAAAACTACAAATAAAACGCGATACACAAAAACGAATGTAACAAACGTATGCATGCGCGTGTTACTTCTATAAATCTGTTACTTCGCGATAGAACCGTACCTCCTTGTACAAAGACTGAGTTTCATCCTCCGTCCAACTGAACGAAGAATATTTGTTCTGAAATCATAGAGAACATTCCTCGTCTCTCAATATGCGCGCAGATAAGAGCTCTTCATTCATTTGAAATGGCTCGCATCGCAAAGGATGAGATTAGTGCTCGATATTTTCGTCAGGGGAAATCTGCTTTATTATGTACTTACTTTATAAGAGGATCTCGAGAGAAACGATACGCCGCAATCTTCCGGCTTTGAGGAAACCATTCCAATGGTAACAGTGGACCATGCCATCAGACCAACGCCTGTAAGAAATTGGCAGCCTTTTTTGAGCGAATCGCGAGAGTTATTCTCTTTGCCGAATTTGCCGATCGAGAAAAGAATCGAAAAAGATAATGGCTAGGGGAGGGGATCTCTCTCGCGCGTTACCACGAGCGCTGTCAGATGAACTTAGTGCATGGACTAATTACCGATTTTGTTATACAATTCGGGCATATAGAGTTCGGGTTTCTCCCTGTAAAACAGATGATACTCCGCTTGCTCGACGATCGGTGTCACGCAATTGAATTGCCGACAGTTCGTGTAGGCTTCCATGATCTCGACGGGCGTCCATCGCGATGTACCCCAGTACATCACCCAGCCTTTGCTTATGACGTAATTCATAGCACGAACTATCTCTGAAACGAGAGCACGCAAACACGTGAGACACCAGAGAGACAGCGATGTCGCTTCGTTGTGGAAAGTCGCCGGATGAGTGATAAGTGATGGGGCAAAACAAAGCATGAACTCTCCTATTCTCTATTGAACAGATAGATATCTTATTCCTTCTTTCACGATAAATATCTGCCAATGAGCAGGATGAGGAGCGAAAATATATGTTTGGAAGCGTATACGGAGATAAAGGTAAAATGGCTAAATATAATTCCCACTTACATACATTGTTCACACGATATTAAAGCATACATTAACGCGATATAAATGTAAACACAAGATGAAGAAGTTGACACGTATATTTATACAAAAAAATATACATAATATATATATATATATATATTTTTTTTTTTTATTAAGTACATACACCTTTGCACGACAACAACTTCCCATTTTCACGATAGGAAGAAGCATACGATAATTGTTACGGCACAGTGCAACTGCCAAACATCAAATCGTCAGTATAATGATAATTTTCGGTAACTTTGCTTTCTTTCGGTTTTCTTTTTCTGCAATTTTGCGCGCGGATGGGCTGAGGCGGCTTCGTAAAATTCTCCATGTTTTCTGTGAAGTTGAATCGCATTATGCAATGTGGAAACAAGTGTGCGATTTTATCGGATTTTGAGCAAATATCAAGATCATTGTATCTCCTTATTAATTGCGATAACGAGCCCTGCCGTCTCGCGTGGTTAAACTCATTGCATAACGCTACTCAACGTAATCGTGTTCCACAGATGTGTAACAACGTGCAACCTCCAATTCGTGAGATCGGTCATAATAAATTAAAGATCTCCCTTCAAAGTTCAAGGGTCTCCCGATCGTATTTTCAGCACGCGCCCAATCTGCGCGGCTCGAAGAGAGTGATTTTACCTTTATCCGTGAAATGAAAGTCATTGCAAAATATTTCCGAGCAGTCTGTCTCAAGCACGTGACGTTTAAATCAATCAGTGGCGAGTTCTATTTCTACTCGTGGAAATCTTCTATTTATACGCAAGCTACGCGTTATCGCGGAAGGAAGAACATCTTTAAATATCATGTTGAAAATTATTCATCGGAACATTACAACATGTCGCAATGTGTGTGTGTGTGTGTGTGTGTGTGTGTGTGTGTGTGTACGATGCTTGGTGCGGTGAGGTGTTTTGCCAGTAGGTGTGTTAACGAACGATGAGATGAACAGGTGGTGGAAGGATTCATCGAAAAAAGAGGGTGTCATCCTCCCGAAATATCGCTCGCAAGAGAACGTAGGAGTTGGAAAGTTACCTTCCATCGGACACATTGGATCGACTTTGTGGATCATGACAATGTCGATGTACGACAGTTGCAGCCTGACGAGCGAAGCTTGCACGGACTCGATAATGTGTTTCCGCGATAGCCCGCGACCCTCGGTCCTATCACAAGAATGGTAGATGTTATCAGTCTCGTAGCACAGTGCCGCAAGGCGGATTAATACTAATGAGAATTACAAGAGACCGCGACGAGACACGGACGGGGTTTCCCTCCGCCTCCCACAGCGGCGGCGTACTCGATGACGACGACGTGTTCGAAACAAGTGGTTCGAGACGCACGGAAACCTAGTTATCGATCCACGTGTCAAGGCGAAACCTCATATTCGCACAGCCCACTTAATATTAAACGAGGCCGTCTCTCGTACCGAGATTCGCTTATACACAACACCGAGTCGGCGCGGCTGCTGCTTCGCAATCTTAAAATAAAGGCGACGTGTGTCGCCTCACACTTTGAGCTACACGATACACAAAACCGACGGCGCGGTCGACTTTTGAATGGCGGACGCTTCTTAATCATCAATGGCATACCACTGCCCGCGCTACGCTCAAGGCCGCTATTTTTATGATACCGTTCCAGATACGCAATGTCTACGACCGGCGTTACCGGCGCAGTACGGTATCTGATAAGATGGCTCTGAATCATTAGCAACGTGTGATCTCTCATCAGACCCGACTCCACCAACAAATTCACGGCTTCACGGTGTGTGTAACGGCGAATTGTTCCTCGGTCAAGCGTACACAAGCGGACTGTAATTCTCTCTTGGGCTACTCGATCTCAGGTCTGGGCTACATCATGATTCACTTGAAATTGCGAAACGAAGAAAAAGAGAAAAAGAAAAGAAACATCAAGCCCCCGGCCGCGCGGGAAACGAGCGTCGTCGATTCGCTCCGGGAGAATTTGCGATTAGCAGGGCCGCGATGGCGCGCTAAAGACTTCTCCCTCGAAAGCCAACGAGCCGCGCTCCGAGTTACACCGAGCTACATCCTACAGGTTCGGGGGCTATTACGTACAATACCTAGACGCCACGATCTACATAGAATAACGCGCTGGTTGGGGGAGGGCGAGGGACAAAGGTCGGTGAGCATAAGTTCGATTACACTGAAGCCATCGATCGAGAAGCACACGTAATAGAATGCGCCTTCGCGTGCAGCAGCGAATAATACGGACAACATCGAGAGTGAGAGAGAGAGAGAGAGAGAGAGAGAGAGAGAGGGAGAGAGAGAGGGAGAGAGAGAGAGAGAGAGAGAGAGAGAGAGAGACAGAGAGAGAGAGAGAGAGAGAAAAGGGAGGGAGGGAGAGCCACCGACGCCACTAGCAGCCTTTGCTATGATTATCAATGCCCGCTACAGCACCAACGACGACGCCAGCAATGACACTGACACGCGGCAAAATGACCGAGGCCGGCGCTACTTACTTGGTGTTCCAATAAATTTTCGTCGTGACTACGTAACTGGAGCGATTCCAGGCGCGCCTCAGCAAAATCCGACCGAACTGAATTTCCGCGCGATGTCCGCTGTGGGCCTCGCTCAAGTCAAATACATTAATCCCGCTGTCGTAGGCGAGCGCTACGACAGCCTCCGCGGTCTCCTCGCTGCCGCAGCCGCCCACGCCGAAGGTGGTCCATGTTCCTGCGCGCATAAAACCAATCAAGCGACATCAGCGACCGTTTAGCGCGGCGACACCGAAGCGAACGCGGTTCGCGCGACAACAACGATGCGTTTCACCTGATCAACCGCTGCGATCTAGCATCGCGGCAGGTCTAGGGCTTACCTCACTAGCTTACCATCTCGCGAGGGAGAACGCCGGATTCCGCCGGAAATTCGAGTTGCAGAGCCGGCTCGAAAGCGGCTGGATTCTACAAAACTGGTCCCTCGCGACAATGTGTAAAATCGCGATCATGATGTATAAAAGTGCTTTCTCTCTCTTTGTGTCGTAGAGAAAAAAAATAATTAATTTGCCACTGACGATATTTGCTAATACAGCAAATTGCTCTGGATCAAATATAAAAATGCAAAGTCTCGCGTCGTTGCACAGTGGGGTTGCCAGATGACATTTTTTGGTTCAAAATTCTCTAGAGACCTGAATTTCCAACCGATCATCAACACCAATGGATGAGATTGATCCTGAATAAATTCCAAAGAGATCTGTCTAGCTGAAATATTGAAAAAATTGTCGGTTCAGGGTTCATGGGTTTAGGGTTTGTCTTAAAAGTTTATCGTTTAAAGTACAGTGTCTTGGATTCGACCGCAATAGGTTCGAGCCTATGGATACTAAATGCGAGACCCCAGAACTTATAATCACCTTTTGGAAAACTCAGAATTTCAAAGCTCATCATTTCAGCCCACATTAAGAAAGAATTAAGCCATATGGACCGAATAAGTAAAAACATAGAGAACATTGAACAAAACATCCAACCCTAACCTGATGGCTCCATGAGCCCAAAGCTTATAAACCTCAGCTCATAAGTCATCATACGGAGATAGAAAGTATTTTTCATAATTTCAATCCGCTGAATGCGCTATTAGATAGAAACAAGTGTCGAATAATGAGCATTTCACAAGTTTCTCGCGTTTAACGATAATTTTTCCTCTTTTGAGGCTAGTAATTCGAGAAAAAAATTTTCTTTAACTTTGACAAGACAGATCTCTTCGGAATTTATTCAGAATCAACCTCGTCCATTGGTGCCGATGATCGGTTAGAAATTCAGTCAGGTCTCTAGAGAATTTTGAAGCAAAGAATGTCATCTGGGCCCACTGTGCGTTGACTCGAGCCTCTAAGCTTGCTTGGCTCGATTGCAAAGTTTATTAGCAAATTGCTTTCGATGTATCCTAGAGGATATCCGGCCGGCTCTGCTTTGATATTATATGAATATTGCAAACAGGAAATATATACAGGAAGCTTATTAGTTTGAAAAATGACGATCAGTAAAGTGGGAAACAGTAAAAGCGGCGATCGTGTTACGTAGAGTATCGCGATCCGTGAAACTGAAGTAATCCAGAAGGAAACATCGCAAGAATGAGATAGTATTCTGCTTTGAGTCGGCGTACATTTATACAGAGCATGCAAAGGTACAAAGAAGCGCTTTGCTAATCTTTCATCTGCTTTGCAACAAAAGTTCCTCCTATTCCCGTTAACACAGAAATATGTAGCGAGTGTTAGCGAGTATAGCGACGAAGTTAAACGATTCCCGTTACGTCTCTAAGGAAGATGATTTTCAGGGAAATTGGAAGAAATGTCCAGCTCCTCAAGGGAAAAACTAACAATTCTCGAAGCATACGTTCTATATGTACAAGAAAGACACGCACGTGTGTTTGTCTGCATAGCTATGTACGTGAATTGCACATGTCCTGTTGGAGCCATTAAGCACAAACGTTCGGCCAGGTAAATGTGATCCGCATTCGTAGCGCATACTCCAGCGAGCAAATACGATGCGACGGTGTAAGGGCTTGGGGAGCACAGCGTTACGGAATAATGAATGCGAGACATGAAACGAGCACGATGACGGACGACGACGACGACGACGACGACGACACCCAGGACGTCTCGGCAGGCCGGTAATAAAAATCCGATAGCCATGGAGAGAGAGAGAGAGAGAGAGAGAGAGCAGAGAGAGAGAGAGAGAGAGCAGAGAGAGAGAGAGAGAGAGAGAGAGAGAGAGAGAGAGAGAGAGAGAGAGAGAGAGAGAGAGACAGAGAGAGAGAGACAGAGAGAGAGACAGAGAGAGAGAGAGCAGAGAGAGAGAGAGAGAGAGAGAGAGAGAGAGAGAGAGAGAGAGAGAGAGAGAGAGAGAGAGAGAGAGAGAGAGGATGCATTCCAAGATCGATTTGCGATATGTGCGCCACGGAAAAGTGGGTCTAGGTTAGCCGGGAAGCCTCGCAAAAGATCTCAGAGAAATGACTCTACGAAAGAGGGGAATACACATTCAGCGTACCTAATCCAACATTGGAAACACGTAGACCGCTTTTGCCCAAGTTGCGGTAGCGAATACCTGGCGAGGGATGCTGCAAACGTTGCGCTTGTGCGGCAATGCAGCTAGTTAGTAGCTGCTCTTTTGTTCCGGTCGTGTTGCTGCAGTGCACGCCCGAGTCTGCACCGCCGCCACCGCCGCCACCGCCGCCACCGCCGCCTCCGCCGCCTCCGCCGCCGTTGAACTCTTCCATGCAATCCAGACTTGCTATGGGTGCACGGCAGCTGCGCATACAACATGCACGAGTTATCGCAAATATCGATGTCGATACTTGGCTCGTTTCGCGCCGTATCGCGGCGGGGAACGCGATGTCTCGCCGATGGTGTAGGCTCCAGAGGCGTTTCCAGGCTGCGCCCGGAGAATCACTTCGGCGCACATCCCGCGACCTGCAGGCGCAGAGACGTGTGCAGAGGCGCTTTCGTAAATTTCTCGAGGGGAATGCTCCCTTCCTCGGGAAGGGCTTCCTCCGCACCGACCGCGCGAAATTTAACTTCGACCGGAACTCGAGTCCCGGATTCCTCGAAAGCAATTTCGCTCGTATCATGGAACTTCTCAAGTTAAAACGCTTTCTCCAATCGTCGGTGTCCTTCCCGTCTCTCTAGTTGCCGAAATACACGACCGTCGTCGTGTTCCTCAGTTTGTTTCGTAGTTCCCCCCTCCCCCCCCTCCCCCCTCCCCACCGCTTGCTGGGATGTCCAGTGATCCCGAAACATCCTGCGTTAAACCGATCCGGTCCAACCCCCTCATCGCCGCGTTTAACCGCGTTACGCATCGCTTGGATACGCATGCGTGCACGTGTGCTGCATGCATGCGACGCGTATAACCCGCCCGATTATATGGATTTTCGTGAGTTTTCCGTGACATCTAAATTTGGAAGATAATATCGTGGTGACGCGAGATCGTCCCGCTTGCAGCATCGTCGAGCAGCGTTTAACGCGCGACGTGAAGAGCGGTCAATTTCTTCACACGTGTGAGAAACGTTTGATTGATCCCAGAGGGAGTCGTCCCGCGAACAAGTCGAGAGAATTCTACAGACATAATTATGACAATATCAACGAAAAGACACGATACTGCGTGCCGAGGATTCAAGAGAGTGCAATCTTATTTTTGGCACGAGTAATGATACCGATAAGATATCGAGTCAACTTCAATGTTTTCCGAGAAACCGAGAGTCTCTCTCACTTCGCCCTCCGTTATATACCGTGATATTTATTAGACACACAGTTTACAGTTTATTCAGGTAGCAATTATTAATCGAGTATCAATATTAATACCAACAATTTCCGACACGTCTTGAGAAAAGGATCGGAATTATTTTCCACAATTTTTTTGCCAGCGCTATCTTCGCTCGCTTTACAAACTCGACAGGTTTCGTTTACTCCACAAACTCGGCGAGTCTTATCGGAATCAAAGCGCAGAAAGGCCAAGGTACACAGACGTTTCTCAGAAAAGGACGATTTTCGCGCATTCTCCCACGCTTGGAAACGCTTATCTCGGTTCTGCCGTCTCTTTGTCACGCGTCAAAGCGCGCACACCGTCTGCTTACGTCAGTAACGGAAAAATACCGGCTGCGAGAAAAAGCTCAACAATCGACCTGTCGTTCGCTTGATGTTCGCGATTACAGACGCGACATCGACTGATTATCTAATCGCCTCGAATCACCTGCAGGCAGGACGTTGTCAGCTGACGCTACGTTTTCAGACGCGATCAATCCGCCGAATCCGTGTGTAAACACTCGTGAAACAGAAAGAGAGATCGCTGTAATTCTTTTCTCTTTTCATAAATTTCGGAATGTCTAATCTACTTGATCCAATGGAAGAATTTCTCGTTCTCTAATGGGGAGAATTTTCCCATTGGGCAAGATGGATACGTTCTGAAAGTCAAGAATTTCCAAATAAACCCTCTCCCGTCCACGATCACGTACACTGGTCGCATGAGCCCAGCGACCAACGTCTCGGTACAACCGATCCTATTTGCGACCCGAGTCGTGTTAAACTTGAAGTTACCGCTTTGGCGTCTATGAAATCACCGCTCACCGTCGAAATATATAAATAGCGTTCGACGACAGGTCCGATCTGTCGCTTATGCTATGTATCATCCGGTGCAAGCCGGCTTTAGCGATCCTCCCTTTATCTCTCTTCGTTTCTCCTCCTTTTTAGTCTTACGCACGACATGGAAGAAGGAGAACTTATTTTAGTCAAAGTTAGCTGTAAGTGACGTTGGTGCAGCCGGGTCCAGTGAGCTCATCGACACGGCTCACCGCTCCGCAGAGCTCGCGTCACTCGCTTGGGTTGGAAGCGACGACGATCAACGTAACACGGCATAACGATCGTCGTCGGTGTCGCGGAACGATACTCGGGGCGGATTATGCTCCTCGGGTTTGAATCCCGAGTGAGCTCGCCCAATTCCGGCGAATCGCGGCTGCTCGCACCTGCACCGTTCGTCGTCATCGGCTGCTGCCGTGAGCTGGCAAGCTGGCCGTTATACAACTACTTGCGCGCTTTTCCAAGAAAACATCTAAGTCTCTTGACGCTCTACGTCTGTGCCCCTTTAAAGGCTAAAACTACCACCGCGAGTCGCGATGTGGGTCACCGGCGCGGGGGGACGGCACGGCGATGGCTTTCAGGTCGAGGAATATCGTTTCTCGCTCGCCCGAACGCACGGTGTCGTGTGCCGCCGACCACTTTGCGTCCTTACCCAGACGCGGTAACTTTGTCAAGCGACCGCGTTGCATAGTTAGAGCACCGCCGAAATACCTTCGATAATCCGCCGCGCGGCAAAGTGAATCACGGAACGATGCTCGCGATCGATATAACGGCATTAAGCGGAACGCGAGGCGCAAACAACGGAAAGAAAGAGAGAAGAGAGAGAGAGAGAGAGAGAGAGAGAGAGAGAGAAAGAGAGAAAGAAAGAGAGAAGAATCCGTCCAAAGAAAGCGTGGAAAAATCAAGACACAACTCTAGCGTGGTCCGCCGAGGAATGACCGAGTGACAAAACGCGAGGTTTAAACTCGCCGACTCTTCCGAAATCTTCCATCCGTCGACGCGCGAATTTCGCAGATCGGCACAGCGAGTTCTTGTCGAAGCTTCGATTGGCGCATCCGAAACACGACATCCCCGGCGCGAAATCCTCGACTTGAGAGCATAATACCGTGCCGAGCTCGCGCGGGAGCGTCAATTCGCCCGTATATTCGCGTCTATTACCGCGGCTATTTTACCGAGGCTTTGAGATCATCCCGGGTTTTTTGGGCAAGGCCCTTCTGACTGCGGATCGCGCACGATAGTCCACGGATGCCCCACATCGTTCTGATGCTCGCTCCGGTTTCGCAAGCAACTCGCCCTGTCTCGCGGCCCGCGGCTGCGACCGCCCCGAAAGTGCGGCGAGCCGCGAGGAGAAAAGCGAGAAGAGGATAAGAGAGATTTTCTCTTCTCCTCCTCTCTCTCTCTCTCTCTCTCTCTCTCTCTCTCGCTCGCTCTCCCCTTGTCGCCTTTCAACAACGGAATCGTGTTGTAGTGTGCGTGCACGTACGTACCGATAAATTGTAGGCAGTGGATAAGAATCGTCGTCCTCCATGCTGCTGTTTGTATTTGCGTTGTTGTTCGTATCATTTCCCGCTGTCGAGGTATTGCCAAGATTACACAGCATTAATCGCGACATTACTAACGTCGGTAAAACGTTTCAGTCTATCGGAACACTTCAAGGGGACGCGAAAACAGGCCGATATATCACGGTATGGATACCACGTACGGACTCAACAACGAGTACATACGTACTTGACTCTTAATGCGGCAACCATACCCGTTGTGAAACGTATTACTGAACTTTCGCAATTCTATCGTGTCTTACCGCGTAGTCTCCTCCTCCGTTCCCTCGCTCGCTCTGTATGCTTTCTCTTTGCTTTGATACTTTGGCGTGATCGGTGCTTGGCAAACGAGCATCGCAATCGTATCCCAAAACGTGTAAGTATGTACAGACTAACAGATATCGATCTAAGCGAGATTCAGATCTACGTTCTTTGTGTCTCTCCCCCTCTCTCTCTCTCTCTCTCTCTCTCTCTCTTCTCTCTTTTCCTTTTTCTCTTTTCCTTTTTCTCTTTTCCTTTCTCTCTCTCTCTCTCTCTCTCTCTCTCTCTCTCTCTCTCTGTCTGTCTCTCTCTGTCTCTCTGTCTCTCTGTCTCTCTGTCTATCTATCTATCTCTCTTCCTCTTTCTTTTTCTCTCTCTTGCTTTATTGCACGTATGTACGACGTGTGTAGGCACTAATATACATATATAATTTTTTTCTCCCTTCGTTATTAAATCACGAGCTTAGGCACCACTTTGTTGAAGAGCATAAACTTCACAGCTTTCGTGTAGAGTCGGGCACAAGTAGTCCGCGCGAGTAAGGCGCGCGCGAGGGTTCAAGACGCAGCGTTTGCGGCTCCTCGGTTAATACGCGTTGGCCCGCGGCTTATTATTTAGAGAGCGATACGCCTTCGCGCGCGAGGTGACTACGTGCTAACGTGGAGGAATGGTCGATATGAAGCTAGATATGTGAATACGAATTCGCAGTAGAGAGAGAGAGAGTGCCGGCCGTGGTCGCGCGACGACGACGACGAGGAATTGTTGTATTACGATAGTGCGATGATCACGATGATCGCGCTACAGTATTGGAGGGGCTTGGGGGGGGGCAGGGAGGGGGCCTAGAGTTTCGCGCTACGATCCATTATCGGTCACCCCGATCGTCGCCACGGTGTCACGATGACCGTCCGCTGGTGCTTGTTGTGCCCGCGTAGACTCTCGTAACACGCGTGTCGCGGGTCACGTAACGAGCGCGACGATGACAGACATTATCGGACAGCTGCGAGGCGGGTCTGAGCATAAGTGTGTATTTGCGAGATGATCGTCCGGCGCGGCCGCAATAACGAGTTTTCATAAAGGAACACACACAAATCCCAAACGAAACATCAGTAAAAATGGGGAGGTCAGAGAGACGGCGAGTGTTGTGCTCCCTGCGCGATAGGCAACACTGCACACACTCGACACCCTGCGCGATTCCCACCTTTCCGCCCGGTGGCCGGAGGAGCACGACGCAACGCAACCCCCGTGAGAAAGCCACCCCCCGACGCAAGCCTGAGCGCGCCGACTGCGCAAGCTCGCCGCACGGCTGCGCGCGCACTCCCCGAACGCGCTGAGAATCGCGCGAGAGTCCGACGAGGATGACGCATCGACGCCACGAGAGGCCGCACGAAGCCCAGTCCCGACGTCGCTCGTCTACGTTCTATCCCCGCGAGAAGTAGACAAATCCGCAGCGGAGAAGCGTTATCATGCCGTGACCGACGAGCGTCACCTGCGATAACAGTGACGAAGTTCGGTAATTTTGTAAGATTTCAGCGACTGGGAGATATGCTTATCGCATCTCGACGCGCCTCTCTCTCTCACACACACACACACACACACACACACACACCTCATACAATCCTGGCTCTAGGCACTTAATAAGACAAAATCCGCAACGTCATTGTTCGATTAATATAATTAGGAGCAGAGCTTAGTTTAAGTAGGCACTATTCGGTTTGGAGGTTAAAATTGGACTCCCTGGTGAATGTAATTAAAAGTAGAGTTTGGTTAAGTAGCACTGTGCTCGGTTCGGAGGTTCCAGAGATTGAAATTGGACTCCCACGGACTGCCATCATTATCTGCTCAAGTGGCGTTCCGAATCGCTCAGACATCGATAAGTCGAATCGATATCGCGGTGAACACCGCTGTCACGTCGCGATTTTCGCTCGGTTAAGAATTAAAGTCGGCGCCGCTCCAACACGTACGCCCGCTCTTCGATCGATTTTCGATGCGGGCGGACTGTATCGCGCGGCTATTGATTGCCACGGTCTTTGTGCCGGGCATCTTTGTGTTGACGAACAATTTTCCAAACGATGCCGGAAATTTCGAGGATGAATAATGATGATTCGGCTCGACTACAGCGAATCCAACGGAGGCGCCGAGGTTCGTCGTGAGGTTACTTCGGTATATATAACCGCAGTGAATCCGTGAATGACGCTGTAATAGAGAGCGCTCAATTTACCGTATTCCCGGCAATTAAGACGGTCATACAGGGGACGCGATGTGAAATCTTAGAATACATTCTCTCGTGATTCGTGGCTTCGTTGTAATAAACTTCACGAAAGAATCGGTGAGAGTGTGTGGAATGTGTGTGTAACCGCATTCGGCGCGCGCGTGCTGTGCCCGGCACCCCCTCCCGTGCCGTTTCGCGCGCGCGAGCGCACACACACACACACACACACACACACACACACACACACACACACTGCACATGTGCGCGCACACACATATCCCCGCGCGACTTACCGACCACACCACACGACACACACACACACACACACACACACACACAAGTATAATCAGTGTAGGAAGAAGGGTTTTGTGAATCAACGGTCTCAACGGCAACGCCGCATTGCAGATCTGCCGCGCTGACACGCAACTGACCCCTCACTACTATTATACCTAACTACACTCATAGAGTTAACGCACACATACGCAACTCAACATGCACACCGACCGACAGCCAACGCGAGGCGCGACACGCCGTGCGTGTAACACAGCAGACACACACACACACACACACATATACCTCGGCCGCAGTGAAAAATAATAAATACTTCATACATCGTCGAAATAATTCGACAAACAAATAAGCGATTGTACATACGTCTTTCTCTGTCGCGGACAACTGATATATGAATTCTCGAGGCTTTTGTCTCTCTCTCTCTCTCTCTCTCTCTCTCTCTCTCTCTTTCTATATATATATATATACATATACACACCCTCTTCGGAAAAATGCTAAGCGACTCGAGCATGTCGCTTCGCGTTAATATTGGTCGGTATTATGCTCGTATACGTCATTATATAGAGAATCTCCGTTCACTTTGACAACGTCAGTCGTCGCGACGGACACGCCGACACTCGACTAATCTACGGCTACGGAGAGTAATCGCGAGAGACGAAGGCGCATCGGCGAGAAAGACGGTGCGTCGAAGCGCGGTAGGTAGGTAGGTAGGTAGGAAAGGTGGATCTCGAAGCGACGACGGCCACGTTTGGCCGGCGCACTCTGCCATGCTCGCGCGCTACTTCTACGGAACGGCGACGGAACGGATTCAAGCTGACGGTCACGAGCACGTCGCGTTGACGTGCTCGCCGCAGGTTGCTCGGAGGATGAAAAGGGCGTACCTGTCCGCCTCGTCGGCGGACCCAAGCGACATAGAATCGCGTTACGTACCTTCGAACAGCGGACAAATGACGCGGCGCAGAATCGCCGTGGGAATTACGTCAAGCACGTTATACCAACGTCCCGTCCGGCTCGAATCTTTTCATACATTGCGGAGTCTGCGAGCACCAGGCAGACGCTGGTCCGCTGGTAAAGTCGGTCGTTGAATCCGTGCCAAAGCGCGGCTTCTCTCTCTCTCTCTCTCTCTCTCGGTGATCTGTGTGTATGTGGAGACACGTATTTGTGTGGATTCGAAATAAAATCGCGCCGATAATTCCGTTGGAACAGCGGTCGTTATTTCGCTGCGAGTTGACCCACACCCAAGTTTGCGTCTTGTCCGGCCGCGATCGAAGGTGGAGATCAAAGTGGAAAACAAAAGGATAAGACAGAGGAGAGAAACAAAAAAAGAGGAGGAAGAGAGAGAAACGTCAGTGTTCATACGACAAACACATTGATCTCACACCGCCTCTCGCATAGTTCTGCATATTAGCATCTTTGCGAAAATATCAGATTTGCTAAGATATCTATAGACCGTAAGCGAGATAGCAAGCCAAGATTTATGGACCATATTCTTGGACGATATGGAGGGATAATTTCTCTTTAACGAGGCTGGCGAGAATTTTCGTCGAAGGTATTGGAATGCAATATTAACGGACGGAAGTCACATGATCTTTCGCCGGTGAATATTAATAATAATTTTCGTGAAGGAGGAAGAAATCCGATTCCACATGTTGCCTGATTTTACACAGAGTGAAATATAGTCATCGAGTTTGTCAAAGTCACCTCAAGCCATGATTTTAGATACTTTTTTAGAGACTGATATGCTGCACTCTTTCAAAACGAACTGAGATTGCAAAATTAGCAGGCATGACACTATCGGGAGGGCAAAATGCCACTTTGTAAAACTGATGAGTACAGTGAGATAAAAGATTGTACAAGATCAGCTCCGACTGCTGTAAATAAATAGCTCGTGCACTTAGATCTTATATTAACAGTAACGTTAATATTAACAGTAGGAGTAAATATTAACAGTAACGTTACAATTTCCGACTCAATGATGTAAATACAACATAATACACGTGTTGTATTGCATTTACATTATTGAGTAGGGACTTATAACGTTGATGTAAGATTACGATTAATTGGTTCTTGGCTGGGGTCAAAAGTGACGTACGTTCCCGCGCTTGCTGCAATCATCCCCCGGCGAATTTTCGTAGCGGATTTTACGAGGGATTTACGGGAAATTCCATTGGGGATCAGAAGTTTGGTCAGAAGTTGTCATTCGCGAGGTTAAGCGTGTTGATAATCTTGAGTTAAAATTACGAGAGTTAGGAGAGGTGAAACCTCCATCGGGATCAGTCGAAGCCTCGTCACACATTTATCATCAGAGAATTTCTGTGCGCAGTTCCCATGGCATAAGAACGGAGTTTTCACTTGTTCTTTTACTTTTTTGCGAAATTGCTATTTGCACAACGACAGTGTTTTTATTGTATTTTTGGAAAAGTCACGGAGAAGCTAAATTATGCCGATGTGTTTTAAAAATAGCGCTGGGCACCGACGTGAAATATACCGGTCCTCTCTCTTTCGCGTTCGATTCTCTCTACGTAAACGTAAATCTCTGAGGTATGTTGTAAAATATCGAGTATACGTGTGCACACACGGGAAACAAAACCAACATTGTTGTCGTTCGCGCACAAACGCAGGATATAATTTCCGATGAAGCACAAAAATATCAGTTTGTGAATACAATCGATGGAAATGTCCATCCACTGTTCAATCGGACGCTTCGTGTCGTAGCAATATATGTACAGCGTATCTCAGAAATCACGCATTTTGTGTGATTCACTTTTCCCCGGACAACAGACAGTCTGACGGCATATCATTGCTTCTCTTCGTATTTTAAATCGCGAACAATTTCCTGACACGTGAAATCTCACGAGGCTGTCGGATGGCATAAAATTCACTCGCGCAATCATTGATTCTCCCGAATCAACGCGACCAGGCCGCGCGCCTGTAGCAAAAATTCGACTTACTTTTTACCGAGATACTTTTTCGCGGGATTTTTGAGACACGCTGTGTGGGATGTAACGACCACACAGTTGTTCGTTGTTCGTACACACACTCACGGAGGCTGGACAGGTGTATTTATATCTTTCTACTGGCTGTATTATTTTAATAACTTATTACAGTACTTTATTTAAATGTTAAGTTACGGTTTATCTAGACACATTTTTACAGTCACAGATTTGGCGTGTCGCAATGTGTGTGTATGTGTGTGTGTGTGTGTGTGTGTGTGTGTGTGTGTTTGTGTGCGCGTGTGCGTGTGTGCGTGTGAAGGTGTGTCGCACGGAGAAGGTTTCGCGCGTTCGATGGTTCTCGTTGAATTCGGCTGCCCGACTCTGTATTGCGTTTTCATCGTTTTACATCGACGGCGTCAAGGGGAGAACACGTGAGGATGGAAAGGCGGAAGAGCTTCCGCAGTTCCCTCGGCCGCGGCGCGACGTATCCAACGCGACTTCCGACGCGGACACAAGAGCTGAGAGTAAATTCGTCGACGAATGTTCGCCCGAGCAGACTCAGCACCGAGCACGCTCAGCCGGTTGCTCGTTAACAGCGTTTATTCCGCTTCGGGGGAGTTTATTCCGGGAGAGTTTGCCGTCGCGTTGTCGAGCGAGGATGACGTGACACGCTTCGACATCGAGGTTCTCATCGATGGACGACGACTTGAACGACTTGAACGGACGACAGTCGTCGCGCACGAATATAAACAATGACGCTCACTCGCGTAAACACATCCTCGCGGTTACACACTGACGCGGCCGAGGTCTGCGATATGCGGAACGGAACGGCGTGTAAGCGGCAGTCTTTCTCGCGCTTTTATAATTATTAGACACAGTCGCAGAACGCCCTTCGTCGACCCCCTCCCGCTTCCCCGTTCGTTTTCTTCAGCCTCGAACCGTTTGAACGAGCCGTTCAACTTCGACGCACGCGTCTATGGAGATTCTCTCGGGCGAACTTCTGGTCGGAATATGGCATGAGATCCGTGGCTCGTTACTGTGGCTAATCGTAAGTTGTTGATCTTTCGGCGCACGCAACGCGGCCGTAAGCACAATGATCGTACCTTAAGAAAAGGATAAGCGTGGATAGACGTGGAGAAGAAGAAGAAGAAGAAAGAAAGGGGAGAAAAGGGAGACTGAGGGAGGGAGGGAGAGAGAAAGAGAGAAAGAGAGAGAGAGAGAGAGAGAGAGTCGACGTTGATGTGAATAAAAATCGAAAGATAGACAATGGAAGTGTGTGGAGAGAAAGAGTATATGTGTGAGGTGGAACGTGAGATGCACAATAATATTCAAGAATGTCGTGAACCTTCGGATATGAGTTTTCGAAGAAAAGGAAATGTAAGCGTAATAAAAAATGGCACTCGTTCTTGTACGATAGTTACGATAGTCGTGTTAGGTTCGCGTGTAAAAGCGTATTCGGCTGGTACTCGATGGGTGGTATCGTAAAGAACGAAGCGACAGAGAGCGACGTCAATGAGACTACTATCAGAATGGGGATAAGGATCGAAAGAGTAGATCAAGATAAGAAAACGGGCGGCGGCTAGGTGGGGTGAGTGAGTGAGTGAGTGAGGGGTGGCGGAGGGAAAGACACTTTTGGATTTCTGGAGCAGTAAGTAAATACAAAATGCGTTACTGTCAGATTCTAACGTGATAACATTGTGATATTAAAACTGTACACACGGTAGTGTCCTGTGTAGCTGAAATAAACACCCTTCGCTCGCGTGCAGGGTTCCCTCGTGAGTTCGGGGGAGGAACGTTTCCGGCGCGGATTGCGAGTTGGGATACCACGCCGTTACATCATTGCGGCGGGTTATCGTTTCCGAGTTCTTGATCATTTCACCGTCCTTTGGCAGGTGGGTAGATTTACCATGAAGAATACGTTGAGCTCGATCAGCGACGCCAGTATGAGAAACACGGCGTACATGCACAGGCAGGCACGGCCTACTTTCCTATCGAGCTGGAACTTGTTGGAGGCGAACGCGATGTACAGCAGCATCAGCGTCGACAGTAACGATATCGCGCTGTACTCCAACCCGCCGGAATTTATACTGATGTAGTGCCTACCGGGCTGCGTGGGCGAAAAGGACGACTTGATCAGCCATGGTAATCCGAGACACAGCAATATGTCGAACGTATTCGATCCTATCGAATTACTGATGCCCATCGAGCCGTGTCCTGGACAGAAGTGGAACGGTTCAAGATGCATGCCGAGGAGAGGAACGAAAATAGTAGCTCGTGCAACTTGCTTCCCCCGCGAGTGTCTATGCAGCGACTGTTGTTTATTTTTTTCTCTCGTTGTTTTAATTGTTCGAACGTCATTCGCGCAGCGGCAATTGTCAATCATCCGTATCGTCTGTCTGTCTGTCTGTCTGTCTGTCTGTCTGTCTGTCTGTCTGTCTCTCTCTCTCTCTCTCTCTCTCTCTCTCTCTCTCTCTCTCTCTCTCTCTCTCTCTCTCTCTCTCTCTCTCTCTCTCGATGCCGTGATAAAATGAATGTTTCGTATCATTACTAAGCGAATAAACCACTCATGGTGATGCGCGTACCTTGCTTCGCAACAATCACACTCGACACGGCTTCGGGCACGCTGGTCCCCGCTGCGAGGAAAGTTATGCCCATCACGGAATCCGGGATCTTGAGTGTGTCGCCTGGAAAACAAAAGCGAAATATGCACCTCGTGCAGCTGCTTCGGGTCGGAGATTATCGCATACGTTACGAAATATTTTCTATCGTGTTTCTTTGCTGCGCCGCACTTTGCTCGCCAAATCAGCGAGAAAGCAGCGTTGAGAGCATTGTTGAAAAATGTCTCTCTTTAAAAGCTGCGCGATCGAGCGGCTCTTCGTACGTTCGTTTACCGAGATGCGATGTGTGTTTCGTCTTGTGGTCAGTTAATTAAGAAACGACCAACACTCACCAATTATAGTGATCATCCACGCTACCACGTAGCTGAGCGACCCGATCCATATGATGCACATGAGGAACGTGACGGGAAACCAATTCTTGAATCGGGGTTTCTCGCAGTCGGGGATTGTGCACATAAATACTAGATGAATAGGCCATGTTGTGACCCAAGCGGTCTTCCTTAACCATCCGGCACGCGCCGGCCACACCAACAGCTCATACTCGTAATCTGTCGTGGAACATATTACAAGAAAATTTCAGCTTCGTGATATGATAAATCTCGTCTGTAGCTTCGTTTCTTTCTATCCTGTATACTTTCGAGGGATCTCGAAGATATTGAGGTTGCGAGGAGAGTTTGCAGCGCAAAGGTTTGGCTAACAGCTGCATATCAAGCGCACACGTTAAAGCGTGCGAAAAGGCTTACTCTTCTGACGTTGTCAGGTATATTGCTCTGGAAACTTCCATTCGCACGTGCTTAACCCGTTTAATCGTTTCAATCAAGTGGAAGAAGTGTTTTCGATATAACCTTGACCGATCAAGTAGCCTTCGCGACACATTATGCGTCGCGTTTTACGCGGATACTATCGTTACGTCGTCAGATTAGCAAAGGTATCGTCGATTGATACAATTAATAAGCCGGATGAGTCAAGCCGATTAGATTAGATTAAGCGGCAGCTCGAGAGAAAATGTAAGCTAACGTTCCCGTGTTGCGGCTAGTAGGAACTTTTGCCGGACAAATTATATTTTCTTCCACGATGAGAGAGACGCGCATTAAAACACTCACTAGGATCCGGATTCTCCTCCTGCGTCTTCGTCCCGCCGTTTTGCAATGGCACGTCGACGGTTATCGGCTCGACACAATCCCCAGGAGATTGCAATTTGTCCGATCTCGGTAAGTGAATATCGCTAGAATCTGTGAAAGACGCGCGTTACATGATTTGCTGCCAACGAGCCGGCGGCATTGTCTTTAACATTGTCTCAGACTGTCGGATTTATCATCAATATGTTGCAAAAGCCGCAGTCCTGACACCCGCATGCACTTCAAAATTTGCACTCCAAAATTTGCTTCATTAGTCTTACAAATTCCTTACTGAAAATTTTCTAGACCTTAAAAAATCAACCCATAGCACTCCGCTGTAGGGACATTCTCTACGAATATGATTACGTTCAAGATGCTTTGTCATTGTCGGCATTGGCAATTGTTTTTGTACTTCAAACGTACTACTTCTGTAATTTTGAAGTTAAATTATTCCTTGACCTTTTTTTTTATGATTAAAAACCTGGAGAAAGAAGAACGTTTCGATGAAAATTTAAAACTAGTGATAGTGAAGACACATTTGATTTTGAAGTATTAAGAGATTATGACTTCAATATTCTAACATCTAAAGACAACGTTGATTATGATTCCGATACTTCCAGCAGTGTCTAGCAGTCTAGCAAAATTATAGCACGAAAGAGACGAAGAATAAGAGTTATTGAAAGTGAAAGCGAAGATTCGTTAGAAGACTTAGATGAATGCACATCTGGGAGACTGTTTTCAAAAATATTATACTATGATGAATTACAAAATTAAAAATTTTTGTTTTATTTACAAGAGAAAAAGCATATTTATAAAATAAATAAAAATAAATACATTCACAAGTATTTGTAATTTTTTTCTGTTCGAAATAAAACTCCTCTTTCCCAGACGCTCCACTGCAAAAGTATACCGGAGTTGCTAGTAGGCAGTGATAAAGAAACACGCGGAGTGCAAAGGGTTAAAATACCTATTCAAGACAATATCGTTCGACATACGTGATTTGTGTTGCGTTAATAAATATTTTGGTTGTGCGAATATATCCCGAGAGACAACATTATTCACAGAGCGTAATCGTGTATTTACAAATTTCTCTCAGTTATTTTTCTTATTTTCCCAACACGTATCTCCTACAAAAGTTCAGAAGAGGACTGAACACTACGGAGCCGTAGACATATCTATCTCGCGCACTCGGCAGTCAACAAAGCTGCGAACCCCTGTATGTATTAGGTGCGCAACTAAGTTTCCGGGTTTCACACATGGATGGCGCTAACGACACATGTAGTCGACATACATGTCTGAAGTTGTGTTTTTTTTATAGCTTGGACATTTGTTAACAATAATCAGTCGTAATACCAACACATATCGCGACGCAAAAATAATTTTTCTAACAACGAAGATGTCGAGCTTTGTGCCAAATAAACAGCATTTGCGGGAAGCTTTGCTTTTCTGCTTTAACTTGAAAAAAAGTGCAGCTTGAGCACGTCGTTTGCTTGAGGAGGCCTACGGCGAACATGCACCATCGAAAACTACCTGTGAAGATTGGTTTGAACGCTTCAGAAGTGACGATTTCGACACTGAGGACAAGGAGCGCTCCGGAAGACCAAAAACAATGAAAAAAACGCCGATCTGCAAGCGTTATTGGATGAAGATGATACGCAAACACAAGATCAACTTGCACCGAGGCATTAAACATGACTCGCCAAAGTATTTCCAAACGTCTACATGGGAAAAATTCAAAAGGAAGGAAAATGGGTGCCGCGTGAGTTGACTGAGAGACAGATGGAAAATCGAAGAGCCACTTCCGAAATTTTGCTTTTGCGGCATGAAGGAAAGAGTTTCCTGCATCGAATTGTTACTGACGATGAAAAGTGGATATATTTCGAGAATCTCAAACGCAAAAATCGTGGCTTTCACCTGGCGAAGCATCAACATCGACGGCACGGCCAAATCGCTTCGGAAAGAAGACAATGCTCTGCGTTTGGTGGGACCAGAAAGGAATCGTGTACTATGAGCTGCTGAAAAGAAGCCGGGCGAAACTGTCAATGGGCATCGCTACCGACAACAACTTTGTCAATTTGAACCATGCATTGCTCGAAAAACGGCCAGAATGGGACACGAGACACGAACGAGTGATATTGCAGCACGACAACGCTCCGTGCCATCGCGCACTTCCATCGTCCAGGACACCATCAAAACGCTGAAATGGGATCTGCTACCGCACCCACCGTATTCGCTAGACCTGGCCCCTTCCGATTATCACTCGTTCCGGTCGATGGCGCATGGCTTGGCTGGGCAACACTTGACCAATTTCGAAGAAGTGCAAAATTGGTTGGATGAATGGTTTCGGTCCAAAGACGTCGTCGTAAAGGCGTCGTTGTATCGTCGCGGTATTCATTGCCAGAGAGATGGCAAAAATGTGTAGCTAGCGAGGGACGATACTTTGAATAAACCATTTTTTGTATTTCTCTTGAAATTTTCCATTTCTCATTGATCAAGAAAACCCGGAAAGTTAGTTGCGCACCTAGTAAATCGCGAGACGATAATCTCGTTGAACGAACGTCGCCTCGAGAGCTCAATAGAACCGAAATTACGGCCTCACCTGTCGTAACTCGTGGGCCGTCCGTGGATATCTGATCGTCGTTCGTACGGAGTCTCGTACACCGCTGGAACGATTTATCCCAATACATCACGGCGATATAAACAATATACAAGAGCACCAACGTTAACGCTTCGTACCATTCCACCCGTTCATCGTGTATAATGCATATTAAAATGGCAACCGTGACACCGTAAGCGAGACAGTCTCTGCTAACGGGCCACCAATCTAGAGGCACCACCTGTATAGGAGAAAACGTTGTTATGAGCTAGATTACAGCGCAGATGTTGACTGAACGTTCTCGGATATTCCGAGAAAATAATCCATAATTCTCCGATATTCTGGAAAAAAGAAAGAAGGAGCTATGCCGATACACGTATATATTCGGAAAGAAGAAAAATATCTCGTAAATTTGCAAAACTGCATTTTCTTCGTTTTCTTTTTCTTTCTTTTTTGTTTCTCTCTACCGTATATAATATGTGCATAATTTCGACATTGTTGCGTATGTATAATTTCGACATTGGCAATTTCATCGCGCGTCGAGTCCGCGCGGACGCATGTAAATGTGCACGCCTTTCCAATTTCGCGTCTATTAAACTTCGCAAAACTGCGGAACATTTGGCAACCCACCATTCCCGCACCGATACCGCAGCAGGCTGGAACAGCCAGGATGTTGAATACTGCGGAACCTACTATCGTCCCGACGCCAATGTCACCTTCCGTGATGAATGTTCCGATGGCATTCACGAATAATTCTGGGGCCGACGTCGCCGCCGCCATAAACGTTGCGCCGGCTACGTCTTTCGACATTGAGAGTGCTGAAACATAACGCCAATCTCAGTTTTAATTACTTATATTGTGCATACCGAGCGATTCATCGATCGTTATCATCTAGGATATCTTCTCTCTCTCTCTCTCTTTGAAGTTCTAAACAACTAGACTGAAAAAAAGTATGCGCGGCAAAAATTGCCGTACACAGGACTCACGCAATTTTCCCTTCGCTACAAATATCTGCGAGATGGCAACGAACCGGTCCGACAATCGAGCGGATCTACGCTCGTTTAATCGTGAATCGGTTGAGCTAATTGTATTCTTTTTTCTCTCCATAGCCGTGTATACGTTCGGTGTATGCTCGTTGCGCGAATTTGGCGCGAAACGATTTGGCTGTTTGATTAACGCGATTCTCTCGTTTCCGAATCGCCAGCGAAGACAACGAAGATACGATAAGCACGGGATCGAACGTTCGGAAAAAAATACCGCGCGAGAGGTCAATTTCCGAATGAGGGACAATTACGGTAACCACCGGCTGACGAGATGTGTCTGGCGCCCGCAGTGACGCAGATATGCTGCAGCATGGCATCGATTCGACGAGTCGCATATCGCGCATCTCGAGTGGCTGCTCGAACTCAACTCAACGTAACGTCGCCCGGACAATCGGAAAGTCCCGATCAAATACTGCGGCCGCGCTTTTCGCGCCGTGTCATACCGACGTCCCCGTTTTACGCTTCAACTCCGATCGAAGAGTAAAAAACAAACAAACAAACTTCCTTCGGATTATTAGCGCAAGCGGGGCTCCCCTTCGCGCACGCACAGCCAGCGATGCGTGTGCGAGCGCGCGACGTGAAGTCCGAGAAAAGAGTTTAGCAAGGGGGAACAAAAAAAGGAAAAATATGTAACATATGCAAGTTTCTTACCGTGACATATTTTTTCTACAGCAGGTACGAAGAATTTATCGCATACTACTGCTAAAGCGATAAATAAGTAAAGCGACACGATGACGTGTACGACAACGGCACCGCCTTGTCTCTGCTCCTCATCAAACAGGTCGTGTGGAAAATCTTCTATAGCCGGTGGCGTACAATTTATACCTAAAACATAAATCACCTTTTAAGGAGAGCGTGCGCGGAGTGTCACACGGTCGAGGGAAGATTATCCGACGGATCGAGGAAAATCGGCTCCATCGGGCGGCTATTATCGCGCTTCGGTTATCTCTCGGCGCTCCGTTTCGGCTTTCTCGAAATTGCGTTACTAGTCCGCAACTGTGAGCTACATGTGCCAGATAAAGGGTCATTGGCCTCATTATAGAAGTGTCTTCGATTCAAGCTCCTTTGATATCATACAGCGACCGATCATAATCGATAGAAAACAAATAACGAAGCGAGACGAGATTCCAATCGAGAGCGAGGAGAACACACGCGCTCGTCCCGCTCTTTCGAGGTCGGTTCTCCGACGGGAACGAAGCTCTTCGCTGCGGAAATTTTATCCCCGATTTGAGTGTGCTCCTCTTGTTTTGTTTTGTTGTTCACGGAGGAATCTTGCCGCTCGTACCATGACTTTCGCCACACCCTGTATTTATTCGTGGCGGCCGCATAATACCGGCCGATTCCGGATGTACCGCACCCACGCACGCTCGTATCCGACGAAATGTATTTTTATCGTTATGCAACGCAAAGTACGATACAAATCTGACGGTGCGCGCGAACCGGACTCGCACAATGCATACCCGCTTATAATTCAGCACGGGGAGTAACATTTCGGCGCGAGACGCGAGTCCGCGCGCGATGACGCGCGCGCGTGTGAAAAGAGGGAAATGCGATGCTGCAAAATTGAGAGGAGATCTCGCGGCCCCGCGTGTCCTCTTTTATCTTATGTGTATCGTTTGTATTATTTACAGATTGCAGACTGCGAAATAATAAACACGATTCCCACGTACGTCTCGCCTAAGTGGCTATTTATTTTATTCCTTTCGCCCCTTTCCTTGCCCCCCTCTATCGTTGCCCACGTGGGTCAACATTTTCTCACTCGCGCGCGTTGCGCTCCTCGCGTGAAACTCCTCGCGTAGACCTCGCGCGGGACGCGGTCAGGCGGCTACATGTTTGCTACTTTAACGTAACGCAGAGGCTTTTTCTTTCTCTTTCTCTCTTTCACACGCGCGAGTACGCGCTCGCGCTCGCGCTCGCGCTCGCGCGCGACGCGACCGCTCATGGGTTAATACGATAAGAGAGCGGCGGGAAGAGCTCAAAGTTAACCATTATCTTTTTAGAGTCGGCAGCTCGTTCTGGCGCTAAAAGGGAGCGGAGTCGTGACGAGGAGGTAGATCGACGATTACGAAATCGTATATTAGCACGTACGTTGACTCGTCGAATGGAGGAACATTCCCGCTGAAACGCGCTGAACGAGACACGAAATGTCACGCGCGTATGTCGACGTGCCGTCCAAATCGGATCGTGTGGTGGTAAGATAACGATACGCCAAGTAGGAAACGTCTCGTTACCGTGCGCCATTACTTCCATTTTATGGAAGCCGTGTCGTGCCGAATTATTTGGCAAACAACCGGCCGCGAGCCGCGGCGCGCTGAGCGTGCTGGCTGACAAAGGTGTCCGCCGCGGGGATATACGTGCGAAATGCGCGCTTTTCATCGCGCTGCACGCACCGCTCGTGCAGCCGAACCGACGAGCGCCGCCGCGCCGCTCGTTACGCCAATTTGACGCCGGGCGAATTTTCAAAGGCGTTTTATTACGGGACATTTAGCGAGGAAAGCGCCGAACCGTTGTCAGGACACATGTCCGCTGTCCGGTTTTTTTCGGCCACGCTTGCCGCCGGCCTTGCTCGCTTAATTGCCGGAGGCCGCTCTTTTGTAACGTGCGTTGCGCTGCCGCACGCGCATGAAAAATTGCCGATCGATTTCCTCCCATCCGCGACTACGGCGAGCCACGCGCGATACACTTTGCCAACGTGTCTTCGGGAACATCCGACTTTCAGCGAAATTTCGGGACAGAGCGGCGTGTCTTCGTTTAGAATCGATAGATGCTTGGAAAAAGAGATATATTGATCACTACTGTGATCAAAAAGTATCGGAATTTTATTTTTTAAAAATCGCGGGTAAACTGTAAATCAAATCCGTTTGCTTTCTCAAGCTGGTTACACATGTCCTGCACATTTGGTGAAAAAATCATGGCGTTCCTTCAAGCCGCTTGAAAGTGGCAGTTGTTTATGTCAGTGAAGATTGTTGTGCACGGCGATTTTTACAATGTCGAGAAATATGGAGCAAAGAATTTGCTTGAAATTTTGCGTCGCGAACGAATTTTCCTTCACAAACGCATTCAAAATGTTGCAAAGAGCTTGTGGCGATGATTGTTTATCGGAAACAAGTACGTTTGAGTGGTTTAAGAAATTTCAAGAAGGAGAGGAGAATCCGTTGAAGACGACCCACGCTCTGGGAGACCATCAAACGTCAACGGATGACGCTCACATTGAGAAAGTGAAAAAATTGCTGCTCCAAAATCGTCGATTGACTGTGCGAGAGATAGCAGATGAAGTTGGAATATCATTTGGATCGTGCCAGCACATTTTGTTCGATGCGTACTGGACATGAAACGGGTCGCATCGCGTTTGATTCCGAAAAATCTGAATTTTCTCCAAAAACTCAACGAATGTCGCTCCGCAAGCCGCACCGCATTCATCAGATATGACCCCCTGCGACTTTTTCCTGTTCCCCCTATTGAAAAAAATCACTTCGCGGACAGCGTTTCGAGTCGATTGAGGACATCAAAGAAAAATCGCTGCGTGAATTAAAGGCGACATACCGAGCGATGTTTCCAGGACTGGATCAGACGCTGGCATACGAGCGTTGCAACTACTTTGGACGGAGACTATAAGAATTTTAATGATTGAATCGTAATTTTGATTTTTAAAAATAAAGTCCGGGTACTTTTTGATCACAGTAGTATATACGTATATGTGTACGCGGGAAATCAATTCAGTTTGAGCAACGAAACCCGAGACGTCGATGCGGCTTTTCTTTGCTTGTAATCAACGACATCTAGAAACAAGATGTACGTACAAAGAGGAAAAACAATTCTGTTAGCGTAATTAAATTTTCTATTGCCCGAGGACAACAGAGACGAGACTCGCTTACAAGAAGGTCCGTGCGGGGGGCTTCTATTCAATCAATTGCCCTCGGTTGTCTCAATCGAGCTTCAATACAGCTCTGAGCATTCGGACGATTGTCTTCGCTCGCGACAACAAAATGCCGTTTTTTGTCATCGATTTTTCGCCCGGTCGCCGCTCAATTACGCGAGCTAGCACTTTATTTCCCAGTGTGCTAATCAGAGCTTCAAAGCGACCGAGCGAGACGATGTTATAAGCTCGAGGCTGGAGATTCCGATTCTCGTTGAACGAACACGCGCGTTGACACGGACACGCCGTCGTGTCTCAATAGCAAGTTGACAAATCGCGGATGTTTGGTCATCAACTCGTTTCGTTTTCAGTTGAACTTGGCGGGAGTCATGCCTTGCAGGGCACGTTCATGTACTCGCCCATCTCGAGCCCTCGCTCGGCAGTTCACACCCGACACGCCGGCCGTTCTCAGCGATAGATCCCGCTCGTTCATTTTCCGCCGGGCGCATCTCAGATCTAACGCCGGATCTAAAGCCGTCCGCCTCGAAATTTCAAAGGATTAAGCATCGCGCCGGTGCGCGATCGCCGCGCGCGAGCGTGCTCGTCGCCGCGGTGGATTATCTAATTTCACCGTCGTATCCGGAACGCGACTCGGCATTATTGCGCGACAATAAAGCGAGCTAAATAGCGACATTAATCTCTCTCTCTCTCTCTCTCTCTCTCTCTTTCTCTCTCTCTCTCTCTCTCTCTCTCTCTCTCTCTCTCTCCCGCCTTATTATATTTTAATTTCTCTCTCCGACGAGAGACACACACGCGGCCCTTCCTCTACCTCCCTCTCCCCCTGCCGCCGCGCTTCCCCTACCCCCTCCCCCCGCCGGCCACCACGGGGCGGTGATGCACGGGCACATGCGAACGTGCGCGCGTATTGGTGCCTCTTGCAGGTTATACCGCTATGTGACTGATGTGACTTCCTACCGATTAAGCAACCTAAAGAAGTTAAATTGCTCTCATTCAACTTGGCAGAACAGATGCCATTCATGTCTAATGTACGTCGTATAAACTAGATATATCACGACTCAACGAGATTCGCGGAGCCCGGCGGCGGCGGTAGCGGCGGCGGCGGCGACGGCGGCGGCGGTGGCGGCGGTGGCGGTGGCGGCGGCGGCGGTGGTGGCGGTGGCGGCGGAGACGACGATGGCGGCGGCAACGACGGCAGCGGTTCGGTCGGAAGGGCGCGGCGCGGTACGATGCGTCGCCGGTTGCCGGCAGACGGTAGACGATAGATAATCGGTGGCCACCGACTCGCCGTCGATCGGCCTAACGCGATGTTTCCGCGACTATTAGCGTCCTTACGTAGCAGGACTCGGACGAAGATTCGAACGGATCTCTGCAGGAACGACGGATCTCTTTTCTTCTGCCTCGGACTTTGGGGTCGGAGCGCTCTCCGAGCGAGAGAGAGAGAGAGAGAGAGAGAGAGAGAGAGAGAGAGAGGGAGAGAGAGAATCGATATGTTCGGTCAAATGATCGATTCGCGAGGCGAATCATAATCGATTGTCTTGGAATCGTAACGTCAAGAGGAATTCAAACGGGTACTGCTTGCGTATAAGAGCCGATCGATCCCTTCTTTTGTAATGCATCGTGCAATTCAACGGAATACCGAAAAAGGAATATTGTAATTTTCGTTTTTAGGCTCGAACTTCGACGTCGATTTCCGGACGGTTTGAAAGAGGTCGAGAAACGATGTCTGAAAAATTCTGAGTCCTATGTATTACGCACGCGACGACACAATTGTTCTGATCCAACAATAAGCGCGGTAAAGTTGGGTAAAAGTTGCGCGTGTAATTTAGCATGTCGTCTTATGTACCGTGCTTTGCTCGCGTCTTTGTCGGATCTCTCGCACAGGGGTCTATAGTCACTATAAATATAATATCGCATCGCAGGCGAAGAATAAATAAATAGTTCACATTGATTATCGTTCGCGCGCCGCACACAGCTTTACAGCGTGAACGAATGAACGATCTTAAACCGATATCGCAGCGAAGTCGTGCAATGTAGGGTGAATAAGCGCTGACGACGGACAATAGGGATGCTTGCTTTATCTCTCGACAAATTATTCCCTCCAAGTTCTCAAAAGCTTGACTAATCGCGCGAAATATTATTATTATATTATTCGCGCTCGATGATATTATTTAGCCCGACTTTTCAGCACAAGTTTCTGTCGCATCAGTGTTCCGTATTCCGTTTCCATCAAACGAGGACATTGGATTATTAACCATAAATATATTAATTACCATTGTTAACCTTATTTTCAAAATTAAGTTTAGCGCACGTCACGAGGCAATTAAGAAATGGCCCGTTACGTCCGACGCTCTCGAAAGATCGAAACTATGGATTTTTCAATTATATATAAATTCCCCGTGTATATATCAATCATGTTTCTCAATATCCTTAATAAAGTGACGACGTGTATCGCATAATCGAAGCGGCGGTGGATGTAGAAGGTTTGCGTGAATCTAAGCTATTCTATACTCAAGTTGTTTCTGCCCGCCCCCTCTCACCCGCCGCGAAACCCTAACAATAGTAAATATTAAGTAGGCTGTTATTTTCTAAGATGACAGACACACTCACGTGCACATACATGCACACACACACACACACACACACACACACACGCGCGTGCGCACGCACACATATACGAGTCTCCTCGTAATGTGCGGCTCTGAGCAGTAGCTTGTCCGGCTCGTATGTAAATCTGGCTCTGCGGACGATTGACAGGTCACGCCGGACAAGTGAACGACAAAGAAGAACGGCAAGCGTGAACGTCGGTAGACGGCGAGCGAACGTCTTCGTTAATTTTCACTGATCCCAGGTCGCAATTGATGATGCTTAATTAATCGCTTTAAAAGACGCCGCGGTCGTCTCTCTCTCTCTCTCTCTCTCTCTCTCTCTCACTCTCTCACCGCGGCCCCCGCGCCTCCCGCCGGGTTGATGGCTTTAATTAAGCGCACTAATCGCTCCACCGTCCTCTGCGTTCTTGTTCTTATTAAAGGTCAACGTAACTGCTCATCGACGAAAGCGGATGCATCGTCTAACGAGAGCGTGGAGTGTGGACGGAAACCTCTACGTTCGCGTCGCCGACGTGTGACCGTTAGTGACGACTGATAGGGATATCTTTGCGAACAGCGTAGGACAGCTCGTTTCGCGAGCGGCGTCGCTCGTGCAAACAGCTAGATATTTGGTCGTTGACATTATTCACGCGGCCGAATTCGCATGGCGGAAGCTCGCCTCTCCGCCCTGTGATCGGCATGTGATCGTCGGTAGCGTTCATTAGCGGAGAGGATGCGCTCGATTGCATTAGCATCGTTCGGCACAAAACACGCTCGCCTCCGCTGTTTCTATCGCTGTACTACTTTGCCGAGAATTCATCACGAATAAATCGAACTCACCTTTCCGTGTGAGTGAATATCGAGGAGTTTTCTCGCGATATGTAAACGAAGGCTCAGCTCGATGTTTGTCGCGTTTCTTGGCTAAAGTTCACTTTAATATGGAGAGGTACCCGAGACGTATACAATAGAAGCTGTATAATAGAAGTTTGGAAGGCCGGTGCCTCCTTCAGACCTTGTGCGAGACATCTCGGATGCTTGCGCCTTGAAGCGAGAAATGTAACGTCGAGTTCGTGTCACTCAAGTCGTGAACCTGAACCGGCGGTATTGAAGATTCTTGCCGATAGGTCGTTATCGCGATGTTTTGAAGGAAGCAAAGTGTACCATAAGCACGCAACATTCACCTATACGCGGCAGTTCACGTATGCAGAAAGCTATGTGTTTGCTTTCTTACAACGCATCGCGTAAATTTTACCTTCTAAGAGTTACAAAAGGAGTGCTCACGCGAGAGTTGATTAACCCTTTCACACCCGATGTCCACAGTATAATGGACGTGTACTCTTACAGTCACTTAATACCGTTTCCTCATTTTGCAGGCACGTTCTGAGATTTAAACCGTTCAACACATCATCATCCGCGATTGGCGGATCGAATGAGACTAATCGGGAAAAATGCCACGAGAGATGCACGATGCATCTTACAATAAAGAAGCCGTTAATGTGAGAGAATAATTCGTGCTTGTCGGCACGATAAGACGATCGGAAAGACTCATCTGAAATTGCGAGAGGTTTTCATTGGTAAAATCAGGAACATCGGAATTTCCACGAAAAGAGGGGGCGATAAAAAGGGACGAGCGCTTTTCGAATATCTTGTCCGAGCGGAATTAGCTTGCGATACTTGGCTAATGGCTCAAGCGAGAATAAAGCGAAATTTGGCAGATGCAACACAGAGATGTGAGAAGAAGAAGAAGAAGAAGAAGAAGAAGAAGAAGAAGAAGAAGAAGAGAAAGGGGAAATGCAGGAGAAGCTGTGGCACGTATGACTGAACAATCGTCATCAGTTCTAGGTTTGATGTCACGAATATCGCGCGTGCAATAGAGAGGGAATCATATATACGTGTTACTTTTTTTGCTCTCTTAAAGAACACTTCCTGCGGCCATCGGCTGCTTCTCGCTCGTTGTGCGACAACGACGATTAGCACCATGCTAAACATGTAACGAAACATCCTACCGGACTCGCACATTCCGCGTTTCTTCACAGTCGCGTTCCCGTCGACAAAGTGGAAAAGTGGCAAAAACGCGAGCCGATCGAGTGCACATTTCGACAAATCCACAACTTTTCCGCCGTCTCCTTTTTCCTCTACTCTCTCTCTCTCTCTCTCTCTCTCTCTCTCTCTCTCTCTCTCTCTCTCTCTCTCTCTCTCTCTCTCTCTCTCCTCCTCCTCCTCTCTCTCTCTCTCCCTCTCTTTCTCTCGCTCTTTTTTTTCCCCGCAAATCTCGTCGTCGTCCTCCTCCGATTCTCCCAATCGACATATTTCCCGTGCACGCTTCACTCCGTCTCCGCTTCGTCCGAAACTGATTTAACACGACGCAGTCACCGTGATATTATTGAAAATAAGATTCGAACACACCTCCTCCTAGGTCAGACGTATCCATGTTGTCAATCCCGTTGTCACACACATACTACATTAACATCTACTCCGAAGTCCGACATCGTTTGTTGGAATCGCCCCTCCCTCTATCTCTTCTCTCGCACGTAGCGCCTGTTGCTGAATCCGTGCTGCATGTAGGTGAAGCCTACATGCGTTTGGAAATATTATTTCGATCGATCGAGACATCAAGCGCGAAAAGCAATCGGCAAGAGGCATTATCCACGATAAGTGAATGTTGTGTCGGTCTAACAAGATCGCTCAAGTTTAGTGGAATCGAGTTACGCTGAATGACGTGTCTTACAATTCACGTCGGATATCGCGATTTTTATTGTGCCCGTCATTGTGATATTCGGATATCACATCACATACAAAATTTTTGATATGCCATGTCGTTGATGTTACGCGTAATTAGATCTATGCCGTGGAGTACTGGCACTTTTGTACTCTGGTGCTTTTGATATATTTTGCGACAGGCGTGTATGCATAGCAATGGCGAACGCGACTGAATGCAAACTCCCGACGAATTGTTTATAAGCTAGGATCTTCTGTAAAATTATATTATACACACTTCACGTGTGTTAATTCGACCGGTGCAGGCGCACTGAGCCGTGCTCTGCTGTCTAGTCGTTGATTCGACTTGTGACCTCTACATCCGCATCGGTGCGGTACCTATATCGGTATATATAACAATTAAATATTATCGCAGGCGTGTTTTCTTATTTGAAGAAAAAATTTCGACCTCACGATACGAGTCGCGAAAACATTTCTACGACTCGTATCTTCTTTTCTGTTCTGACAAGTCTGAGGAGACGTCTTCGTGGAATTCAGCAATCTTCTCAAAACGACTCGTGCGAGCTGATGGTTTCATACCTGTCTAACTTTCTTTGAAAGTTGTTGAAGAGTCGCAAAATTTTTCGTTTCTCGTTGTGATGCTTATCTAATAAAACGATTGGGATGCTTGTAATTAATATAAAGAGACAGCGAGCGCGATAACGATTTCGATCATAACGTAAACATTCGTCACTGGATAGGGATACGTATCCCTATCAGTTCATTATCATCACGTGTATTTGTGATGTCGCAAGGCTCAAATATTCCTCTATTCGATCACGCAGCTGCGAGATATTCAGTTTCTCTTTTAGGACATATCTCCGCCTATACCTTTCGTTTTTCACAATGACGTGGAAAAAAAAAGCGCCAATGTTGCACGATTCGTTTGAATCGTATACAAATGACAACTCGAACGCTATACATTGGTTGTATTGAAATAATAAAAGATACGATAAACTACAATGACTCTCCGATGGAGAGAAGCGCACGTAGAGGAAAACCGATACTTCCGATTTTTCTGATCGCGCCGCACGTGATTATCCCGAGAGGGAAAAAAGTGCCGCTGGTCAGTCTAGAGTGGGACGTGCGTTTCTGTACGATCTCAAAGATATCGGCCGTGGCCGAACGATACCGTTGTACGTAACGACATATTCGACTCGAGAGAGAAATAAATTTTAATCAACGAGTGCGTGTTCTCGAGGTAACTTTGCACGATAAGCGCACCATGTGACAAACGCGGGGGTAGAGAGAAATAGATAGATACAGTGAGTGAATGAGTGACAGCGAGAGGAAAAACAAAGTAACAGCGTGGTGTGTACCGCGAGACATGTGTACATTTTCTCTTACTGCGTGCATGACAATATGCAACCGCGATACGCAACGTAAACTCGCCGGGAACGGAAAGATTCGTCCCGCGTACCTAACCGGACATCGCTGGGACCGGCCGGTCGCGATCGGAAACTTTTCTGCGCGGATAATCGTCGTAGGGAAGACTTTACTTTGCGAGTATGCGGTATCTTATCGGCGCCGGTGTTGCGCGATAATTCTCGAAAAATATAAGTAGTCAATCCCAACACTGCGTACGGACAAACGGCAGGTAGCCGCTCCGTGTCACATCGCATCGCGTCGTTCTGAGAGTAACGGGCTTCATTAAGGAAACGTATCATTACGGAGACGCGCAAACGGATCTCCTTGGAGTTTCCCGTCGCCTTCACCCTCGCGCATTCTTACGTAACACAAAGATGGCAAAGCGGCACAAACATATGGTCGGATACCGGATATTTTTCGTTATAGCCATACCGACTATGTACTTCCTTTGCATCAGTATGATGGGATTTTTCTCTGATAGCTCGACGAGCACAGGCAACACAGCGAACTGGCGTAAGTATATTGATAATACATGTATAACAGACTCCTCCCCTGCCTGCGTGCGTATGTTCAGCTGGAACGCAGAAGCGACCGAGGAGCCCGAGGAATTGTTTTCAAAAATTGCCTGCAAAAATCGAAAGATTTTAAGATGCTAATGCTAAAGACTATTTATTGTAATGAAATGTGAGTTTTGTGCGAAAGAGAAATTTTACAATGCGCTTTTTCTTCTTCTACCAAAGCAAAGTAAAAATATAATTTTTTTTGTCTTACTATACAGCGTGTCTCATTTACGATCGTAAAATAGCATTTTCTGTAATTTCATTAGAGCAAAAAATTTTAATACGAAAATGTCGAGGAAAATTCACAACTTTCACAACTTTCCAATTCTTAACATTGTATATCTTTGCGCGCGTGTATGTGTGTATATAGATTTTTGATTAAAACTTTTTTAAGCATATTCTACTTGTAGCTAAAAATATATATTTTTCATCTAGCTTTTTGAAATTAATTCAGTTTATAAGATCATCCGTTAACTTTCAACTTAAAAATATTGCCGTTTCAAAATTTTTGTTAGAATTGTCGACTTCAATATTAAACTTCACACACAGGATACTGTAGTTTCGGGACATTCTACATGTGTGTGTATGATTTTGAAATATCTTATTACCCTTCTTGTTCGTACAAATGTAACCCAAGTGAGATGAAGTGCGCAGCACAATGCTCGACCCGTGATCATTATCTATTCGTCCGTAATCTCTAATTTATCAGCACTAAACATCTCGCCGAACGTATCCACCCAATTTGCCCCGTGATCTACCTCTTTTGCATTTACACAAACAACGCTCTTTTTTGTATTTTCAGGAGGACGCAAATTGCTGCAAACGAGCGAACTCGAACAGCAATGGAATGACAGTTACAACTGCACGCTGCCAGCTATCAAAGACTTCCCGTCCGACGGGCTTACACGGCAACAAAGACAGGCAGGATTTATAATTGTCCACTTCGTCATCGCTATTTATCTCTTTTTATTACTTGCCATTGTCTGCGACGACTATTTTGTTCCCTCTATTAAGAAAATTTGCGACAGTGAGTACCGTTGAAACACCGAAAGGATTATTCAGAAAATGCATCGTTTTCTTGTGTAAATATCGCTCTCTCTCTCACTGCGGCTTGTCTCTCCGTTTCGTTGTAACGAGCGTAAGCCAGTGCAGTTTGGCGTGCCGTATCGCGCATCGCATCGCTTCTTTTTCTTCTTCTTCGTCGGTTAATTTTACTCGTAGTGTTTGCTCTACTTTTTCGCTCGCGGCTGCGTCGAATAAAACGAAACGAAATGTCTTGGCAGAGCTTAACGTCACTGAGGATGTGGCCGGCGCAACCGTAATGGCAGCTGCAAGTTCGAGTCCGGAATTGTTCATCAACGTCATTGGTACCTTCGTGACGGAAGGTGATTTGGGAGTAGGCACTATTGTCGGTTCGGCGGTGTTCAACATATTGGCAGTCCCAGCGTGCTGCGCACTGTTCGCAAATCAAGTAAATATAACGGCGCAATTCGACGCAATACTTTTTCTTGCTTCTCGATTGTTAACGGCCACTCATAATCCCCTTATCACTATCATATTCGTAGGTGTTGAATTTGGAGTGGTGGCCCGTGTCGCGTGATACGCTGGCGTACGCCTTCACGGTTATCCTCCTGATACTGACTCTTCGGGATGGACGTATCGAGTGGTACGAGGCGCTTATCCTGGTCTTCTGTTACATTCTTTATATATCAGGTGATATATATGATAAATAAATCGAATTAAAATAAGCTACTCAAACAAATTCGTGTTTCACGTAGAAAGGATCCACGACTCGAGCTTTTTACGCACTCGCCTGAAAAGAATTATTCACTTTGGATCTGGGATAGCGTTCTAGCGAATTTGAGAATATACAACGAGCAATATATACTCCAAGCTTATATTTTTATATTTTGTTTGAAACTTACACAACATCCCATGGCGAATAATGTGTATAGCCGTTTGTTGAAAGATTTTCTCTTTTTTTTTTTTTCTTTTTAACATAAATATCCTTCCTTTGAAAGAGACAAATAGCAAGAAATAGACAAATGTTGACATCTCGTAATTTCTCACTGTTCTGAATAGTTATCGTTAAAGTTACTGAAGTTTTAGTCCAAATTTGTGCTTTCAGCAATGTGCTTCAACGATCGCATCAATCGTTTCATAAGACGACTAACGTCCAGAAGGAAAAAGTACACGAATATCTGCGAAACAAGCCCCCTCTTGCCAAATAGTAAGTTATATAACTTACAACGTATTTTCTTAAATACACATTAAATACAACCTCTGCAAAAATAGGTGAATTAAAAGAAATTGATGCAATTTCATTCTGTGAAATCATTTTAATCTTCAGGAATCGGAGATTGTTTCTAATATTTGTAAATTTCTTTCTATTTTTACCTGCCGAATTCCTTGTTTTGATTTGTTCTACGGGAAAGTTTCTGTTAATCAAAAAAGATTTATTTTCTCTATGTTAAGAACAGGAAAAGACAGAAAAGGCACCCGGAATCTGGAAAGCTAATGTCTGACCTTGTAAATTAGAGATTTTATTTCACAGAATAAATCCCTGTCATTTCTTTTCAATCCACGTATCTCTTTGCAGGGATTGCATTCGATAACTACTCGTAAGAAATGTAATCTCATGCTTGGCTATCTTTCATGATGAAACCTGGTAGACTTCGTCAAAAAAGACACCGAGATATGTGAACTTAATTCCAGTGAGCATGACGAATCACGTATGTACTCTATAGAATATAACATGTTGTAATGTTCTCGTATGAAATCAAAATTTTACTACAAATATGCAATCATTCCACTTACAGCGTCTTTAAGTCGCATCACACGCGTTAATGCAAATATTAAGTTCGAGTACCTATGAAATAAACAAATAGGCCATATGTAACATAAAATATTTCTAATATCGTACATACTTGTCTTTAGTCGAAATTGTGAATATGACGAGTTGGCCGAATTCGACATGCGAAAAAATATGGTGGATTATCACCTGGCCTATTAACTTGGTGTTGCTCATCACTATTCCCGATTGTAGAAGAAACAAGTTAAAAACTTGGTATCCCTTTACATTTCTCATGTGCGTGATGTGGATCGCGTCTTCGTCTTACATTATTGGATGGGTCATCACCGTTATCGGTACGTGTCATCGACGATTGAATATCTATATTCGCGGATACTATTTAATTCTGTGCTACGAAAAAAACATAAAAATCACTATATTGAATTTTCAAAAATAAATATCCAAAAAGAGCATTGCGAAAATATCTAAAAAACATCTTAATATTTAGAGATGTTCTTTAGACATCTTTTACAAGTTTCTTGTTGAGTTATATTAATATTGTATTTATATTTCAGGCGATACCTTTAGAATACCTGACTCTATTATGGGTTTAACGTTTCTTGCGGCAGGAATGAGTGTACCTGAAGCAGTATCCAGCGTTATTGTCGCGAATCAAGGTATATATATATATATATATATATACATACAATCATATTAGAGATGTGCAAACTATTCGATTCGATCCAAATCCCTATGATTCGAGTCCGAATAATTCGAAAATTTTGAATCGCAAAGATTCGAATACGAATCAAATAATTAAAATTAACGTTTGCGCGCATCAGCTACAAAACGGGCCACCCGGGTCTGTATATTTGAACCCTTAACTTGTAATTAACTTAACTTATAATTAATAACTTAATTATAAATAACTTTAAATATTTAAATATATATTTTATTTTAAGATGATATTACAATATCAATATTCCTTTTCATATTAAAATCTTTCATCATTATTTGCATATTTAGTAGTCATGTTAAATTTTTTAATAATTCGTTTCGATTTCACTCGATCCGATTCGAAATCGAATTTAAAAAATGAGATTCGATTTGATTCGATTCGATATAAAAATTCTTGATTCACATATCTCTAAATCATATAAATATATGACTTTTATTTTCAACATGAGAGCTTCATGCATCAAATATCAAAACTTAAATTTCTTTCAGGTCACGGCGCTATGGGGATAAGTAATTCAATTGGATCGAATGTATTCGATGTGTTACTATGCCTTGGACTGCCGTGGTTCGTAAAAGCTGCGTTATTACCAAAAATACCTGGAGAGTATTACGTTCAAATTAATTCTCAGGGACTAGTATACAGCTCAGTATCTCTTTTCTCTACGTTAATTATCCTATACGGAGCATTGTTCCTTAATAAATTCAAATTAAATCGTACAGTCGGAATGGTCTGTTTTATTATGTACGTTATATTTTTGATATTCGCATCTGTCATAGAACTCAACACATTTTTCGTCGTTAATTTACCAGTATGCACTGACTAGCGCCATTATTTAAATCTGTGTTACGTCGATTTCGTAGATATAAGGCGATATTTATATCTCTTGTTGATATCTATGTACGCTTATATATTACAATAATTAATTTTTTACTAAAAATGTTTACGCAATGTCTTTCCCTCTTTCTCTATGACAAACTATACAGACATGAATTATATACTAATTTCTACATCACATGTTTATAGATAATCTATAGATTTAATTATACAAATTTAGCTCTTCTATTTAACACAATATATACTGTTTAATCGCTAATACAATTAATGATACAATAATATTAATATAATGCTGAGATTTTGAGATACTAGTTTCAAGAAAGTGTAGTGACTCTTCCAGGTTTAGACTGTAATGATTTGTAGTATTTATTGATATTAGTTTTAATGTTAAAAATATTAGTATTAAATTAACATTAATATTAGTGGCAATAGTATTACTATTAAAATACAATTTAGTTTCTTTACAAGATTTGTTTGTTTATTAAAAATATTATTTTCTACATATATAGCTTTAGAAGTTTTCATTAAAACTTATATTGAGCATTTGAAGAAATCTAAATAAATCTTATTGTATAATATATGAATTTATTTAACACAATTGACCACAATTTGCTATCATGATCTTCTCATATGTCTTACCACTTTGCGAGCCATAACTTTCAACTTTCCTCACGATATCCATTCCATGAACAACAGTACCAAACACAACATGTTTATTATCCAACCAAGGTGTTTTCGCAGTGGTGATAAAGAATTGTGAACCATTTGTATTTGGACCAGAGTTTGCCATCGACAATATGCCATAGCTTGTGTGTTTGAGTTCAAAATTCTCATCTTCAAATTTTTCCCCATAAATAGACCTTCCGCCTGTACCATTGTGATTTGTAAAATCACCTCCTTGACAAACGAATTGAGGAATTACACGATGAAAGTAGCTTCCTTTGTAACCGAAGCCTCTTTCCCCTGTGCATAACGCGCGGAAATTTTCCGATGTTTTCGGCACAATGTCAGGACGTAATTCCATAGTAATTCGTCCCAACGACTTGTCATCTGCAGTTATGTCAAAGTATACCCTCGGTAAACCCATAGTACGCTTGTAACCTTTCACAAATTAAAGCTGAACATAATAGGAATTAATTGGAATGTTACTAAAGAAAAGATGGAGCTGAATTATTTATAAATAAAATTAATATAATCAGAATAAAATGTTACCTCACAGTGCTTGGTTACTATGTGTAACTTTGTCTCGTGTCCAACCCAAATCTACAAGAAAAGATTTATTATCCTTGATTATTATCCCTGATTGTCTAATTCCACATATATAGCACAGTTCAATTAGCATCGATAAATTTCATTATTATTTATTTTGTTTGCGCACGCATGCTTTATATATGCCATACAAATCCATTTGAATATTTGGAACATATGACCATGCCTTTATGGAAGATTCACACTGCGTCCGATGTCCGACGTACGACGTCCGACATCCAATAGGAGAATTCAATTCTCCATTAGAAAACTGTTCTGCTATTGGATGTCGGATGTCGTACGTCGGACATCGGACGCAGTGTGAATCCTCCATTAGAGATCCTCTAGTATGGCTGTGTTCCAAAATTTACTGCCAATACTGAAAATACATAGTTTGTGTCACGTATATTATAGATTTTCAATGCAGGCAGTGAATATTGTAATACACTCTAAAGTCAGTGGCACACGGTGCTTGTTTCGTGCTGGATTGCTTGATGGTTGAAAATACTGCGTTCTGATTAGTGCATTTCCATCTATCTTCGAAAATGTACCAATCAGAAGGCAGTATTTTCTTGCAGCAAGCAATCCAACATGAAAACAAGCACCGTGTGCCTCTAGCTAAAGCCAGCGGCACACGATGCTTGTTTTCGTGCTGGATTGCTTGCTGGATGAAAATACTGCGTTCTGATTAGTGCATTTCCATCTATCTTCGGAAATGTACTAATGAGAACGCAGTATTTTCATCCAGCAAGAAATCCAACACGAAAACAAGCACCGTGTGCCGCTGGCTTAAGAGATGCGCAATCTTTGACTGCAACGGGATTGGTCCTGGCCGACTTTGCAAGAACATGGCGGAACCAATGAAATAATCGTATTTTACTATTAAAGGCGTGGTAAAGATGAATTACGTAAAGTTAATTCAATAAATTTATAAATATGTAAAACAGAAAGAAGAAAAGCCATCAAGAAATTGACGATCATCCTGTTCATAACCGTTAAATAAAGATTTCATATGTTCGGAGACAGTTATTTCTTTTAAACATTATTTAAGCTGATACTTCAGATAATTCTCCTATATGAATATGACTATGTTAAAATATTTTCAATTCTCACATGTATTTTACAATTTATGTGAAGTAATATTTTATTATAATATTGCATTAATATCACTTATAATTATCAGCAATTTATATTTATATTTACATTCTATATATATTAATCTTAAGCCAGCGGTACACGGTGTTTGTTTTCGTACTGGATTGCTTGCTAGATAAAAATACTGCATTCTGATTGGTGCATTTCTGAAGATGAATGGAATCAGAACGCAGTATTTTCATCCAGCACGAAACAAGCACCGTATGCTGCTAGCTTTATATATATATATATATATATATACACTCACAAGCATATCACACATGTCACACATGAGCTCACCATATTCTTGCAAACGACCGAAGTTTACGCATTTCTTACTAGAGGATCTCTACATGTCTTCAACATCTTCTGCCACCTGCAAGTAAAATAGAGCAACTAAACATCAATATGGCGTTGCAATCCGCTCAATTTAAATGAATGTTCTCTCCGTTTTAATTCTACAGATACGTTCCGAAATATAAAGCGTTCAAGGTGAGAAATAGTTACGATTGTGTACGATAATTGTTAATAAAAATATAAATAATATATAAACAGAATAAACATCTGTCAAAAAAATAAAGCCATAATTTTAATCTATAATTTAAAGATTTGTTTTAATAGTCTTCAAGTTATAGCTTTAAATTCCAATAAAATTATGTCAATATATAGAAACGATTAAATTGTACTGATATTAATAGTGATATTTTAATATCGTCAATAAATTTCAAAAGGAAGCCTGTAAGTAGCTTTTTTTGTTGTTCGTCGCAAATTCATGCAAAGAATTTCACCTTCATATCGCTATCTGTATTAAATGTTAAATATGAGGAAAGAATTATACGGTTGATATATGCTTGGAAGCTATACAGTCATAATTATGTATAATCATACAAACGCTGCGCAATCACTCGGGTTATAAGATATTATCACAAATTACTCGATTTTAGGATTACGTAAAACTGAACAATATATTTTATAATTATTTATATTACATAATGTCAAGCAAGCACACTCTGCATGAAACGTAAAAACTTTGTGCACAATATAATGTGATAATAGTTGCAAACGGAAATAAAATTGTCAAGTGAGTTAAATGAGTTTCGAAATGTAAAATTTTCAAACGAATTAATCGTCTGAATCCATATATCTCAACAATCCACACGCTCGGGGCTTATTATTAGCGTCGAGTGATTCAGTATATTGTGTGATGCATATTTATGAAGATGATCGTTCGCGTTATGCGGACAATCTCTACACGTCATTTCAATCAAAGGAATAAAGTTTGAAGTGCCGCAAGCACTTAAATTGGGAACATACGCAAATTCGATTGATACGTCAATATGTAAAAAACTTCGTTCTTATCTACGTTCTTGTCTGCCTGCTTCGAGCAAGACTCGAACGGTTGCGTTTAAACGAAAGTAATATCGCAATTGTTCTCCCGTGTTATGTGTCTATAAGATATAGTAAGTATTGTATTGGAAACAATAGGCTTACGTGTCGCACACAACTAACTTACGTGATGACTCGTGTCAGTGCGCACACAAGTGACATGCCATTAGATTCTCATATGTACGTTGCTCTCTTATACAATCAAGTGTGCGCAAGCGTGTTGGATTATGAAGCGCGGAGCGGCTGAGGAGTCAGGTGCGCGTTCTTCTGCTGGTGATCCGAAATAAAAAGAACTTTCCTCAGAGAGCATCGTTGTGTCGTCGGGTCGTAAAAAAACATTAGGCGGTGCAAGGTATTTCACGACTGTCGCCTGATTCATGGTTGTCGACACATAGAGGAGAAACAATCAAGAAACCAATTCTCAAACCGGCTTTGTAACCGACCGACGAACTGGGACTGTCGACTCGAATCGATTCATCGTTCTCCTAAACGCTCATTCATTCGCATTACCATGGAAGCTCTGATACCTGTGATAAACAAATTGCAGGATGTATTCAACACCGTCGGTTCTGACGCAATACAGCTGCCGCAGATCGTCGTTTTGGGCACGCAGGTTAGTGCCGTGCTTTGCTCCTGTTTGAAAGCCGTTAACGATCAAATCTGTTTATGTTACAATTACATCATGCTGTATTTACATCATGCTTTGTACTTAAAATGTAATTGTGTACTCGGGTCTTGGAAGAAGAGAAGGGAAAGAAAGTGTCCGAAGTATCGAGAATGTATTTGAAACGAACGGGTCTCTGTATCAGCTGTTGCTTAATCATTGTGTTGAGATTCTTTCTTTGTTACGAATGATGCGCAACCCGTGGTAGGTTTCTCGTTGCTCGATGAGTTTGAATTTTTCATAAGTATTATAGTCAGGGGATTATAGTCCCTTGACTATATATCAAGTATTATAGTCAGAGCTTCATATCTCTCGACACCTGTACAAATCAAAATGATAAAAAGGTATGAAATCAATTTTAGATGATAAATTAAAAGCTAAAATATTATGATTTCTGATCTTTATCTTTGGTTGAGTCCTATTTTGGTGATGGCATAAAGGACTCGAGTCAAATGAAGATATGTCGTAAATGTTCTTGAATATTGCATAGTCATGGTATTTTGTATTTTTCAGAGTTCTGGAAAATCATCTGTAATAGAGAGCTTAGTGGGTCGTACTTTCCTACCACGAGGAACTGGTATTGTCACACGGCGGCCATTAATATTACAACTTGTATACACACCAAAGGATGATCGGGAACACAGAAGCTCAGAGAATGGGACTTTGGACTTGGACGAATGGGGAACATTTCTTCACACGAAGAATAGGATTTACAGAGATTTTGATGATATTCGCTCAGAGATCGAGGCTGAAACTGATAGAATGGCTGGAATAAACAAAGGAATTTGCCCAGAACCAATTAATCTCAAAATATATTCGAAATCTGTTGTTAATCTGACACTCATAGATTTACCTGGTATTACAAAAGTACCAGTAGGTGACCAGCCAGAGGACATTGAAAGTCAAATTCGTGAGCTTGTACTAAAGTATATATGTAATCCCAATTCTATAATTTTAGCAGTGGTCACTGCCAACACTGATATGGCTACAAGCGAAAGTTTAAAGCTCAGTAAAGATGTTGATCCAGATGGAAGAAGAACACTGGCTGTTGTTACAAAATTGGATCTCATGGATGCTGGTATACATTTATCTACTGTAGTTTTCAACGTATCTAAAATGTGTATTGCGTAACATAATATTGTGTCTGACAGTATTATTGAATATATTCTTTATCCTCTTAGGAACTGATGCCATAGATATTCTGTGTGGTAGAGTCATTCCAGTCAAATTGGGAATTATAGGTGTTGTTAATCGTTCTCAACAAGATATAATGAACAACAAAAGCATTCAGGAAGCACTGAAAGATGAGGCTACATTCTTACAACGTAAATATCCAACATTGGCAAACAGAAATGGCACCCCTTACCTAGCAAAGACTCTCAACCGCTTACTGATGCACCATATTAGAGATTGCCTGCCAGAATTGAAGGTAATAATATTGATAGTTGAATTTCTGAATATGATCGAGTAAAAGCTACCGAAATAAGAATATGATTTGATAGAAACTATGTTCTTCGAAAATAGACGAGAGTGAATGTGATGGTCGCGCAATTTCAAACTCTACTTAATTCCTACGGCGAGGATGTAGGAGACAAGAGCCAAACCTTGCTACAGATTATCACGAAATTTGCAAGTAGCTATTGCGCCACTATAGAAGGCACGGCCAGGAACATAGAGACCACGGAACTGTGCGGTGGTGCTCGTATTTGCTACATATTTCATGAGACCTTTGGTAAAACCCTCGATTCGATTCATCCCTTAGCAGGTCTTACTAAAACGGACATACTGACCGCTATTTGCAATGCGACTGGTCCGAGGCCAGCTCTCTTTGTGCCAGAAGTTTCCTTCGAATTACTAGTCAAACGGCAAATACGAAGATTGGAGGAACCTTCGTTACGGTGCGTCGAGCTTGTACACGAGGAGATGCAAAGTATAATACAACATTGTGGCACTGAAGTACAGCAAGAAATGCTGCGTTTCCCTAAGTTGCACGAGCGTATTGTTGATGTTGTGACACAATTGCTTCGTAGACGGCTCCCAACTACCAATGCAATGGTAAATTAAAACGTTCGCCGTGCACTTGTATTTGCAATCTATACTTACCTTTTTAACATTTACTATTGGACTTTAATTTCTTGAAAAAGGTGGAAAACCTCGTCGCCATAGAATTGGCATACATTAACACTAAGCATCCCGACTTTCACAAAGATGCAGCACTTGTGTCATCATTGCTGAAAGGTGCTGATGATCACTTGAAGCACAACAAACGTTTAACAAGCAGTACTATTGTCCCAGTAGACGCAGTAAGTAATGACCTCCACTCGATATTGCTTTGGAGATGTTTATCTTCTGTATGTACATAACATCTAATAAGATCTAAGATATAATGTAAACAACAGAATATGTATAGATGCACAAAGATATGCATTCATCCATTTATTTATTTGTTATTTATCACCCACCCACCACTTTTTACATTGTGGTGTACTTGTGACTAATAGTAAACTATATTTCTAACAGAATATAAAATCAAGCAATAATCAAGACGAGATAAACTCTGTTTCTGATCAGACGAAGGAGCAAGGACAGCAGAATCACTGGCTACTAAGTAACTTATTACCGCAAGTGAAAGCAGACTTAGCTACCTCCACGGACGGTTCTCCAGTCAGAATGCGCGAGAGCAATAATATTTCGAATATTGGCATCAATTCAGTCGATATGCAGAAAACATCCCCACAACAAAAATCAATTAACTTACTCCCTGCTGTGCCAATGCAGACATCCCGAAAACTTAGCGATCGTGAACAACAGGACTGTGATGTTATCGGTAAGTACAATGGCTCTGTATTGTATTGCGCTATATCATATATACAGGGTATCTGTAAAGTCTCACCCCTGGATCTCGGAAACGGTTTTAAATATGGAAAAATGTTTCAGACAAAAGTTGTAGGATATTGAGGAGGGGGACATGATAAAAATATGGACTTGATCTTGAGTGGCTTTATCAAGGCTAGGTCAATGTGATCGATGTTTTCTTAAATGGAACTTCCTATTTTTTATTGCATATTCTTGTAACCCTTGTCGAGACGTTTTCAAAACACTACCTATTTTTGTTTCTTGCGCAAGCCATTCCCAAGATATGAAACTTCAAAGTTGACATACCACCGGCATTCGCATTACTCAAGGTGTACCGCGTGGAGGTTGCACGGTCGGGTTTACGCCTCTTATGTGTGCGTGTGCATGTGTATGTGTGTCTGTCTGTGTGCGTGTGTGTGTCACAGTAGAGATAAGGACCCCACGATTCGTCACTCCCGTAGTATTTTTTAACTCCAAACCCTCTCCATTGTGTGTGTGCGTGTGTTATGGCTCTAAAAAGAACCAATTTTATATGTATGTGTTTCTTCAGTCAAAATTCCCTCCCTTCTCTCTTCCTCTCTCTCTCTCTCTCTCTCTCTCTCTCTCTCTCTCTCTCTCTCTCTCTCTCTCTCTCTCTCTCTCTCTCTCTCTCTCTCTCTCCCCCTCTCTCTCTCTCTCTTTCTCTCTCTCTCTCTCTCTCTCTCTCTCTCACACACACACACACACACTGTCTCTCTCCACCATTCCTCTTCTCCTTCCTCTTACATTAGTTATTTTCTTGCCGTTACTGCAGAAAATGCTCAAAATGAGCACCATTAACTTCCATGCAGTGAAACAAGCGATCGTGAAATTCTCTCCTTACATTCTGAAATGTTTGAGAAGAAATATCTCTATAAGTTACAACTATCCTATTTCGGAGTTCCTCGATTGTATCTGGAAGCATTCTGAAAACTATTGATTTTAAATAACCCCACAAGAAGAAATCTTGTGAAAGGAGAAACAGACAGACATACATATACACACACACGCACACACAAGAGGCATAAATTCGACCGTGCAACCTCCACGCGGTACAACTTGGGTAATGCGAATGCCGGCGGTATGTCAACTTTGAAGCTTCATATTTTGGGAATAGCTTGCGCAAGACACAAAAATAGGTAGTGTTTTGAAAACGTCTCGACAAGGGCTACAAAAATATGCAATAAAAAATAGGAGGTTCCATTTAAGAAAACATCGATCACATTGACCTAGCCTTGATAAAGCCACTCAAGATCAAGTCCATATTTTTATCATGTCCCCCTCCTCAATATCCTACAACTTTTGTCTGAAATATTTTTCCATATTTAAAATTCCGAGATCCAGGGATGGGGTCGGACTTTACAGATACCCTGTATGTATATATATATATATATATATGTATCATATAAACTTGATGTTTCTATACCTCGTTTATTTTTATTGATCATTTACAGAAAGACTCATAAAGTCATACTTTTATATCGTACGAAAGTCCATTCAGGACAGTGTACCAAAGGCTGTTATGCATTTCCTAGTCAACTACGTGAAAGATAATCTACAAAGTGAGCTTGTCACGCATTTATATAAGTCGGATCAGGCTGAAGTCTTATTGAACGAAAGTAAACACATCGCCGTTAGGCGTAAGGAAGCAGCAGATATGCTTAAGGTAAAAAACATTGCATAGATTTTTATATGTACACTTTTGTGCGCAAATTCTCCTCTAACAATTACTGTGATTCCACAGGCATTGACTCAAGCCGGTCACATCATTAGCGAAATTAGAGAGACGCACATGTGGTAATCGAATGCCTATCCTTACGCCATAGGATTTTAGTTGAGTATAGGTATTGCATACCTGTGTTTTAATGAATAAGTTAAAGGATGTAATTTACCAATGTATATGCCGGACCACTGTACATAACTCGTATCTTTCATGCAAGTAAGGTGTCATTGAATCGCAATGATCCGTGAGATATATATTTCATCACCTAATTGTATGAGCATGAAGGAGGCATAGCATTGTGCATAAAAAACACGCACTTGTGCAACTAAAATCAAATTATTGTTTGAATCAGGATATGTAATTTAGGCACGATTTTCTACTGGTTACTCTATTATACGCGCGCCCACATCAGTAATATGTTATTGTACCGAATTGTGAAACATATTTGAACGATTTTTTCTGTGTTATGCATTTTACGTTGTTACGTGCTTCTTTGTCACTTAATATATTCTTACATTGCTTCGAGTTATGCTAGCTGTTAACGACAGGATTACTTAAACGAATGAGGAGCATTTTATCGCGTATTCGTTATTCTTTCTATTTGTGCGTTTTCCCTGCTCGAAATAGAAAGTTAGAGAATTTCACTTTTAGTGAATGGTTGTGTCGCAATTTTCTTCTCTTTTTCGTAATCTCACGATAGAAATCCAAATAATTGTTTTACACTGCTGTACAAGCAGCATGTACATAAATGGGCCGAAAGATTGCTACACGGAGGTAGAGCCAAGAGAATTGTAACACTGAACGATACACTGTTCTGTCTTGATACCTTCTATATTGGGCTCAGCCAAGTATTTATTCACAAAGAGCGCGTGTTCGAGTAACAGAGGCATCGCGTCTTTGTAATTGCCTTCATACATTTTGGCGATGGCGTTCAATCTCTTCTGAATCGACCTGTGAAGTTGTTTCTCAATCTTCCGCAGATCGATCATCTTCTCGCATTTGGTACATTGTTGCTGCGTTACCATTTGCGCGACGCTTGCATTCGTCGCCGAGAAATCGAGCGGTTCCGAGCACGCTGTACACTTATAATTTATAGTGTCGGGTAGCGGAAATGTCCAATTGTGTGTGCACGCGTTACACTCGCACAGGAATCGGTACTTTTTCCATAAGAACTCGCGTCTGGTCAGTCTGCTTTCGCTGAGGAATTGCGGTCCATAGCAATCGAATATCTCACACCCTTTGCTGATGGAGCGCAGTGCTCTGACCACGATCATCCCTGTAAGAACATAACTTGTGTAACCATCTTCACAATCGACCTCTCATATTGATCAATCTGCGAGATCGATCTTTCTCCCCTTAATTGTGGTAACTTACCGTTCGGATAAGAGTGACGTACCACATTAGGATAACAGCTGTGATTCACAAGACTGACCGTGGTGTAAATCGCGCCGCCGATATTCCTGGGTTCCCAGACGCGTGTCGCTTCATCGTGAACGTTCTCGATGATCTCGTACGCATTGCAATCGATCGCCTGCAAGTGATGTAGCATGGCCACGGCCAACGGAACGAACGTTTCCTTCGTGCAGACGACGTCCAGTTTGCTTAGCACGAAAATCAGACATTTCGCGAGGAAGACCGCCTCGATTGCTCGAATCAGTTTTACGTTAGCTCCCATATCGGCGTAGTGTGTCTCCAGTTGGTACACCGTACGATAATCGAGGGGGCTATATGGCTTCTTCGTGCCCAAATCTGCGCATTCTTTGCTAATGTCATCATCTTCAGCGTTCGCGTTGCCGTTGGCGTGATAGCGCAGGAAATCAGAATTTAAGACACAACTCGTCTCACTCGTGTCATTCGAAGTATCCACCGACAATGCTTGTAGGACTGTCGTTCGGTAGGCCAGCAAAAGGTGAGACCTTCGCTGACACTCACCGTTCGGGGCGCTTTCGAAGAAGTAGTCGAACACCGAACACTCGTAGCGGTGATACCTCTGCCACGCTTCCTTGCGACACGTTTCCGTACAAAAGGACACCTGGCGAAACGAAAAGAGCGAGATTCGTATCGGCGGCGGTCGTCCAAACGCGCAAGTACGAGCACGCAAGAGAAAAAGGAAGAGATACAATGAGAAAGTGAACAAAAGATAGATGTACAAATAATATATATAAATCAATAACGTTGCTGTAATACATGACACGTGCATGCGTGCGGGTGTAATCATGCGCTCTTCTACTAACTGTTTGGCAATTACGGCACGGTATTCTAACGCTGTTTTCTAATTTAAGTGTGGCATGACAATGCAAACAATTCCTGATGAGAGCCGATGCGTCCGTGCTATAGGAAAACGGCCGGTCAACAATGAGTACAGCTCCTGGTCTGATGTCTCTTGTAGCCACAAGATGCCGGCCCCTGGCCACGTCGAATCGAAGCGTCACGCTATCCGGACAGCTCACGAGACAACTGTGCCGTTTACCGTCGACGACGGGCACCGTCGTGACGCAATATTTCCCGAATGACGGTGTCCTCGGGCTAGGAGCGATCGAGGAGGAGCGACATGAGGACGAGGAGGAAGAGGAGGAGGACGCCTTCCTGTGGCTGCGTTTCCTCATGGACGCAGCTTCCAGTTTCTTAGAGCTCTCCCGTTCCAGCTGAAGGCACTCTTTCCTACGCTGTACAAAGTACTTAACGTTCTCCGCGTTATAGAAGCTCGCTGGAAGCGCCAGCATACACTCGCAGTCTCTCAGGCAGCTCGTGTAAGCTCGCAAGCCGTAGGAGCGCTTAGCGCGCTCGCAGAGCGCATCCAAGAACACTCTACCACTCGCACTGGCCGCAAACAGTGCTTTCGTGAGAGTATCATTACGCATGCCGATCTGCTCCGTGTGCTGCTCGTCGTCGCCAGGCTGCGTCGTCGGCTGAAGCGATCTCTCGTACAATCCCGCGGCCTGCGCGTCGTCTTTACTCCGGTACGAGTCGGCCAGTTTCAACCAGGTTACATGGGGCATCTTCATGAGCATCTCGACCATTCCTCGCCTGTCGCCGCACGTGGAGAACTTGGCGAATCGAGTCGCGAGCGGCTCTTGCGAGACGGCGTTGTGCACGGCACTGCGGAATTCGTCGAGCGAGATGCTTCTGCAACACACAACGCGTTAGATAATGTGTTGGAATGGAAACGCAAATGGAATTCTCTAAGAGAGCTCGCGAGTCGAATTTGTGTGAGCGCTGCGTGAACTCGCGAGATGCTTCCGTGCGACGTAAACGAACATATGAATGAAATGTTGTAATCATCGACATTATCGAGGCAAACGTACTGACAAACGGCGAGGACCATTGTGCCTATTTACGTGCTATAATCGACCTGAACTAACGATTATTTTTTACAGAAATAAAAGCTGTGCACAGAGTAAGCGGGCAGTCAGCAGTGGAAGCAACACTGAGCAAATTCTTCTTCGTACAAATCAATGACATAATCGTCCGCTTATAATGTCGTAATCGTCATAATATATCCATTTGTGTAAGAATACTACGAAATATATGCGGGAGACTTCCCCGTCATTGTTCTTCAATGAATATCAGATCGATGGAAAGTCTCGCTTAGCGCGGAAGGAATTTCCGGATTTTGTGTACATTAGATATTTCCACTTCTCGCTGCACATTTCATATTGTTGTATGTGTCGCTAATGCGACAACGAGATATATATATATATATATATATCGCCCTCCGATAACTCATATTAAACGCGTATTATCGTTTTATCGTTATCGCGTTATCGCGTAGTACGTGCACGCTTGAAAACACGCGAATTTGCACGCCGGTGAAGCTCTCTGAAAGTTTTGTTCTCGCCAAGCGTACGTATTTGGACCGCACGCGTATGCGATTGGTAAAGCTGAATTTTCTGCAGACGAGCCTCTGCTAGATTTCCCTATTGCTCTAAATTTACCGCTGTAAATTTAATCGAAGACCGGAATAGTACAAGTGACGGCCGACCTGGTCAGAGACGCGAACACACACGACGACGTTACTCCAGTCATCGACGAACGGAATGTCTCTCGTTAGAGAAGCTCGTCGTCTTACAAAGTACACATGTGTGCATAAGTTACTCAGGAAAGATAAATAGATCTGACTGAATAATGATGGACAAGCGACTTTCCGGCTTCTATTAGCAGCCGGAATCGTTAAGCTGACTTACCCCTTTTTCGCCAGAGACATTCTCGTAATAGCTGTCGGAACGGGTCGATTTTGTATTTAACATTACACCCACGGGCTCCGCTGCCCTCGAAATGGAGACACAGGTATGATGGATTCTAAAATTAGATGCTACGGCTGAAAGTTCCGCGTGCATTTGTCCCCTCTCTCGAAATGCGACAATTTAGCCTGCAGGAAGTCGTACGAAACGACGGATGGCCTCTGGTTTGTCCCTTCTTCTACTTGTCCTCTGCGCACCGATAGAATGTACAAATATATGCTTTAATAATTATTAAAAATAAATAAATTACTAAAACTCGTCGTTGATATCTACCATGACAATGAGATCATTATAAATGCAAGTGTATGTGCTAGCATAGTGTATTGCTAGTAACCAGACAGCACATATGTTCAAAACTGGGACATAAGATGTCTTTAAGACATCTTTAAGTCGTCTTTAAGATGTCTGAAAATAAGATATCTTTAAGTCGTCTTAAAGACGTCTTATGTCCCAGTTTTGGACATTGTGCTGTCTGGGTAATTAGCAATGGCTATTAAATTTTCGCTGTGTGACTCCGTAAAAGTCTGATTACCCGGTGTGTCAGCAAATTCGTGAGACAAATTAATGATCATTGTCTTCATCAGAATATGTTATACATTCCGCAATGTCAACATGTATCGTTAACAGAAATTCAAATAGGTCTTCGAATCGCTTCGAATGATTATGCAGTAGCAGACGATCGAACGCCATGTTCAAATTTAACGTGCTTTAAGGCACAGTCGCAAAGCCAACTTCGTTATGAATTATCCGTTTTAGCTGCACTTTCTACGCTCTGTCTCTTCCTTCTCTCTTCCAAACCTGATGAATATATATTTCTTTCGTCTTGAGTAGTATTGAGAGTAAAACAGACTATTAAAGTGATTGGATCTTGATGTTGCATTCTCGAAACTGTTGTTTCGAGTCTTGTCTTTCTTATGATTTTGACACCAGTGGTTGTCACCAAGGTCCGTAAATAGAGGAATGGGACAAGATAAGGTCCTCTCACGGCCGCCATTTTCGAGCCTGTGTGGGGTGCTATGTACGTATCATAGTTTAGTTATGTGAGTGAACGTAATCAAAACATAGTTTAAGATGTAATCAAAAGTAATCAAAACATAGTTTAAACACATTCCAAAATACTAATGAGGATTTTCAGAAGAAAAACAATTATAATGCCGGCTTGTAGTGCAAAAAATTGCAAAAAACGAAAATAATTTTTCACATAGACGGTATGTAGTTAATCAGCTGAGCCACTGTCGCCGCCATTTTCGAGCCAAACCGTATGAAGTGGATGAGAGGACCTTACCTTGACTGCGTTCCGATATTTACTGTCAGTACTGAAAATCTATAGTATACGTGACACAAACTATATATTTTCAGTACCGGCAGTGAATATCGGAACTCAGTCCTTGTCCCGTTCCTCTATTTACAGACCTTGGTTGTCACATGATAACGACGGGTGTATGTGAGCCTTCCTCGATTTTTCGATGTACGGACTAAAGATTTGCTGAAGAGAACCGAAGTATTTGATTTTTCTGGAGTACCGACTGTACTTGGGATACTCTGAGATCTTCCGTGAGTTGTATCGTGCGTACGGTGAAATTTAATTTCACAATCATGAGATACATTGTGGGTACGACTTTTGCAGGGACCGCCTCTGCAACAATCCTTATTTTAGGTATTGCTTTATTGTATATTTGTTACGACAAATGATGTAGATAAAGAAACAGGAGATAAAGCAATGTGGTTATTACAAGTTGTCGTAGTAAATTCACTTATTTCTCACTGAGCTACCTGTTCAAATCACATGAAAATATTCTTATGTATTTCTTGTGTTACAGTTTTGTATTATGTATTTACTGGCAAGGGAGAGCAAATTAGCATTGCATGGTACGTATAATCATATACTTATATGCATTGTTTGAAATATGGCATAGTAAAACTGAAATATTAAACATTTGTTTATTTTAAAACATATAGGTTCTTGACGAATACTTCCCCATATATGTGGTCTACATTGGGCATAGGCCTGGCAGTAGCTTTGTCTGTTGTTGGCGCAGCATTGTAAGTTTAATATATTTTTATTCTTATCAACTACTATAGTCATGTTATTCATTATAGTAATCATACTTTTACAGAGGTATTCATACAACAGGAGTATCTATTGTTGGCGGAGGTGTGAAAGCACCTAGAATCAAGACAAAGAATTTGATCTCTGTGATATTCTGTGAAGCTGTTGCCATTTATGGCTTGATCACTGCCATTGTTTTATCTGGGATGCTAGAAGAATTTGATTATAACAAGCCTAATATCAATAAAGAAGATACCATACGCACAAACTGGATGGCTGGATATGTAATGTTTGGCGCTGGTTTAGCTGTTGGTCTGGTCAATCTTTTCTGCGGCATAGCAGTTGGCATTGTTGGTTCTGGTGCAGCTCTTGCTGATGCAGCTAATTCTGCTCTTTTTGTGAAGATCCTTATTGTGGAGATTTTTGGTTCTGCTATAGGACTCTTTGGTTTAATTGTTGGCATATATATGGTAAGTTAATATAACAAAACAAGATGTTAAAGTTACATAAATGAATATGTTCTTGATTATTTATAATATTTCAATATGCTTTCTTGCAGACATCTAAAGTAAAAATGGGCAACGTATAGATTGAAATTACAGCAAAGCAAATGGTGATGTATAATTGGGATCATAATGTTCCATTCCACATTTAGTCAACAGCAAGAGATTCTAGACAAGTGAACGCATATCTATGAAATCATTGTGCGAACTTATATGAATTTTATAGATACCAATGTGAAAATATGGTATATTATTGCCTGTTGCTAACTTGGATCATATAATTTTTACAATGATCTAATTTAACACCTGCTCTAATATCTATAGATCTAATATCTTATTAATGTCATATATATTGTTTCAGATAAATTTTTCTGTTTTTGTTTTATAACATAAAAATGTCTAAAATTAAAGAGATTATAATTGGCATTGATTTTTATCGACATTAAAAAACAACATAATTTTCATACCTTGAGTGCGTTGTAGCGCTCGCTTTTATGTAAGTCAATGTACATATTTCCTTATTAACATGAGTAATGTAATAGAGTAATATAAAAAAATATATGTATTTATTCTCCATACATATTAATCATTGGGAAAAATATTGATTAGAAGTTGTATTACTGGTTTGAAAATGAATGGAAATAGCATATGATATATTTCAAGCGTATTAAAAATATTTATTTAATATCGTATAAAAGTTTTTGATTCAGACCCGGCCATAATTATTTTTATCTTCCACATAAAATATCAAAAAAATTTACCATTATTCCAATGGCACAAGTAACATGATTATAAACATTCTTGTACGATAATATATGTTATAATATGTGTGTAATAACAATAACTCTAATTGTAATTATATCAATTATAACAAAAATATTGTTTGTAAGTCAATAACATAAGCTAGTTGGTTAGCTACGGTTGATTAGGCCGCATAGCTGTAATTCATTCTTACATGATCTTGACTTTATAATAAGCCTTAAAAAGAACAGTTACGTATGCAACACATCACAAATATTTTTGAATGCGTGTGCTAATGTTTGTATGTATTTGCTGGCATTACGACTACCTTCGTAAGTTGTCACGACAGCACCCAATCGTTTTTCTTGGATCATATATCTACAACAATACATTACATTATTTTTAACAGTAATTTAATAAGGATAGTATAATAAATATATTAACAGTCATTATATTTTCAATGTTAAAGTGATACATGAATAGCTTACCCTATTCCATATCCATCGGGTACCACTGGCCCAAATCCGCCTGCCAGTACATCTGGACTTGATAAAGTAGATGTAGATAATATGTTATAATTTATAGCATGATACGCTGGATCGTGAAAAATGGCTGACATATTGTAATTTGACTTTTCTGATATTTTCTTCAAGGCGAATAAATGTCTGTCAAATCCTTGCCCTGTAAAATAAAAAAATATTAGATATCTATATACATATATATATATGTTTTCTTTTCCAATCAATTTAATTTGCAATCAAACTAATTACCCATTACAGCTTCTCTCGTAAGCACATTGTGAGCTTTGCTACAATCCTTTATCATCTTCTTCAATTCTGATTTAGAAAGTTTGCTATTGTTTTGGGCCATAGCAGTACATATTGCTTTAGTCGCTAGTGTACAAGGTCTAATAGTTTCCGTTCTTCCATGCTTAAATGCAGCAGTGCTGCAAGATTCATAAGTCGATACTAATTTGCCTTCCAGAATATACAATGCTAATTGGAACGTCAATTGCATTATAGCATCTGGACTCACTCCAAGCTTCTTACATTGCTCTTTACCAAATTCTTCATAAATTATATGATCTACGCATAGTCTATCAGTCCATTTTCTATACTTAGCTATCTCCTGGTTGATAAGACTTTCACTTTTAGCATCTATAGAGAATTCAAGTCTTTCAATGTTTGCACTCTCCTTTGCAAGTTCACCTACCTCATCAGGATGAAATCTGGGTTTCTTTGATATGTCGGCCTTCATATCCTAAGAAATTATTAAGTTGGCAACTATTACGTTAACAATATGCATTTTGGAAAAATATTATTTACCTGAAAGAATCTCAATACTGCAACACCGTCGCCCCACGAGTGTTCAAAATTCATTCCACCATAGCCATCTTTAGAAACAATCAAGGAAAACGATTTGTCAAACCATCGATTGGTACCATCTGTATGAAGATACGTTCGAATTAATTTGTTTTTATCGGTACCCAAAACTTCGTCATCCAAGGTTATTATGTACACAGCAGAATCGATCTTGTTTAAAATTTCTTGATTTCCCGTCTTGAATAAATGTGAACGTGCTTGTGCCCATTGATCTCTTTCTGAAGTAGTAAGGATGCCTACAGGATGTTTATTTGGTGCTCTATTATCTTCCAAAATAGCTTTTAAACATGCGGCTATTTCTTTGGGGCCACGAATAGCGCCGTTTGCATCTAAAACGTCAAACGCATAAAAGTGTCCTTTCCTCATTACAACCAAATGTTTTGCGGAAGGATCGTGGAAGATCCTATCCTTCTCCAATTCTGGTATTCTAGTTGTATTGAACAAGTTCTTATATTGTGACATATCTAATGGATAAGCCTACAACATAAATTCCTTTTTAAAAGAATGACTTTTTATACTTTTTAGAAAAATTATTACTCCCCAATGTATTAATTTAATACTTTATAATAGTATACAGATATAAAAAATAAATTAAATTTGTTCTTTCATATATACCTTAAATAAATAAGCACCATAATAGCTAAAATGAGATGGAATCAATCTTGTGACATTTCGAAATAAATTAGTATCCGATTTCTCAGGATTCAAATGAAACACTTCTGGTTCTAAGATGTTTTCCCTGAGAGACTTCAAGAATCTCATTGAAGATATAACAAGATTTGTAGCCTTCACCAATTGTTCATCATATTTTGGATCAGATTCTGGTATAAATACTAAGAAAGGATTGTAATTAATTGGCAAAGGCTTGCGATCACGCAAATACATATCAAACCATGGTTCACTAATGTAGCTAGTGTGTGAATTCTCAGCATCATGTTGAAGTAGCTGCTTTTGTAAACTCTGCCCCTCATTGGCAAGAAATTTTGAGACATAAGAAGATGTATTTTGCAAGTCCTTATCATCCAATAGAGGTTTTTGTGCATTTAAATATCTTCTACATGTATCTTCAAGTTTTGGTATTGGTAACCGTGGTAAAGATTTTTGAAAATGCAATGTTGGAATTTTACTAAATTGCATATATTGATATTCATTGGTATCATGTGCAGTTACAGTACTCCTAAAATAAAGGTACATATTACTATGTATTCATTTAACTAGGTAACTACGAATAACTATTGAAATTTATATCAAATAAAATTGTTAAAATAGTAGCTGTGTATATTTTGATCTGATAGTAGTTAATTTAATAGTTCTGAAAACAAATGCAAGAAAACAATAGTTAATTGTTAGAAATACACAAACAAAAAACAAATACCTAGCTACATGTTGTACTAGTTCCACTCCTCGACGATTAATCTGTAATATATACACAACAAAGGAAGAAAATAAACACAAATATCAAAATATATTTAGACAAATAACAAATTCATATATCAAACATTACTTACTATAATTTTACGGAGTCCGTTTCTAGTTAACATTTTGCTCAATACAAATCACTCTCGAGAATAAATGTATAACTCAGAAATTTCTTATCTTAATTTCTTATCAGATAAAAACAGTTTACAAGTTTAAGAGATATTATGAAAGAGCAAACATATCACTGAAATATTTTGTTGATATGAAATACAGAAAATTGATATGAAATACATAAGGACAGTTATATGTATTTTAGCGAATATAAATTATATAATGAAGAACCAAGCATACATATAAATGCATAATAAGGTAATTATCAAGGAGACGGACGTCCTCACCGATTTTGCTGAAACTCACCTATCTTATGTAGTTTGACGTGTAGAAACCGAATTTCAAAGTTAAAATCATCGCTCGACTCTACAAAGCGAGAAATTAATTGGTAAAAGTGATAGGTATGACAGGTTAGGAAATCTGTCACAGAAGGGACAAATAAGCAAGATTCCGGATGGGTTTACAACTTTCCACGCGCAACGAGGACGGGGTGGGTGCGGGAGGGGGGCCGAAGGCCCCCCTCGCACCCCCCGTGTGTGTGTGTGTGTGTACATATGTTCGAGATATTTTTATTTATTAAACATATAAATTTGTAGTTCATGTATCAATAGTTTTTTTTTCTTAATAACCACTGATACATGAACTACAAATTCATATGTTTAATAAATAAAAATGTCTCAAACATATGTACACACACACACACGGGGGGTGCGAGGGAGGCCTTCGGCCCCCCCTCCCGCACCCACCCCATCCTCGTTGCGCGTGGAAAGTTGTAAACCCATCCGGAATCTTGCTTATTTGTCCCTTCTGTGACAGATTTCCTAACCTGTCATACCTATCACTTTTACCAATTAATTTTTCGCTTTGTAGAGTCGAGCGACGATTTTAACTTTGAAATTCGGTTTCTACACGTCAAACTACATAAGATAGGTGAGTTTCAGCAAAATCGGTGAGGACGTCCATCTCCTTGATAATTACCCATAATAATTGTATAAATGATCCACATTTAAAAAAAAAGGTTTTTATTTTTAATTTTTAATGACGTTGCATTTCCTGACATTTAAAACCTATATCAGTTTTAGCAATACTGCGTTCCGATATGTACTGCCAGCACTGAAAATCTATAGTATACATGACACAAACTATGCATTTTCTGTACTGACAGTGGCTTATGGTATGTTCTTTTCAACTGTACTGCTGAACTAGTGCAATAAATAAAGCTAAGACTCCATGCATGCGGTGAGCTGCGGCAAATGCTGCGATGACCAATCAGGAGGGAGGCGCAAGTCCGGTTGCGGCAAGCTCCGGCATGCGTCTGTCTCCTGATTGGTCACCGCAGCCGTTTGCCGGAGCTCACCGTATGCATGGAGTCTTAGCTTTAGAGTGAGACAACTAGTCTGTTCTTTTTAACTGCACTGCGGAACTAGTGCAATAAGTTAGAATGAGACAACTATAATTTTTCTCACTTTAACTTATTGCACCATTTCAGTAGTGCAGCTAAAAAGAACAGACCAAACTATATTTTTTTTCACTCTAAAGCCAGCGGCACACGGTGCTTGTTTTCATGCTAGATTGCTTGCTGGATGAAAATATTGCGTTCTAATTGGTATATTTTTTAAGATGGATGGAAATGCACCAATCAGAACGCAATATTTTCATCCAACAAGCAATCCAGCACGAAAACAAGCACCGTGTGCCGCTGGCTTACCTTATTGCACCAGTTCAGCAGTGCAGCTAAAAAGAACAGACCCTTAACACATAACGCATAAGAGAATAAACCAATTAGTTTTCTTCATTTCCCTCCTCAGGATAGAAATGAAGAACTCTGATTGATTGATTCTCTTATGCGTTGTGTATTATGCGTTATGCAGAAGTCTGTGCTCTGGCCCTAACAGTCAGGGATGCAAACATATACAGGATGGTTTAAAAGTCTGGAAATGGCTAATTATCTCTGAAAATAGCAGTCCTATAGGAAAATGTTTCAAACAAAAGTTGTAGAGCTTTAAGTAACGCATTACATAGTAATATTATTATGACCTTGAAGAGTGTTGTCAAGGTCACATAAAAATCATTTTGAATTTTTTAATTGCAATCCCCATATGACCCCCAAGTAACCTTCATATAATCTAAAGTGCAAGCATTCCTTTACGTGATTGCCATGACATTTATCTCACATTATTAAAATTATTCAGGTAGGAAGTTACATTTATACAAAATAAATGTCAACAACAAGATGTTCCGAACAAGAAGTATATGGTCACTTAAATTGGCTCTACTAATATCAATTCTTATTGGGTCTTCCTCACTTCTGCTCTGCTTCCACTAGAAATAGTACTCTAATTTGATCCTGCACCTGCACCGAATTGTAGAACCGAATTGACGACATTGACACACACACACATACACACACACACACACACACACACACACACACACACACACATACACAACAGAGAGGGTTTGGAGTCATTAAATACTGCGGGAGTCATTACATACTGACAAACCGCAGGATCCTTATCTCTGCTGACACACATACACATACACACACACAGGGGTGTAAAGTCCGACCATGCAACCTCCATGCAGTACATCCTGGATAATACTAATGCTGGCGGCACCTTAAATTCTAAAGCTCATAACTCAGGCAATTCTCAATAAAAATAGGTCATCAAGTAGTGTTTTGGAAACGTTTCGCTGTCATCTTTAACAATGTGTGATAAAAAATGAGATGTTCCATTTAAAAAAATCATGGCCTTGACTTCGCCTTGACCCCTCAAGGTCAAACGGATATGATCATTCAATAAAACTTTTAAAACCCTACAACTTTGATTGGAAACATTTTTCTCAGAAATATTTCGTTTTCGAGATATTTGACTATTTCCAGACTTTTCTAACACCCTATATATATTAGGTTGTTTAAAAAGTATTGAGCTTTTGGAGGTCAAAATTAAGAATACATTTATTATTATTTGAAAATAACATTATGAAACCACATATGCACCATTTTGTTCGATTACCTTCTGCCATTTTTCCGACAACATCATAATCCCGTCGCTATAGAACTTCTGTGGTTTTTGGTCAAAAAATTGTGACACGTGGTTTTCACAGGCCTCTTTTGAAACTAACTTAACACCATTCAAGGAGTTCTGTAGAGACCGAAACAAATGATAGTCTAACGGTGCTAGGTCCGGGCGATACGGTGGATGCATTAAAAGCCAAGTTCTCTCAATTTCTGACGGGTCGTTAAAGATGTATGCGGTCTAGCGTTGTCAGCGTGGTATACGACATCTTTTCTGTTGACCAGTTCCGGCCGTTTTTTTTTAATTGCTAGGTGCAATTGTACTAATTGTCGACAGTACAGGTCCGAGTCTATCGTTCTGCCTGGCAGCAACAGCTCGTGATGCACGAAGCCCTTCCAATCCCACCAAACACATAGCATAACCTTCTTGGGCATCAGTGTGGACTTTGCCACAGACTGTGGAGCTTCTCCTCGCTTCGATCACGATCTTTTTCGCACATTGTTGTCATAGGTTATCCACTTTTCATCACTCGTGATCAACCGCTTCAGAAATGGATCGATTTCGTTATGTTTTAGTAGAGATTCGCAAGTAGAAATTCGATCGAGTAAATTTTTTTGAGTCAGATCATGTGGCACCCAAACATCGAACTTTTTTTGTAGCCAGCTTTCTCTAAATGGTTTAACACTGTTTGGTAATGAATGTTTAGGTCATTAACGATGTCATGACTGCTTACATGCCGGTCTTGCTCAACTTTTGCCAGAATATCATTCACTTTTTCTGTGATTGGTTACCCACTGCGAGGAGCATCTTGGACATCGAAATTTCCAGAACGAAAGCGACTGAACCATCTTTTGGCTGTTGCTTTTGATAACGTATCTTGCCCATAAACAGCACAAATTTCTTCATGGGTCTGCGCAGCATTTGCGCCTTTATTGAAATAAAATTGTAAAATGTAGCGCAGTTTTGCGGAAAGTTTACTCATCTTTACGGCGTAATACCTTACGTCTGATTATAAGAATTCCAACACTTTTTGTACATCTACTAGCTTCAATTGTCAGCTGTCAGATGACGTTAGGCCTGACCTGCTGCGACTCATATACCCTGAAATTTGGGACACTAACGTTATTTCGTGCACGAAAGACTCAATATTTTTTAGACAACCTGATATTAGGTCATTAAGTATAAAATGTCCGATTTCGAATCAAAAGTTTGGTTTATTATATCTCAAACTAGAAATAGTACAATTAATCCAAGTATGTGCTTAAACTATCGGCACAGTTCCGCCATCTTAACGGTAACTTATTTATGCCAGCAGCGAAGAAGCCTGAAGAGCAGGGGACGATGAAATCGCGGAAGACGTTTTCCACAGCTTGTTGAGAATTGAATATTTTTCCTTGTAAGAAATGGTGCAGTGCCTGGAAGAAGTAACAGTCAGTTGGTACAAGGTCTGGTGAATACGATGGGTGATAGAGAGTTTTCAGGTTCAGCTCCTGTAGTTTGAACAACGTTGTTTGTGTGACATATGGTCGAACGTTGTCTTGCAAGAGGATTACCTGTGTCTATTGATCAATCTCAGCTGCTTGATCGCAAGTATTTTCATTATTTCGCCTAATTGGTTACAGTAGACATCCGCTGTAATCGATTGACCAGGTTTCATGAAGCTGTAGTGGATAATATCAGCGCTGGACCACTAAAGATACTATTAGCTTTCTTCTGTGAATATTTGGTTTCGGACTGTGTTTCGGCCATCCATATATCCTATCATTGTGCCGGACACTTACAATTGTCGAAAAGAATCCGCTGTTCATCATACGTAACAATACGATGTAAAAATGGTTCGCTTTTACATCGTGATAGTGAAGAAAGGCAAGCTTCGAGACGACTTCTCTTCTGAGCTTGTTTAATTCATGCGGAACTCATTTATCCAGCTTCTTTATCTTGCCGATTTATTTCAAGTGATCCAATATTGTTGGAATAGTAACGTTAAACCTTGCTGCTAATTCACGCGTAGTTTAAAATATATCTGCTTTCACTACAGCTTTCAGCTTATTATTATCCACCTTGGTCTCAAGTCACCAACGTGGTTCATTTTCAAGATTAAAATCGTTAGAACGAAACTTCTCAAACCATCGACGTTTTGTACGTTCATTCCAGCCACATCTTCACCAAACACTTCGTTAATATTTCGAGTTGTCTGTGCTGCATTGATTCTATGACGGAACTCATATTCGAAAATAACATGAATTTTTAACTTATCCATGGTTACATAAAAATTGCTGTAACAAAGACAATTCGAAAGATAATCACAAACCAAAACATGCATTTGAAAGAGTGATGATATACCTTCACCACAAAAAACAAACTAAAAACTGTAAAGGTGAAATGTCAGAGATATCGACTGTCGAACTTAATATTTAAGGAAATCATCGGACATTTCATATTTAATGACCTAATATATATAAATAATGCATAAACACATATATATATAAAATGATTATTAAACGAAGGCAACA